GCTTGTTACACAGACCGACAGGCCAGGATTGTTATCGGGTATGCTGACCGTTGAGTTAAGCATTACTGCCCAAGCCATGGACTCTGCTTGAAAGATAGCGTGCTGTCGCTCACCGGTCTGTTAGCCCAAGCCTCTGACGATATAGGCCACACTCGGTTGCTGAGCAGCAGCTGTTTCCAGGCCTCGTCCGACATACTTCAACCTCGGAAGACTGTCCTCAAGGCGTCCATCAAGACGACCCTCTCTCGGGGATGCGGCCCTTGCAGCGTTACAGGATCGCAGGGAAGCTTCCATGGCTCCCAATGCGACCCAACAGAGCGCTATATACTCGCCGGCATTTTACCAGCTTGAGTGTTATTCAGCGATAGCAGCATCTGCCATATCACTGCGCAAGTGCCAAATGGCCAATATCGCACTACACTCCAGTGTCGCAATGCAACTGGAGCAACCGGTTCATGAAAGAAGAGAGACCAAGAGCAATCCTGGAAAGCCGCGAGATTGGCTAAAATCATCGTCTTTTCCGAATATCAGGCCCCATCCTGTTACTACGACAGATACAAAATGTCTCCGAGAACCTTTCAACTTGCTGATGCAAGGTACGGTAACGACCTTTATGACACTCGTTAACAGTCTGGCCCAGGCTAAAAGAGACATGCATGAAGGTACTAAATTGCAGAAGCGCATCATGTACCATGGTAAGTTTCTCGTCTGTTGCTTACATTCAGTTCAGAAGCCCGCGTCAGAGGGTCCAAGTTAACACATCAGGACTCACACTCCTCTGCCACGTTGCTAAAGGGTCGACGGGTCCTGATAGGTACCTTACTCCGGGCTAGCATAACATCTCCCCGACGGATTGTGTTCTTCCAGACAGGAATGACCACACTGATATCCGTCCCGGCGCAAAAGAACCCCAGCATAATACGAGACGGGTGCAAGTCGACGATTTACAAAAGCCACGAGCATGACACTTTGGCTGACTAGTGGAAGAATTGAACAATCTTTTATCAAACGAAGGACAGCTCCAACTGCAAGACTGCAACAACGTGGCCAAGGATAGCGGACAGGGGAGGATTACGCATTCTTGGCATCTCTACAAAGTGGTGTGGCTTACGAGACGCTTGCCTCCAAACGGGAATGATCCCAGGGCTCAGACAGTCCTCAGCCTATCATGGCAGTCACAGGTATGTGATCCTTGACATTTATTTGCAGACGTGCCAGGGATAAGCGGGGTTTTTTAGCCTGGCAGGGGCGCATTCTTTGTCGAAAAGTCCACGATAACCTTCCAGGACAATGTCTTCATGGCTACTCTGACTGTTGAACAAAGGACCGAGGTCAGGCTCCGACACGCAGGCCTCGCGCAGACATCCACCACGAAACGCTCGTGGCCACTATCCGCAGGCTCCTTTTCCTTTACTGAACCTTATCTGGGTTCCCCTGTGAGAGGACCAACAACATTGACACAGCATCACAGGCTTTCCCCATATGATCAGCTTCCATGTCAAAATCTGAGCACTCTAAGATCTGATCCTGTTCGCGGGACCCTGCCCTTCCCACCGGATGCCACTCTTTCGTGCATGATCCTGACTATGGTCAACAAGGGTGCGAGGCTCCAGCAAAGCATCCTAAGTATGCAAGTCATCTCAGCGTGTTCTTTGGAACGCGCCTAGTGGCAACAAAGAAACTTCGATGAGTGGAGGGAGGGGCGCAAGGCAACGCTTGGTCAAAATCATTCCAGCGATATACGCAGGAAAGGGGTCGAGCCAAGTATATCCGGCCAAGCATCTTCTACTGTGCCTGAGACATCAAGTACCACGCTTGAGTATTCAGGTACCCTGCAGCCGTGGCAGCTGCGTGTAGGTACTCACTTCCGGGTGCAGGGGTACGACAGCGATATTAAGGGATGACTGTCGACCATGGAAAAGGTACCTCGTGCATATACAAACTCGTTGCCAAACGTCGATGAGTCCACCAACGTGGCATCGACGTTGAGTGCAGCGTACCATGGCGCTCGGTAGAGGTGCTGCATCCCTCGAAACAATAACCGGAGTCTAGGAAGTCCAGGTCGGTTAATCAAGTTAGTGTTGGAAGCAATGGAAGGAAATAGAGTTTTCCTTCCGAAAACCCCGATGGCTGATCAAGGGGTGGTTGAATGTGTGGTGTTTCAGCCTTTAGCACTGGTCAAAGGGAGGTGGGCAAAGACGATGGTGGCCTCCGTCATTCCAAGGTAACTATTGTGGTTTAGTCCGCTTTCGAGAGAGCATCCCATCCACTGTCATGTAAGGACTTGGGGTGGGAAGACCCGTAGGTCTAGACTGACGATTCCCTTCAATTTCCTTTTGCTTCATGACACGGAAAGCCAGCAGTAATTAACATCAAAGTCACAGGCATGTCGAGTTGACCGAGCACCCGAATCTTTCGCTGGAACATGCCGTTGAAACCGTTACGGATACAAGCTTCGGGCTGCGTCCTCGTTCTCTTCCCTTGGCTTGTGATTGCCTAGAGCCATTTTTGGCTTCCTTCCATGTCCGGGTGCTTCATTGTCTGGCATGCTCCGATCCCAACAGCATTCAAACTCTCAAAGTGTAGTGCACTTTTCCTTGCCCATTTCCTCTTACGTTGCAAGTGGCAGAGTGACTGTACAAGGATTGGAGGAGTCCAAGAGGATAAAGGGATTTGGGAAAAAGGACAAGAGCCTTTAATATATTTCACGTTCTTTAATGGATGTGACCTTTCTATCCTTTTGCCCTTGTGCGTCGTCTCTTTGCCCAGTCTCGCCACTCCTTCTTGCATCACTTTCCACTTTGAGCTTTAGGCGGGCGTTGCCTTGTTCTTTTCAACCCAACACTCCCTCATTCTCCATTCAATCTCGATGCATTAAGTTGCATTGCTTCGCCTGGTCGACGGACGGTCGTTTCATTTCATCTTGAGACAAGTCCCTCCTTTTTCTCCCATTCCCATGACCCGCCTGCCTTCCAAACTTTACTTACATTCACTCGGACCTATGACGACCCCAGACATTGAGTTATTGTGACGAGCACCAGCCTCAGCAACCACTTGATCAGCACTCAACCATAAGCGTTCAACTTGGGACGCCTTTTCTTGTGCACCATCTGGGACCGGAAGCTCATTCGCTGCAAAAGTCCTGCAAATAAAAATCACAACAGCCGCCGCAGTCGGGCGAAAACCACGAAGCAGGGTCAGAAAAAGAAAGGAAAGCGCAGAGCGTAAAGACCACAACACCACCTCCAATCTTCCAATCACGGCTGTATCCGACCTTTGACAGCGCCTGCCAGGGCTCGTCGATCCTCGATATTCTGGCATATCAGCAATTTCACCTCTATACCGACTGCCGCTTACCCCGACCTACCGTCATATCTGCAACCAGCATTTTTGTGTGGCGTAGAAGCTGCTATATCACTCTTGTGTCGTCGGTCGCTTTGATCAAGCAGGGTCCCCCATCCCACTCGTCGACAAAACGCGGCTTGAGGTCGAACAAGCTGAATTAATCAGGACCTTCTCACGGCTTATTGCTCGTGCGTTTCCCCAGGATTAGCGAATTGCACCTCTCGTGGTATGGTATCAGCAGACATCTGGCTGAAGCTGAGTTACGCCCCAGCTTTTGGAGTTCTTCTTGACGACCACTACGATATAACTCGTACAGTCAACACCATATTAGCCGACGAACCTGACTGGGTCCCAGTATCGCTCAACTTGGCGCGGCTCCTTTGACATATGCAAGTAGCCGACGTCTTATAGCCAGCCGGAACCCTTCTCCACCTAGCCGGGTTCGACCGTTCCCCCCCTTGCAAGTTGCGACCGGGCATCATCGACTGAGTATTTCAACGCACAAGCACTATACGCTCATACCATACTTCCGCTTAGTAGTTGTTACCTCGACTCTGCTAATAGCTGGAAACGAGCAATCCAGCCTCCCGAACGACATCCAAATCCAATAGTAGGGCAACGTCCAAAAAGAGCGGCGGCGGAACCGGTTGCCTTGGCCACTTATCCTATTTTGGCCAGTACATAAGTATATCTTCACGATATACATAGGCTATCAAAACAGGGGTGTCTAGTCTTCCTCGCAACCTACGCGAAATCTTGTAGCTCCGGTTTCAGACCAAGCATCTCCTTGCTTGTGCATTTGAGCACGGCAGAAAGGCTCCCTAAACTGCAGTCAGCAGGCGCCGGCTTCCCCAGATACTACCCGCATTGCCCTAGTATACCTACAGGTAGGCATACCCATCAGATCATTGATATACTTCCCTTTCCTTTGGCAGTAACTCATGTCTTGGTGCTAGGTAACCATATTCAACATCTAATATAGCCCGACTCCTTGTTGCTGCGTCAACACCTTGCATCAGCATCTATCAGGGAGTTGCCGCTGCCACTGCTCTTCAGCCCAACCAGAACCAGAAAAGGGGGTGTGTCCAACGCCGCTCATATTGCTTTGGCCCTCTTATCCCGGCTGTCGCAAGTCCCAAGTTATTCGCCATCCTCATTGGCCCGCCTACTCGTTACCCGTTCTCTGGCTCATCTACTTCTGATTATTCGTAGAGGTACTTCCTTCACTTTCCCTTCGCATATTTGGAACCCAAATTGGTTTATAGTTATCTTTCCCCACAGTCTTCGACCAATATCCCAGGTTTCGGCATCTCAGACCACTCGCTAACCACGTTCCTCAAGGCCTTCGCACAAAGACACCCCAGACGCGGAGAATCAGCGCCGATCATTGAAGAACTACGGTATTTGGACACTCGGTCACAATCGACCACTACAACCGCAATTCCGGCCATTACCCGCTCTCCGCCATCTCTCGACATTTGGTGCTGAAACGTACGGCAACCCAGAGGTCCCCTGTCCAGCTACAAGAACGGCTCAGAGCAGATCGTTTGATGGCAACCGCCCATTCGCCCCTTATCAAATCCAAAGTCGAAAGCTGGTTATCAAGCAACTCCACTATATATCCTGCCGCCTCGTCAGTGCCCATGACAGACATAATGTCATTTCAGTATCCTCCGCCACCGCCCCAGAACGGCACAGATATGGATATCCAGCATTCGGGGTACATGCCTTATCCCGTTCCGCCCTCTGGGTCCTCAGGAATGGACCTTAGGCACAGCCCCGAGACTGGTAGAGATCGATCAGATTCCTACCCGTTCGCAACGAAGCCGAACCGTTCCATGTCTACATCGCAAACAAGCCAACCACCGCTCACACCACGCGACCCGACGACACCTGACCAGGGTCTTTCAGGGGACAAAAGAAGGAACAAACTCGGCTATCATCGCACATCTGTCGCTTGCGGTAAGTTCTAGCCAGGGCCAAATGAACTCTCTTTGGAAACGTTTGTACTGACTCTAAATGCAGGGCATTGCCGTCGTAGAAAGATCAGGTGCATCCCATCCCAAAACGACGTACAGGCTCGATGTGTCAACTGCATTCGTCTGAAGAAAGAATGCAGCTTCTACCCAGTAGACCAACAACCCCCGCAAGACACCCGACAGAAGTCGGTACAAAGGTCTTCTACCGGACCTAAAGTCACGTCCACATCTTCATCACCAGCGATGCAAAGCGGGATTCCCTCAGAAGTTCACGGTCATTCCAACTATCCACATTTGTCACTAGCATCAATCACGAACATGCCTCCCCCAATGAAGCCTTCAGGTACAGAAGATTACGCACCAGACTCCAAGAGTAGGTAAAAAAGCAAAAGGACAGACAGTGGCCCTTACTGACGAGTTTGGCAGTTCCCCCCAGCGCCACAAGCACTCGATCGTACGAATATGGTCAGCACGGTATGGCTAACTGGATGTCTCCTGACGCCGGTCCAAACACGTCCAAACCGAGCGACATGAACCCGAACTGGAGATCCTACCCGAGTGAATCCTCCATCACCCCCGCCTTTTCCCCTTACACGCCTCACGGTCCCCAATCCGCCACTTGGTCAGCAGCACCCATGGGCTCTGAGCCCTCGCGAGATGACCTGGCGTGGTCATCATCGGGCTATCCTGCCCCTCCCTCCCGCTCGATGTCTTTTGGCGGCGGTGGCGACGGGATGGCTAGCCAACAGGATCCTGCGACCTCGCAAATGGGTGGTGGTGTTGGTCGCCTGTATGACCGCAAGTCGTCTGCTATGTCCAGCGATATCTACCCCTCGCCAATTGCTACCACCATTCCTGGAATCGATACCGTATCGGGAACAAGTCACGATCACCATTCGGCCATCTCAGCTGGAGCTGTCCCCCCAGCCGGCTATGCGTCGTGGCAGCAACCTTATCAACAGTACTCCAAGCCTGCTGAGGGCTATTCGGCATGGTATGGAGAAGGTGGAAACCAGCAGGGCCATGGGATGTAGGGGCTAAGTCCCACTAGAGCAGGTTCATCATTTGGGCCTCAGCATGTTCAAGTAAGGATGGCAGGCAAGTCGATGATGCATTGAGCAATCCGAATCAGCTGAGTTGAAACATGGATGAAACTGGCCGCTAAACATTCTCTTGGTGGCATCAGATTCAGACTGTGAAACAGCCCGATTTCATGACGTCCGATTTCTCGATACCTACCATTTGCACTTCCGGGTGCAAGACGGTGGTTCCAGAAGAGAAGGCGGCTCGGCTGAAGATGGTACTTTGTGTGGCACTCGACACATCTCCCAAAGTCAAACCAACTAATCAAAACGCTTGTCGCCCAGACCTCCCCGGATGCATGAGAGAGAATCGGGAAACTGGATGCCCAGTGAGATCGAATAAGATTGCCGCGGCACGGGATACATCATTCATACATCATATGAGCGGCTTCGGGCTTGATGATAACTGACAGAATGCCCACACTTTTTTCGGACGACATCGAGTCTCTGGCCAGTACAACCGTTAAGGGTACCACCCACTATTGCCAAATTGAAGTGGGCTTGGCTGGTATTGCGACTCGCGGGATACACACGGGATACACACATGTCTTGGTTGAGGTGCGCAAATCGGAAAAAAAGGGGTCTATGGAGGAGAAAAGCGAAAAATAAGATTGGTCAAGATTTGGGCATCCCACAAGTCTTTAAGATGCGGGAAGAACTTCACTACTGGTTCAACCCCAACCTTGGTTCTCGGGAAATTTTTCACACGGGAGCGAGCGGGACGGGATGGGCATACGGAACGGCTCGGACGGCTTAAGGGTTTAGGTGGAAGAAGAAGAACAAGAAGAGAGCTGCGACTTGCCGATTTATGCTTTAGGTACCTTACTCACGTGGTGATGCCGCCACTGGCGTCTCTGTCTATCTATCACTTAGACGATATTTCTCTCTTCCTTTCTTCAGAACTCTCCTTTTTGGTTTTTGGCTTTGTGTTTTCTCTCTTTTTTTTCTGGTTAAACCACTAGGGCGGCAAACTTTTATCTTTTCATGTCATGATCAGCGAACTGGGACGGGAAACCAAAAACTTGCAGTACACGGATTATAGCAAGGATCCATTGTTGGCTTACATGTCTTTTTCATGCTTGCCTTGTTGCTTTGCTTTATACACTTCACTTCTTACTTTCCCTCCCTTTTTTCTTACCTGCTTTGTACTTTAGAGGTATCTATGCCACTTACCGGTTAACATGTTGACGGGCATTTTAAATGGCTTATCTTCGTTGCTCTTTGTGGAAGATGTGTTTATGATTCTTTTTGTTGCTGTACTGTGATAACTACCAGATTTACTTCATATTTCAATCATGCTTGCTACATAGATACACAGGACACATGCAAATGAACTCTTGCCGTGAACGGAGATTTGCATTTTAATGTATATTTACTTGCTTGTGATATCTATGACGAGGCACGAGGCAAATGAAAGTGATCCTAAGTAACAAACGGATTTCCAACATACGTAGCATAACCTAACTTACTTACTCAAATGCCACAACAACACCATCAACGCCACATACGCCGCGAAACTCAACCCCGTCAACAACGCTACGCTATTCGCGCTGGTCCTGAACTTTTTCTTGACCACCACCACCGTCTTTCTCCTTTCCAGCCTTTGTCCTTGCATTCCTCCTCCTGACTCTCCCATCCCATCAACCCCCACCACCTCCCCTATCCCTCCAGTCCTCCGACTCCGCCCCAGTCCACCACCCTGATACGCAGTCCCACTCGCACTCGCACTCCCCACTCCATCCTCACCATCCTCCCCATCACGTTCATCATCATCAAGATCCTCCTCAACCTCCTGATCGAAAAACTGTCGATTGCCTTCATACCGTCTATAAATCGCCACCAGCATGACGGCGGCGCCGTACACGGCGAACAGCGCGCCGATGGGGTAGAATTCGCTCGTGAAGATCTTGAGGATGATCAGAGCGAAGGAAAACTGCGAGAGCGCGGTGCGCATGTAGGCGCCCTCAAAGGTGCGCTGGGCGGCGCGGATCTCTACCAGCTCTTGGCTGGTGAGAATCACGGAGCGGGCGCGGTGAAGACGCAGGTGGAGACGGTCTTCTGGGTAGGGTTGGAGGGCCTGGATATTTTAGCGGGTTGGGGTTAGTGGTGATATAAGAATGAGGGTGGGGAGATATACCTTGAACATTGAGGCCATGGTGGTTGTATGTATATGGTGGTTGTGTATGTAAGTGAATGATAGTGAATGATAGTGGTGAGTTGTGTTGTGACTTGTGAGTGGATGTCGTCACTCGTCACCGAGGGCGTGTAAGTCAAGAATCGGAAGGTTGTGATTTGGGTTGGTGCAATTGCAAGGAGAGTCAATACCGGGTAAGCCAATAATAGAAGAATTAAACCAAAGTTCCCTGTTCCTGACGGATTTCGAACCAGATCACATCAAAAGCTACAACCTTGTTGCGCAGTGTCCAGTCATAGTATGTTATTTAGAAGAGGACTGACTGGAGGTTGAACTGGAAACAAGGCCTCTCTCCACTCAAGTCTCAACACCAATTCCCACGATGCACGACATGGGAACGCTCCACCGAATTGTCCATTTCCATCCAATCAAAAATTTCCTTCCCTTCTTTCTTTACCCCTGCCTTATGGCCTGTGCGCCAGCTTCAGTTCAGCTTGGAGTCCCCCACAGTGTTAAACAAACGGAGTGCCTGCGCAAGCGCAGCGACCCCTGTCCCCGATGATGACAGCCAGATGAAGCTTCGTGGCCGTTTTAGCGACACAGCAGTTAGCAGTGGTGGTTTCTGTGTACCTTGACGGGAGCTTCCGATTCCACACCACACCTCTCAACCACAACCACGACCATCAACATTCAGCGACGTCGCGACAACGATTGAAATCCCAAACAACCGCCATAACCCCCTATTAGCGAAGCACAGCTCTAGGACCCGATCAATTGCAACCTACAATAAACCAAAAACTTGACCCCGACAACCAGAACAACACAATGGCTGGAAAGCGCAAGAACGCCGCCGCCGCCCGCGGCGTCTCCCCCTCACCCTCCGGTACAGCCTCGACAACATCAGCGTCAGCAGCAACAGTGACAACCAAAGTCGCGCCCAAAGAATCTGCTCCTCCCATTGCCACGACAACCAATGTCTTTGCTACCAGCACTCAAATTGAGCCTACCACGACTACCACTTCTACTTCGACCTCGACAACCCCAAAAAGCTCCGGTGCTAGCAAGAGCAGCAGCAGCAGCATTGTCGACAAGGGCGCACTCCCACAAGCATGGAACAAAGTGTTCAGCAACCTCCTGACACACTACCAGGACACGACGCCGCAGCGGACCAAGCTGCTTGATGCGTTCATGGCGTTCCTGGTGGTGGTGGGCGGGTTGCAGTTTTTGTATTGTGTTTTGGCTGGGAATTATGTACGTTTTTCTTTCTTTCTTTCTCTCCGTCTCCGGCTTCACTTCACAGTAGCCCTCCACGGTGGTAACCGATATGTTTTACAAATTGCTGTGGGAACAACATTGGCTAATTATGGTGCCCCCCAAAAATAGCCCTTCAACGCCTTCCTCTCGGGCTTCTCAGCAACAGTCGGCCAATTCGTCCTGACGGCCTCGCTACGGATCCAGACGACCGAGGCGAACAAGGGTGATTTCCCTTCGGTGTCGCCCGAACGGTACGTTTATCACACTTTACATACATTATTCTCCGACAATCCATCAAGGAGCAGTGTCGAAAGGAAGCGGGCTGTGTGTGTAAGATATAGCTTTGCTAACTAACTCGGTTGGTTATTACAGAGCTTTCGCCGATTACCTGGTCTGCAGTTTGATTCTGCATTTCTTCTGCGTCAACTTTATCAACTAAGACCTTGATGAAAGCAAGGTTGGGCGAGCGAGGAGCCAAAAGTACATGAGCGGGACGGGGAGGATTGTTATGCTGCTTGGGGGTAGGGAATGGTATCAGGAGGGCGATTGGGTGGAAAATAATTGCAAGAAGAACATGAATGAGCAAGCGAGCAAACGAACCGAGCGACAACAGAAAGCTGTTTCAATTTCAAGCGAGCAGCCAGTAGAAGACAAAACAGAGGCAGGAGGATATATCGATGAAAGGTGGCTGGCATGTTATTATACCTTTTACTTCTCTTCTACCTATAGTATGTAAAAAGGATGCTTCAAGTTTCACGTGGGGTTACTTTTCCTTCCTCTACTCACTTGCTGGAAATGGTCAACAAGGTGGAAATGTCCTGACTTTTGATAGTTGTAAATACAACACCCTGGGTGTCGTCCAACTCCTGCCTCGTCAGAGTTCTCCTAATATTCGACAGTAAGCCACTAACTCTCACCCACCTCAGCCGTCTCTTCCCCATTAGGCGGCGGCGACGACACGGCCTTGGGCGGCCCACCCTTTGGAGGACCTCCCATTGGCGGCGGCGGTACTGGTGTGTTCTTCCTGCTAGGAGCATTATCCAGTTCCCTACTCTTCTTCTCCTGCTCCTTGAAGTAATCATCCATCGAGCCCATCCCTCCCCTGTTCGCCGGTCTCTCCTTCTTCTTCCCCCTAGGCGGAGCAGCAGAAGAGACCGCCGCGCCGCCAAACTGTGCCGTCGGGGGTGGTGGTGTGCCGACCATCTGCGCTGGTATGAGGAACTCACCACCGCCGACGGGTGGTGGCGAAGGGGAGGTTGTTGTGGCGGGTGCATATTGGCCAGGTGCTGGTGGCGCTGCTCCCGGGTTGTATCCATACTGGGGTTGTTGTTGTTGGTACTGTTGCGGTTGTCCATGATGCTCCGAGTCGCCGTCGAACATGGTCTCGCCTGGGGCGTGCACAGGCTCGCTCAGGGGCGCTGGCAACCGGTGGAGGGCACCGTAGCCTAAGACGCATCCGAGGGCACCCTCACCACCCCACTCCCTACTGGGCTGGATGGTCACCTCGCGGGTGACATTATACTCGTTGTTGTAGATGTAAAGGCGCAGGGGGCGGCCAATGTGATCCTCCACTAGCTCACCGAGCCCGCTCTCGCCGTGGAGGACACCCTCAGGGGTGCCTAGGATGTAATCGCTGTATGGGAGAAGACCGGCAATGTCGGCGGGAGAGTTGGCGGGGACGTCAAGGACGTGCCAGATGTTGGTGACGACGGAGAGGGCGGTCCATTGGAGGGTGAGGCCGAGGGAGGCAGTGTCGGAGGGAACGGGGATGTGGAGTGCTCGTGTTCTTTGGCCCTGTTTTTGAAGCAAAAGCTGTCAGCATTGGGTGTAGTTCATGTTCAGGTTGGTGACATACCTTTGCGCTCCAAAGTCCTAGCTGGACAACACCGCCAGCACAGTTCCGTACTTCTTGGGCAAAGAGCCTCGGGTCAGAATCATCCTGGAGCAGAGCTCTGTTAGACATGTAGCTTTCTGAGTTTGACAGCTTTAAACCCTACAATCATGCGTCCATTGATTCCAACGACAAAGTCAAACCATGGCTCAACGGCCAGGTCTGGGTTGGTGTTTCGCAGCACTTGGAAGCCAAATCCGCCAGGCTGGTTCTCCTTGGACGTGGGCGCATCGCCGTCCAACCGGGATATGAACCTGTTTAGGGCATTAAACATGGTTGTCATTGTTGTGTATTATGGCGTGTAGCTGGGCGAGGGTTGGGTGTTGGTTTCAAGATTCGGTGATCATGCGATCTGGATGTTGGATCATCAAGAGAAAGTCGAGATGGAAGTCCGCGGCATGAAGCAACCCTGGCATTTACAGCACTGCACTCAGAGAGCTTTCGTGATGATGGACCGTGTTAGGTCACACCGTGAACGGCACGGGCAGCAACAGAGAGCCACCTTGCTGGTCAAAGCTCCCAATTCCAGGCACACTGTGGGGAATTGCGCAAATCTGAGTGGGGCTCCTGAATTGGGGAAAAAGACGAGTCCCTGCGACTTACACGATGCATGGAGACCACGGCACCTTTGATGTATCGAGCACTTCTCATATCTTCCTCATATCACTTCTTGAATCAATTCACAGTCATTTGGTCTTTCCTTCAGACCTGTGCGTGATCAGGGATTCTTCAATCACAGAAAGATCGGGATGAACAACGAGAAAAGAGAGAATCAGTTCATTCGTCACTGAACGTCCAGTCCACAATCTCACGCGGTCAACTACAACGGCAAATCCAGATTCCTAGACGGCCAAGACCAATATCATCATCACAAATAACACGAAACACGGTACCACAAAGCCCATCACAACCATCAACAGCATGGGTCCCAAACTTCTCAAGAAAGGGGAGAAATATCCCCTCGACGAGAATTGTCACCACTACACAAAACTCGGTGAAGTTCCCTGGGACATCCAAAAGTGAGTAGTAACCCCCTACCGTTTCCCACCTCCCAGTAGTAGCACGAACTAACACTCTGTCAAAAGATACTGGCACCAACGCTACTCGATCTTCGAGTTCTACGACTACGACATCCACCTAACCGACTCCGCCTGGTTCGGCGTCACGCCCGAGCCCGTAGCCACCCGCATCGCGCGAGATTTGTCCGTGCACCTCATCGCCTCTGGAAAACGTGTATTAATTGATCTCTTTGGCGGCGCCGGCGGCAACGTGATCGCCTTTGCTTTGTCGTCAGGGAGATGGGATCGCATCATTGCCATCGAAAAAGACAAGTCGACGTTGGCTTGTGCGCAGCATAATGCCGAGGTGTATGATGTGCTGGATAAGATTACGTGGGTGCATGGGGATTCGTTTGAGGTTATGAGGCGGTTTTGGAAGACGCATAACGGTGGGAGGGGGGCGGGGACAGTAAAGACGACGAGTAATGGTGGGCCAGAAGAAGATGATAACAACAACGAAGAGCTGGATACCCTCCTAACCTCCCTTAACCTCGAAGAAGTCTTGGTCTTCGCCTCCCCACCGTGGGGCGGCGTCTCCTACCGCGACCAGGAAGTCTTTGATCTTAGCAAGATGGAACCATATAATCTGGTGGATCTGTACGAGGCGTGCTCCTCACCCTCACCGCCATCGTCAACCCCCGCTCCTCCTGTCCCGACGACGACGACGACTCAGAAGCAGAAGCAAATCCTCCCACAAGCCCTTTTCCTACCCCGACAAAGCGACCTGAACCAAATCGCCGCGCTGGTACCAGACGGTGCGCCCAAGATCGACGTGGTGCAGTATTGTCAAAAGGGTGCGAGCAAGGCTTTGATGGCTTATTTGCCTGGGAATATTGATGCTGAGAAGGAGCAGGAGGAGCGAAGAAGGAGGCTGTCTGAGTCCGAGGAGAAGGAGAAGAAGGAAAGGGAGCTGAAGAAGAACTTGAAGAACAGGAAATATATCGATGAGCAGGAGGTGGAGCAGGAGCAAACAACAATACCAGAGCTTCTCCCTGAGACGCTGCCTGAAGCGCCGGTTGAGGCCCAGGAGGACGTTTCGATGGTCCAGGACGCTTCAATTTACGACACCTCCTACGTCTCTTACGCCCAGGACGAGGCAGAGAACGACACACCCAGCAAGACAGACAACAACGCCGAAAAAAGGAATAAGCGAAAACGAAGGAGACGCTCGTCGTACAACAACTAGCAATCGCCGCGGCCACCACAATTGGAAGGAAAGCAAGTGCAGGGAAGTCTGCAGAAAGCTCCTGGAGTTTTATGGTCAGGTTCGGGAACCGGGTGATTGATGACGCCTGGGGAATAGGGTATGATATTGTACGGACATCAGACAAGAAGATGGATGGACGGATGTGATTCGGCAATTTTTTGGAAGGATTTTCTTTCCCATTTTAATGGCCCTTTTTTTGTCACCACCATCATCGTTTCAGGAGTTTAGTGTAATGGAAACACGTGGAAAATGTAGAACCGCCACCAAGAACAGAATACGCTACATCTAGACTTAGAACTTAACCAAACAACCATAAGACTTTATTCAAACCTAAACTTCTTTTTAACAACGCTAACAGCAAGCCAATCCCAACCCAATTACCTACTACAACACTACCAGTCTACCACTACCACCGCCTACTCTCTGTCCTTGACCTCACTACCCCCGACCCCATCCCCGACCCAGGCGTCCCCATCCCAGACCTCGAACTCGATCGACTCCTACTACTTTGCCTCCCCCATTCCCTCAACTCCCTACTACCCAATCCAAGCGCACTCCCCCTATCACCACCGACCCCATACAAATCCACCACCACCCCTCCCAAACCACCATGGGCATGTCCCAAACTCAAACTCAACCCCGGAGATCTCCCACCACCACCATTACCAGAGTAAGTCCTAGCCCGATCCTAAAGAGCCTTCACCACGCTCCTCTCATCAAACAAATCCCTCAACAAGCCCAACACACACCCTTCCCAATCGACTTCCGTCATCTTATACGTCGTCTCAAAAGCAAAGATACTCAGCTGACCGAAAAACGGACGCAGAACCTTGGCAACCAGCTCATCCTTGCGCTCCATGCCTACCTCGTCACTTATCTGGCCTGAGAAATTTCCCAGCAAGGGGCGACGAAGGGGCTGTTGTTGTTGCTGTTGTTGGTCGACTCCGTCAATGGGAGAAAGGAGGGATGAGGGGTCTAGACCTAACGCTCCGGCGCCGGATAGGGATAGGGAGTGTGAGTGTGAGTGGGAGTGCGAGTACCCGTGGGCAAGCGGTGTGGTGACTAGGGAACCGTTCAGTTCCTCGGAGACTTCATCTACCAGTGCGACGGGCTGGTAGCTGGCTGCGCTGGGGCGGTAGACGGCGTCGATGGTGTCCGTTACGAATAACCACTCGTGCAGCTGGAAGTCATCGGGGGCGACGCAGACGAGCAGGTCCAGAAGCTTGCAGGCCTGCATGACGGCCGGGTTGCCGTACGTGTCGCTGGGCGCGGAGTGGTCGGGCGCGACGACTGAAGAGATGGCGGCGTGCAGCTCGGCGTTGACGACGGGCCAGAGCGGGGCGAGGTGGATGGCGCTGGGTGCGGAGGACGAGGGCGCGCATCACCATGTAGACTTCGGCGCGGGTGGTGGAGGAAGGGGAGGAGGTGGTGGTGGCGCCGAGGAGCTCGACGAGCTTGTCGAGGATGGAGGGCAGCTCGGTGACGAAGTTGTCATCGGTGGCGGCGAGTATGAGGGTGGCGATGCGGCGGAGGTTGAGTTGCGTCTTGCGATCGGCTTCGAGGCGAGCGGAGGTGGCGCCGACGCCGAAGACGATGCCTGCGGTCGAGGGCGGGGTGATGCGACCTAGGATTTCGGGCATGCGTTCCTTGTCTGCGACGGTCCATTGCTTGAGGAGGGGCAGCCAGTCGGTTTGCACGAGGCTCAGGTTAGAGCTGAAGAAGCGGGAGTCATTGAAGGCATCGGCAACGTCCTTCTTCCACGACTTTTGGTTGTTAGGTAGGCGGGATAGTTGGTGGAGCAAGACCAGGGTGCTCTTTGATACCGTGTCGGGGAAGAACTTGGACCGTAGCGTTGGGCCGATCACGTTGGCCGAGATGGAGGTGGCGGCCGTGAGGATGCGGTCATTCTCAACGAGGATCTTGGGTAGGTTGGGAACAATGTTGGAGAGGATCCCGACAACGTCGTCTGCGCGTTCGAACGGAGTCCGGATTGCTGCTACGGAAAGCGTACGAGGGGCTTCATTTGGCCTCTTCTCTGATAGAAGGAGGTTAGGGGTGGATGAGGAGTAACTTGTCGAAGAGTTTTCCACAAAGCTGGTAGGCCGTGTGGTGAAGATGGCCGCTAGAAGACGGAGGAAGAGATCCGCCAGTTCACGACGCATCTTCCTCTGTTCTCCAAAGTTGGTGTTATCCACCTTCTCACCCAAAATGGCAGCAAACTCCAACAAACTCGGCAACGCCTGGCGATGAGGCAATGGGTTGCCTAGGAGATCCTTCAAGAAGATCATGCAATCCTGCCAAATCTCATCCATCGCATCATCCTCTAGAGTGCGCGCATAGTCAACCAAGAAGATAACCACGTCTGTGTCCTGGAGTTCAATAGTAAGGGTCGACCTCCTTGAGGGATCCAGCGCGCCCGGGTTGGTCCTACTGTATATGGCGTTGAACAGAGCCGGAATTGTATGTTGCGGCCTTGATCCGTCCAGAGCAGGCAAGAGGTTGAACACCTCCGCAGCCTTGGATGTATCAGAACTATCCAGCGCACCTCTCCATATCCCGATGACTGTTTCCAGGCACTCTAGTGTCTCCGCCGCAAAGAGATGCTCCAGGAGCCTTCGGGCCCGGTTTCTCATCCGTAGAGAGGTGTAGTTGAACGAAGCGCCCGAAGAGTTGTCTTGCAGGGAGGCATCGCTTCCTTGACCCCAAGACCAGATGGTGAAGCAAATGCGCACCGCATCTTGGAAGGCCAGAAGGACGGTAAGTCGATCGTTAGCCGTGGCGCTTCGGGTCTGAGGTGCATCGGATGAGAAGACACCGGAAACCATGTTACCGAAAAAGCCTTGAGGCTGGTCTGGGTTCTTGACAACCTGGGCCCTGGCCTCTTCAGCCAGGAGCCTGTCGTGCCCTCTAGCCAGTACCTGCTCAAGGCCATTCAGTAGGGATATGAGGGTAGTCTCGGGACCAATCTGATTGTGCGTCGGAGGGTCGTTTGATGCCCGGAAGAGCTGCTGCAGTCGATTGAAGGTAGAGGAAATCTGACTGCAGAGTGTCTCAACCAGCGGGATTAGAACCTGGAAGATCGAATCTGAGTAGAGTGGTAGGCACTCGGCGAGAAAGCTGATCCAACAATCCAAAACCTGTCGGCTGCTGGGCGCACTGAGTCCAGAAAGGATGCACTTTAGTAGTGTGGGTGGAGGCGGCTGAAGAGCGGATGGTGGTTTCCCTCCGGACACAGTTCGGAAGGACTTAGCCGAGTCTGCGGTAACACTTGCAGCGCGTTTCTCAGCGGTTGGTGATTCCGGAAGCTCGACTGGTGCTAGCTCACGAAGCTTCAAGGCCGCAAAGAGAACGTCCAGAAGCAAGGTCTGGACGTAAGGCTCCGGGCCTGAAAGTGACTGGGTGAGCATATCAATGAGAGGGTTCTCAAGGTGTAGGTGTGCTAATGGTTCAGCATAGGGGTTCATCAGGATAAGGTGCATTACGCCCAATGCTGAGCGATAAAGTTGGGTCACCCTTATCTGGGAGCTTTCATCTTCTAGAGTATTGACGTCTGCCATGCATTGCATGGCAACCTTGAGGAACAACTCCTGGAACGTCAGATCATCCTCGGATCCGGCTGATTTGGTTAGTTTTCATGTAAATGACGTCGGGATGGGAGAGTAACATACTAATTGCAGATAATGATGGGAAGTAAGAATCAGGGCGAATAGTCTTTTTCGCAAGGAACGCCCAGATGCTGTCAGGGGTGAAGCGAAAGACGTTGGACAAGGAGCGAAGGTAATATACAGCCAGCTCCACATCGTCCTCTTCGGAGAACTTGCGGGCTTCTTTGGCTTCAGCTGAAGTGGTTCGGCGTCGCAGACATGATAGCTCGGCCAACTTGGACACGAAAATATTGAAAATTCTGGACATAGGCGTTAGCAAGCTGTAAATCGTAACCCAGACGGCCTGGGGCCATACTTGTCTATTCCAACCAGGCTACTAAGCCAACCCTTGACTGTCATGAATAACTGTGTACGCTCGTCTGTGAGCGCGTCTAACATTAGGAATAACGGGCGGGTAAGCATGACTTCGTAGTTATCTATACCACCAAGGCGTGGCGGCGCCTTTGCGTCAATGATAGGGGTCTTGGGTCCTCTGCGATCGCTTCCAGAGGGGTTGTCTTGGAGACTATGTGACCAAAGCACACAGAAGCTTCGTCCGGGGTCAGCAGGACGCTGAGCAAATGTGCCTGACACATCTTTCTCCAGCATTAGAGAACATATGGCTGCTTCGATGTCGTGATTTGTTGGTGTCAGAGCCGTCTGAAGCAACCAAAGACTCCGGACCGTCTCGACGTGATATTTTGGCTCTGACGACGACAGGAAGGTCCATGCGTGTCGTACCAAAGGACTGACCAACTCGGAGAGGTCCACGTGGGAAATCCGGTCGGCAGAATAAAGGTGGGTAGAAAGGGTCAATAGCGAATAATAGGTGGTAAAGGTAATAAAAGCATCTGATGACAGACACCCGTGAATGGAAGCAAGAAGTTTCTTGGTATCGAGGAACGATCTGTGAGGTGTCTTTGTGAGAAGAAGTAAGAGGACTTTGCTCTTTGCAGCGACGGTCGGGCCGGACTCGCGTTCACTGAAACTCTCACAGTTCAAATCGCAAGCTTTTTGCAACAAGAGTTCGGCCACATTCTGCGGTACAAATGGGCGAGAGGTGGCCTCCAAGTTTCCTTGTTCGGCGTGGTAGAAGTTCTTGATCTTCTTGAGCAGTTCAACATTTGGGATTCCGGCCAGAACCTTGGACTCGATGCCTTTGGCTTTGGCACTGGTGGGAAACGCTCTTTCTGGTACGAGCTCCAACAAGCTCGCAGCGATTGTCAAAGCCTGGACCAACAAAGTTGTACCGTCGGGTAGGAGAGTGGTCGCATAAGTGTCACTCTCCTTTAACTCCTCGATCATGCACAAGATGGAGAGGACTGTAAGTGGAGCATGGATGGTTATCATCTCTTCTTCGCTGACGTTGAAATGGCCGAGAATGAACTTGACAAGGTCAAGTTTATCGTTACGATCAGTCACTGAGAGTTTGCCCGGACTGATAGCCTGAGCCACGAGATTAAGCATTTCGCTGTAAATCAGCCCGCTCTCGACACCGTCAAAGAAGACACTTGCGCTCCTGATCACCTCGGTGAAGTCTGATTTGTTTTCTGCTTTGGCTTTGAAATCTCTGACGCTGTCGACAATGGGAAGGAATACCTCAGGCACAACCAAGCCACCGATTTCCCACCTGTCCATCAAGGAAAGACAGATACGATATGGCTTCGCTCGGTCTGCCGGATTGTTCCCAACGCTACTAGCCTTGATCATGCTGAGCAGGGCCCGAGTCAGGGGTCGCAACCCAAATTCTTCAAAATAGCTTGTCCTCGACATGAAGTAGGCAGGGGTGCTTGCAGTAGTGGTAGGAGAATCGGGGCCGCCTTCGCCATCATGTGCAGCCGTCGGCTCAGGACCAAGGAGCCACGTCCACAGTCGTCTGTTTAGACTCATATCTCTCCGGGTAGTTACCCCAACGGCGGTCTTTAGGAGGAGTTCTAGGTCATCAGTCTTGGCCCTGGATTGCAACACCTTGGAGTGCAAGGGAAGGTGGGTGACCAGCAAATCAAGAAAACCACGCTGGATAAGGATCTGGTCATCGGCCAAACCAGCGGCAAAACAGCGGATCAGCAATCCTGGCTCGGGAGAAGTGACCAGCTGTACCAACTTGGCGGAAACCTCGGGATCCAAGCCATTGCGAGTCTCGGTCTTATGGCCCTCTGAATGTAACGAGTGTCCCAGCTCGGGCAAGGCGCGCAAGAGATATGCCAAGGCGCCAGTTCTCCTACTATGCCCGGTTATGGAAGCCAGAAAGAAGCACTGCCAGAAGAAGTCGTCGCCAGAGGAGTGAGTTAGTGTTATTATTTCGCTTCTTGTAGGGCGGAGGGCGGCCTTGACGCGTTCCATAAGCTTTAACGTGCGCTCGAAGTCCTCGCTTGTTTCCTCCTCAAGACCCGGCAAAAGAGCAAGTATGATCGATTTTAGGGCGGGTCGAAGAGATCGCGGGTTGAGATCCAAGAAATGGCGTTCGAGTAGGCCGAGGAAAGGGGTCCGGACGGACAGTGAGGCGAACGAGAGAACCGAGGCAAGGCCGGGGAGATAGAGGGGCAGGTCTCGCGACAGACCATCCTTGCCAATGACTGTAAATATAAAGTTGTAGACCTCGAGGGTCTTTTGGTGAACGCCGGACGGAAGAGACGGGTTCAAGCATTGTGATAGACGCTTTGCGACGGTAGCCTTGGCGGGGATGGTGTTGATGGTGGACGGTCGAGCCTGGAGGGCCTTGAGGAGGCGGTTGAGGAAGGAGATATAGTCAGCCCATTCTTGGAGGGCGGTATCGAATAGGGAGAGAGCTCGTTCGACGCCGGAAGCGTACTTGCGGTAGTTCTTGTCTTTCGGCGCAACATCGTCTGTCCATCACCGGCCACCACCTAGTTAGCTACCTGCTAGTTATACTCTGGTCGAGATGTACCCATAGAGAGGGAGATTGGCGGGATATGACATACCATTTCCAAGTTGGTTCCTCCATTGCTTGGGTACCGGAGAGTCGCGGCCAGAGCTCTCAGGGGAGATGGACCTCGGCCGTGTGGGATCGAGAGACATGGTAGGGGGCTGGGGTAGTGATGGCGATCTTTGTGTCGAGACGGAAGTCTAGGGATTCGAGAACAGGACGTCCCCTGATCTAGGCAGACTGCTATGGGTCATTGCCGTCTCGAGGTGGCCGACGGGGTTGGAAACGGGGGGGCGAGATGCCGGTGGGTGATATCCTGAGTGTGGTGTTGAAGTCGTAAAGGTACCCAAAACTCCACCAAGAAGATGTAAACAAACAGCTCCACGGGTTGACGACGTTGAAGTGCAGCAGGCGAGAGGGAGCTGTCGGACGCTGTCACTGTGAGGCTACGTTGTTAAGGTGGGCATCTGTAAGACATAGTGGAGCACACGCTGTTGGAGCTGTTCGTCAGCGCCCCACTCCTACCCTGCCGTTGCCTGCACCCGCTAACGGGGTTCCATCCAATCACTGATCTTCCCCACTAACACCAAGCTGCAGGGGCGGTCCGCTATCTTATCGCTAACATTTTGGGATTCTGGAAGGTCTCCCTCATTCCCCTGTGACCGCTCTCACTGTCGTCATTCTTCCGGTCGACAGTCGCATCCCGTTTTCTTTGGTCCCGTCTCCTTTCTTTCCTCTAAACTCATCCCAACTCCTTTTCAAATCAAAGACCCCCGACATCTCCCCCCCATGGAATGGAGTTGCGGAATAAGTCAGCGGAAAGAGGACACACGACTACAGTGAACGAAAGAGTCCGACAATGCTCAGATCGGAAACCAGGTCGACATCGGTGAAACTGTCGACGCCGAGCTGCCACTGTCTTACTCACAACAATGGACCGGGACATTGAAGCCGGAAGCATTGACACTAACAACAACAACAACAACAACAACAACAACAACAACATTCAAAAGAACCAAAGCAACAACATCGAAGCCGTCGACCATGTCCCTCCTCTACCGCCCCGTCCCAGTCGCAAGTTGTCGGACGATGGCGCATCTGGAGCCCTACACGTAACGGCCGCTTCCAAGCCCACCACCCAAGTGTCGACCATTGACATCTCTACTCTGTCCTTCCCCGATGGATCGCGCGGCACGTTCTCGACCAGCGCGACAAGCGCGACAAGATCCGTTGCGTCGCCCCAGTCGAGCGCCAGCGGCTATACCTCTCCGCGCACCGACCCGACGGCAGAGACTGTGAGCGTCGCAAGCTATCCGGCAACCCTCCGTCCACCTGGAGACCTGGCAGATCTTGTCACCGGCGAGTTTAACAGGCGAAGCCGGGCATGGTCTATGCTGAGGACTCAGTCATCTTCTGTCCAGCCCTTCGAGGCCAGCAGGACCGGCGCATGCGACACCTTGGCCGGGTTCGAGAAGGAGTTCGATGACATCCCTGAACTAGGCGACAAGGGCATCACCGACGAGCAGCGACTATCACTCTGGAAGTCCAAGATGAAACACTACATGATTCTGTCATCCGCCGGAAAACCCATCTGGAGTCGACACGGCGACACAAGTCTGATCAACTCGTACATGGGTGTGGTACAAACCATCATCTCCTTCTATGAAGGCGCAAAGGACCCCCTACTCGGTTTCACCGCCGGCAACGCTCGCTTCGTCATCAGCACTCAAGGCCCTCTTTACTTCGTGGCTATTAGTAGACTAGGCGAGAGCGACGCCCAGCTTCGAAGTCAACTAGATGCTTTATACATGCAGATCCTGTCCACCCTTACACTTCCGACACTCAAGAACATCTTCGTCCACCGTCCTTCCACCGACCTCCGAAAGCCACTAGAAGGAACCGAGTCCCTCCTCTCCTCCTTAGCCGATTCCTTCACCAAGGGCTCCCCTTCCGCCCTCCTCGGGGCTCTCGAGTGTCTACGGCTGCGCAAATCCCACCGAGCGACCATCAACAACGCCTTCCTCAAGTGTCGCAGCGACAAGCTGCTCTACGGCCTGATCGTAGCAGGCGGCAAGCTCGTCAGCGTGATCCGGCCGCGCAAGCACTCGCTCCACCCGAGCGATCTCCAGTTGATCTTCAACATGCTCTTCGAGTCCGGTGGCATCCGCGCCGGTGGCGGCGAGAATTGGGTACCGCTGTGTCTGCCGGCTTTCAACAACCGCGGCTACCTGTACATGTACGTGAGCTTTTTCGACTCGGTAGATACGGCAGCCGAGTCACAAGAAACCAACAACCCACCATCATCATCACAAGACGGTGGTCCTCCTCCACCACAACCACAACCACCAAAACCAATTCCCTCACCAGATGAAGAAATAGCCATAATCCTCATCTCCGCCGACAAAGAGTCCTTTTTCGACCTCAAATCCATGCGCGACAAACTCGCCCTTCAACTAGCCAAGAACGGCTCCCTAGCCCTAATCCAGTCCGCCGCCCGTCAGGGCCGTCCCCGTATCGAGACTATTCTAAACCTCAACAACACCCAATTAACAACAGAAAGCCAAGGCCAGGGCCAAGGTCAGGGACAACTAAGCCACTTCCTCTACAAATCCCGCGCAAACGTTCAATTCTGCCAATCCAGCCTTTCCCCCGCTTTCGAATCCCCTTTATCCTCCTCATCCCCCGGTCCATCCTCCTCAGCCCCAGAAAAAGGCTCATCAGTTACCACCTCATCGGAAAGACAACGAACAGCAGACAAATTACTGGTCTCCCGCCGCCGCCTAATGACGCTCTACCACCATTTACACAGTTCCATCCACGCCAAACATTCGCATCTCAAAGTCCTGCACTTGGTGAGCGAGGACGCGGCGAGCTTGGCGTGGATCACGCCCGTGTTCGAGTTCTACTGCGTTGCCGGGCCGAATATGTCCAGGGGGGTCATGACGCAGTGTGCGAACAAGGTGGTGCAGTGGGCCAAGAGGGAGGAGGAAAGGTTGTTTATCATTGGGGGTGGGGTGTTTTGATCTCATACTAAAGGGAACACATTAGCATTGGGTACTTATTGTCACAATGATTTTTTGGAAGGGGTTTGGTCTGCGTTACGTTGGGGTTTGTTTTGGCATGTCATAGTCTGCTCTGCTTTGCTTTGCTTTGGGTTGTTATTCTTGGTCATTTAGGGAGATACCACACACACATATATCACCGGTAGTTTTTTTCGTATACGTTGTTACCTTAATCATGTTTCATTACTTCTTTTATTCTGAGCGCCGTGATATGGCCTTGTATTAAAGTGGACTGTGTCATACTCACACCTAGCTCTTTGGTCATCTACCATAGATACTTCTGAGCCCTTGGTACAAAACTGCATTCCTAAAAATGTAGGTGTCGCGGTGAGTATCCGGCTTAGGCCGCCAACATGATACTTTCTTAAAAAGATGAAGCTATCAACATGATAGAGCAATCAGTTTTCCCTCTCCTAAAGCATATTCATCTCTCAATCCGAAGGCATATAAATACCTAAGAGAACTCACAAATATGCCCGAAACACGCAACTCAACCCCATCATGTAAAGCTGGAAAATGAGGGTCTGACTTCTCACCACCTGTTCACCATGCCACTCGGTCAGTCCTCTGACTCCAGCTTGATCATGGTGTCGGCTTCACCAACAACCACCGAAACCCCATCCTCTCTGTCCTCTCCGCCCTTTCCATCATCTCCGACCTTCCCGACCTTGTCATCCTTCACATCCTTCACATCCTTCACATCCTTCACATCCTTCACATCCTTCACATCCTTCACATCCTTCACATCCTTCACATCCTTCACATCCTTCACATCCTTCACATCCTTCACATCCTTCACAGCCTTTATATCCTTCTCGTCCTTTTCTTTGTCAGAACCCTTGACAACAGAAACTTCATTTTCAACGTCGGAGACGGAACCATGAGTAGAGGCAAGGGAAGTAGTTCTTTGGGTGTCGGGATTCAAAGCAGAAGTGATAGGTTCCCATCCTTCAAGGCCCGGGACAGCCTTCAAGGAAGTACCGCCATCACCACCACCATTGGATTTTGAAGCACCATTGGATTTTGAAGCACCACAGGACTTGGAAGCACCACAGGACTTGGAAGCATCACTGGACTTGGGAGCTTCCTTCTTGTCAGGGGTTAGTGGCATATATGCCGAAACGGGCGTTCTTCTCACCGTTGCAATGAATTCCTCCAAGTCTTCTCTAACATGCTTCTTCATACCTGCGAAGGGACTCGGATTGATGGGCATTCCGTTGTCCGCTTGGGGCTTGCAGGTGGAGGGACCAAAAGTCGCACTTTGTCCCCTAGAGGCGCAACATCCAGATCCGCGGCTTCCACATCCATTGCACGTCATGTCCAACCAAGATTGTGTGTTAGATGCGGGTCCCTCAGCGGTGAGTGCCATGTAAGTGACGGGGATCTCTCGTTGTTCCACTTGGGGCCTTTTTTGGTGCTTTCTCTGGTGCTGTCTCTGGTGTTCAACTTCCACAGGATACAAGTGATCGTCACAGTTCTCGGGAATGGAGCGAAAGCCATTGATGACCCTATTCCGGGCAGATTTGACGTTGGAAGAGTTCTTTTGGTCCTGGCCAGAGGGAGCGGGGATATCTAGCTCGCTAATATCGGAAGAACGGTGACCGCTTGGATGGTTAACAGCCATGCTATTCGGAGTTGACGGCTCAGATCGTCCGGTGGGTAGGTTCCGGGGGTCAAAGTCAGTTGGGGTCATCGCGGCGAGATGCATGGACTCGCAGTGATCCCAGTATCCTAGACCGTAACCTGTGGAAGCGCCGTGGGGGAGTGGGCGATTCTCACGCCACTTTTGCTCCCAGCGAGGGTTTTTGGCGTTCATGCTGTCCACCCATCTGCAAATCTCAACGACGCTGTGTCCGTTTTCGCCCGCCACCTCTCTTGCTTTGAGCACCAAGTCAATCTCATCGCCGATATAAGAACACTCTTCCTCTGGACCCTCCCCGCTTGGAGGAGTAGGATTATTGTCGATGGGCAAGTCGTCGGCAGTCTTGGTTTCCGCCATAGCGCCTTTCAACATGGTCTCAAGGACCTTTACCCAATAGGAGCAAAGAAGGGTGATTATAAAGACGGAATCGAGATCTAGCTGCGCTTTGGTACGAAGCTTTCCGTGAATAGGTTTCGTGGAATCCGTGCAAAAACGTCTGAAGATGAAATTAACCAACGAGGTCAGCAAATCTTTTTTTTTTATTTTTTTATTTTTTATTTATTTTTTTTATGGAAAGTTTTATTAAGGGGAGTTACTTACCCGATCAAGGGAATTCTTCGGCAATACACATCGAGGAGCAGAAGAACGAGGGCAACGACGTGTCCGGGCCAGAAGAAAAGTGCGAGGAGTGGCTGGACATCTGAGCAGTCAAACGTAAAGAGGATGAAGCGGTAGATGACCGCGCGAGCAATGAACGCAATGCCCCATGATAAACCAGGCGAGCTCTTGTCGTTTCGTCCGATCCCGATCTCCTCTGGGACAGTTCTTATGTCTGTGTAGCCTAGTGTCGTGGATGAAGAACGACGGGAATCGGCGTTCTGGAGAATGGCAAGTCAATTCAGATGTTCAGGGCGTGTTTCGCAGATGATCTGGAGGCGAGTGTCCTCTGGACTTACCGGAACCATCTTTGCGGTCTGATCCTGCAGATCAAATGATGATTACCTCGACGTAACCTATACGATGCTTCGTTCTTCGTGGCGTTGGGTCGCAAACGAGATGTGGGATGGAAAATGATGGTCCCAGACGCAGCTCTTGTACGAAGCTTGGGGAACGAATGTCCGAGGAAGCGAAGAGCTGGGAGATTTTAACTGAGGGGAACACTTGTCCACATGCTCATTGATGTGGCCCTGCTTGCCACTGCCACCCCTGCTGTTCAAACTGGGAAGCTTCAACAACGGGTGCATGATGCATGCGCAAGACAACGGAATGTGCCTGCTTTGTAAGAGTGAGGACTGTACCCTAGAAGGGGTCATGCTTTCCTCTAAGCCTCGCCCCTAGGGTGGGGTTTCCCGACGGTTTTGGGCCCAGGAAACTTCTAAACGAGAGTTCAGAAGGAAGTATCGAACCTGTATTTCGGCTCTCCCAGTTTTGGCCATGGTGTTGCATGACATCGGTATTATCCGACCATAGCCTTGCCGAGTGACGATGCGGTACCCAGCTGTATCTCAAGGTCATAACAAAGGCTACTCGTACTCGACGATACACAGTCGGTAACTCTAGCCACCGAAGAACTTGTATAGCTGCGTAGTCAATAGATTAAAACGACTTCAAGGTGATGGATACCAAAAATATCATAATCAACTCTTGCAAATTGGGGTATCATACTAACCAAAAATCACCCTCCTGACCTCCCAATCCCTCTCCTTTTCTCCGGCTTTCTCAAGCTTCCCCAACTCTCAACCCCCTTCAACTCCTCATCAGGCCCTTAAACGCATCCTGATTTCACACTGATTTCCTTCAAGATAAGGCCATATAGGCGCCCCCTACCCATCCTCTATTCACCTCCCCCTACCTCCCTCAAGCCCCCAACTACAACCCATACCTAACCAAACACTCCTCTCGATGCGCCTCCAAGCACTCCAAAGCACACACCCTCGCCCCGCATTTGATGCACTTGACCCGTCCCCAATACCCACACACCTCGCAGAACCTGCGAACCGGGTACCTGCCCTCCTCCTCCTCGGTCCACTGCGCCCTTGCCTCGGTGTAACTCAGCGGCGGAGCCGTCATCAGCGCCCGCAGCTCCTCGTCCGTCGGAAAAGGAGGGACGCGCGAGACGAGCAGGGGGTCGTCGTCGCCTGGGTGCGGGACCGGTGGAGGCCGGGCGTAGGCGGGGAGGATGGTGCCGTCTGGTGGGTAGGATTGGGGTTTTGGTGGTTCCGTTTCCGTTGTTTCTGTCGTGGAATCGTCGAGGGGTGTTGATGTGTCGGGGCGTGGTGGGAGTAATTCTGAGGGGTCTGCGGCGGCGGTAGCTTCTTCTGTGGTTTCGGGGGTCATCTCTACATCGCCGTCATCGTCATCGTCGGCTGGTGCCGGCTTCGGTTGTGGTTGGGTCTTGGGCCTTTTGCTAGACCCGGCCTTCTCTTCTTTCGCTGCTGCGGCTGCTGCTGCCGTAACCGCCGCCCGCTTGGAAGCGGCTGAGGAGCGTTTATTTGTGCTTGCGGTGGTGATGGTCGATGGAGCAGGAGAGTTCCTCGCTGTCGTTGTCGGCGTTGGTTTGTTTACTTGGGCTGCGAGCTGGGGATTGCTCTCGGCTAGCGCCAGGAAGGCATGGTAATCGTCTAAATGGTTCGCGAAGGTCTTTTGTGATTGTAGAATCTTGCGCACGTTCGGTGTGTGTTTATTTTGGGCTATCCAAGCCGATGTCATGTCAGCTCCGTGATCTCTCTTCTGGGTATACAGTTTGGACGAAAGCGCACCTCTTGACCCGCCCGCCTTGGGCGGTATAGGAATCTGCGCATCCCTATGTGAATCTTTGTCTAGCGCCTCGAGATCTTTCCTGATCTTTGCATCTTGTCTGGCAGTAAGATCGGGAGCGCCGACGTTGGCCTTATCTCGCGCAGCACGTTTTCGGTTGAGAGGTTGTAGCGCAGCGGCCGCGGCGGGGGTAAGGCCGGTATCTGGGACATACGCCCATCCTGGGGCGTTTTTCGTCTTTTGACTGGCGACTTCGATGACGCCGAAGTTGTTCATGGTTTTGATGTATCTTTTTAGTCTGAAATTAAATGCACTATCGGTTGAGCGCAAGGTTGGCGAGGTGGGATGGAAAAAGTTAAAACGGTGATGTAAGAGGGGAAGTTCGGTTGGGGAAGTTTTAGGTGCCCGAACCGCGTGGCGCGTTTATCGTGCTAAGCCAGGGTCCGGGGTCACTATAAAACGGCGCGAGATCACCGGATCTGCCAAAGCTACCCCTGAATGTCCGCTCTAGCGCAGGGTCATGGTGTCTAAGAATTTAAGCTGGAAAGCCAATGAGAGAGCTCATCGAAGCTTCAATTGTCTGACAGCTCCCGCGAAGCGCTTGAAGCTCTTGAAGCTCTTGAAGCTCAAGAAGTTGAGAAGAGTCGCAATCATGGTCACTGATTCGTTGTGTACTCATAGTCATGTCCAGCATCAAGCGCGCAGATACCAATGGTAAGAAGTACCTATGTTTCACTATGAATCCCAATCTTTCTGCTTCAAAGCACCGAAATCCGATATACACCGAAACCTCCAACTGCCACCAGGGCACGCTCTCCTTCATTGCTCGAACTTTTCTCTCTTCAACTGTTGATATCAATAAGTTTCATCCCGCATCCTCGGTTCGATTTTTGTTTCCCCCGGTAAGCACTGACTTTGCGCTCCCATATCGTTCAGTCAACCTTCCCATGCTTCCATCCCATCCTCCATCCTCAAAGATATCAATTACTTCCTCTTCCTCTCCAAAACCTCCATCTTCTCCTCCAGAGTGATAAGATACTTGCTCAACCTATCGACAGCGTTCTGAAGAGCCTATGTTTCCGAAAGAAAAAAAAAAAGTCAGCACTGTTTCTTTCCGTTCCTCCCATCTTGCTGTTGTTTGTTGTTGTTTTTGTTTGTTGTATGTATATCCATGAACCTACGTAGATATCTTCCGTCAAAAGCTCGTTCGAGGCCTTATACTCTTGGAGCGCATAGTAGTAGACGGCACCGCCGGCGAGGGTGCTACCGAAGAAGAAGCCGAAGAGCCTGTTGTTGTCATGATTGGGTGCGTTAGCTTGCTTCGTTTCTTTCCAGACTGGAGCTTGTGAAAAGAATCCCATCCCCTTCAGTTTTCATCGCGTGCGCCAGCTTTATACCAAGCCGCATCTTTTCTTCCCGTCGCCAAACGTGCCGTCCACCGTCCCATCTTGCATGCGTCGCAAACCATCCCATCCCTCCAACTCTACCCCTTCCCACCACTACCTCCTCCTCTTCCCAACAGCGGCGTTCCTCCCCCCGGGCCGTATAGGTCCCATGCGCCGCCAGCCTCCCACTCAGACTCAATCTGCCAAGTACCCCATCACCCATCACCCACCCATCCATTGTATACCCAAGTCACCAACCAACCCCAGCCAAATTCCCAGATCCAGAACGAAAGGACAAGCAAGATGAACTCACCCTCCACGAAAAGCACCAACAGGCTTCCTAGCAGGCAACGGCGGCGCAACACCGGCACCAGGCACTCCAGCGCTGGTAGTCGTAGCGACGGACTCGAACCTGCGCGCTGATGTCTGGAAGCCGCGGCGGAAGGCGGTGGATAGAAGGAGTCTGGAGGCCATGTTTTGTTCTGTGCTGTGTGTTTGGCTGTCACTGTGTCTTGTTTTCGTTCGGCTGAATTAGAGTTGCGCTTCCTTGTGATTGCGCCTGGTTTTCGTTATCGTTCGGTCTCGGTGGTTGCAATTGGTCGTGGTGGTAAATGGGATTGGCTGGAATGGAACTTTCGCGGTGATTCGGGTATTGATTGATTTGTTCAGGTCGTAATGCAATGGCGAGGGTGATGTGGTAGAAAGCGAGGGCGGTTGCGAACTGAATGAACTTTGCACTTGGGAACTGAACCCAAACTAAACGAACCGGGGAAACGACGTCAGGTCAGTATCGCCAGACGAGCGGGCAGGGCGCCCCGCGGGAACTGAACGGCCAACAGTCGTGACGGCACGACAGGGGTCTTGAGTGGTAGGTTCATTTGAGCCAATCAGTGCGAGGAAACAATTGGGCGGGGTGCGGAGGCAGAATGGTCAATCGGCTTGACACGGTGGACGTGTCCTTGCCGTGATAAACTGATAAGGATCGCGATAAGGACCTCAAGGTGCCGGACAAAGAGACGATCGAGCAAAACAAAGGAAACAACATCTGTCAGAACATCACGAATGGAACTAATTGATGTTGTGCGTTTTTTTTTGTAGATTCCGCTAATAACTGATAGACTATAATGAATTCCCTTACAAACATGCCTTTTGGTATCTTACTCCCAGATTCGTACAAGGTCGCTTTTCCCCGAAAATTGCTACTGTTGCCCAGCTAAAGATCATGTTCCCAGTGAAACCCATAATAAATGATGATGCTATTAAATACTTAATGACTCGTCTCGACTGAAACCCTTTAGAGCTCGTCGTGGCTGGTCTCCTTGGCGGGCTCCTCAACGGTGCCAGTCTCGGTGGAGGAACCAGACTCGGCGGAAGCGGCAACGGACTCCTCGGCCTCATCCGAGGGAGCAGCCTTGTACTTGCCGTTCTCGGAGATGAACTTGATCAGGTCCTCAACGGTGCGGGAGCCAGAGTACTCAACGGGCTTGTCCTTGGCACCAGCAGCGTAAAGCTTGATGGTGGGGAAGCCCTGGATCTCATCGGGAACGTCGTTGAGGGTAGCATCAACCTTGGCGATGACAACCTTGTCCTTGAACTCGGAGTTGGCATAGAGGGTAGCAAGCTCATCGTACTTGGGAGCGAGAGCCTTGCAGTGACCGCACCAGGGAGCGTAGAACTCAATGAGGACATCCTTGGTGTCGTCAAGGACAATGTCGTTGTAGCTCTTGGCGACGACGACGGTGACGGGGCCCTCCTGGGTCTCGGGGATGGGCTCAGACTTGATGGAAGGCTCGACCTTGCCGCCAACGAAGTCGTCAACGAACTTCTGGATGGACTCGACGGTAATCTCCTTCTCCTGGTCGAAGGGGAACTTCTGGTTCTTGGTAGTCTCCTGGATGGCGAAAGCAGGGAACTTGTCGGTCTTGAGGTTCAAGTTGCCGGCGTGAGCACCGAAAGCCTTGGCGTCAATGGTAGCGAAGTTGATAACACCACGCTGGGACTCAGCAATGGGCTTGAGGGCCTCGCTAAGCTCCTTGCGCTCCTCGGGGGTCTCGGCGAAGATGTAGGCGAGGGGAATGCCAGCGGACATGTATCCAGCATAGGTATCAGGGCCAACCTCACCGATGAGGGGGGTGGAGGCGGTCTTGGCGAACTTCTCGATGGCCTCGGCGTCGAACTTCTCAGTGAAGACGGCCTTGCCCTCGTCGAAGTCCTTGTAGAGAACGATGGCAGGGGCGGTGACACCCTCAGCCTCGGCGAGAGCGACATCGCTGCTGGCACCAAAGGGGTACTCGTCGCGGAGCTTATCGGCGACCTTGGAGAAGGTCTCGTTGGCGGCCTTGTCGGTGGCATCGAAGTAGGCGACAATGACGACCTTGTCGGCCTTCTTGAACTCCTCAATGTTGTCCTTGGTGAGGACAGAGACAGAGGGAAGGGACTGCTTGATCATGTAGGAGGTGATGGCACCGGCCTTGCGCTGACCCTTGTAGGGGGAGACGGTGTCGAGGCCACGGAAGACCTTGAGGGTAGGGTAACCCTCAACGCCATGCTGCTGGCACAACTCGGACTCCTCAGTGCAGTCGATCTTGGCGAGCTTGATGTTCTTCTCCTTGAGGGTGGTGGCAGCCTCCTCGTACTCGGGGGCAAGGGCCTTGCAGTGACCGCACCAAGGGGCGAAGACTGGAGAACGATAATGTTAGCAAGAGCTACCTTACATGACAAGCTGCAATCGAAGGGAACTTACACTCAGCAAGAACAATGTCGTTGGTCTTGACAAAGTCGTCGAAGGTGTCCTTCTTCAACTGGATAACATCGGAGGCAGTAGCCACGGCGGCGGCCGCGAGAAGCCCGAGGGCGAACTTGGTAGGGGCGTGCATGTTTGAGTTTCCCGGCTGTCTGGGGAAGCGGAGTTAGTTGAAAGTTGGTATATAGAGGGTGATGCTTGGTGGTTGTGATTCCCAAAGCCGTCTTCTTGGGGGGTTTTATAGTGGTAACAGGTAGGACGGAGCACGGAGGTGAATCAACGGCGGGAAGGACGCAGCTCTGGCGGGGCCGCAACACAAAGGCAAACGTGGGTAGTGGATACCACTTACTCTGGGCTATTTAAAGGCAGAAAAGGGGCCTGGGATATGGGAAGAACTGGGAGCCGGTGACTGGGAGAAATTGAATATAAGATGGAAAATGTCCCGGAAGCAAGAGATGGAGGCAGGCGGTGGTGGTGAAGGCGAGAAGGGGGATCTGCCTTTTTAATGTTTTATCTCCAGCCCGTGTTTATAAGCCAGGTTGCTTTCTGTCAGTCGAGTGAACAGGTGTCTTCTCCGCCACTACGAAAACTGAATGGTACACGCCAGTGGTCAATCAGCCTTGGGGCCTGCTGAGTGGCCAGTGGACGCAATGGCACTGCAGGGCGCCAGGGTCAAAGAGCTCGCTCGCGGGGCCAGCGGCGGCTGATGGAGGGGTGGGGAACCTAGCCGATCCGCCGCGAGGGGAGAACCATCCGACACTTGCAACTGTCAACGAGCGAGGATGAAAGGGATCCGACAGGATGCCAGGGGCGGCGACTTTGCCATTCATTATTCAAACCTGGAAACAGGTGGCATGTTGCTGTTTGTTGGTTTCACATCGGATCTATTGTCCTTCTCCCCTCACATCTGTCGCAAAGAGGGCCCGGATGGGTGGAAAATGATAAGTAAACATCACTGACCTGATGGCACTCCAGTTCAAAAAGTAAACACTCTCATGCTGAACCTCAATTTCTTCCCCAACCTTCTCAACCAAACTGCTGGCCATCTTTTTCTCTTTCACAATCCCATCCGTCCCTGCACCAGAACCATCCCTTTATTTCCGCCCCGTAGACCCCGTACCTAACGACCACCTTGCATCACTGGGGTTCCATCGAAAGGGAATGGGCACTTTTGAATCGGGATAGCTTTCCCCGCAAGCCAAGAAGCACCATTTCTGTGCCGCCTGCCGTAACGCCGTTCCTTCAGGGTCTCAGGGACCGAAACTCCACTGAATGGCAGAACGGGACCGTATTCGTGGTGCAGTGCTTCCGTTTTCCCCTTTTGGGCGATTTGAACGATATCTTGCCACGAGTCCATATCGATCGCCAGCCATTTCAAGTGAGGTGTTGTACGCTGCGAGTTGTGTCTTTGGATGAACTGACGAGCTTGATCAGCTGAGCTGTGAGGATCTGAGTCTTGTGTATAAATCCAGCAATATCCCATCTCGCTATCCAGGTATCTTGTCAGCTTCGGTTCTCTTCGGCGGAACTTTGCTGCCGTTTCCATGTCAGCACTCAACGTGGCTGGACCGTGTATACGAGCGCAATAGCACGGTACGTTCGGGAAGAAATACAACCATTTTCGGATATTGTCGTCGTTGCCATGACAATGCACGTGCAGAAAAGCTGTTGGAAGGCTTGATGCTGGCACCGCCGTTGAGGACGAACATTGGCCCAAGCTGGTCATTTCGGCCAACTCTACCTGGATCAGTAAGGCCTCTTTTAGTCCGAGAGCTTACATATTACAGGCGCTGACGTTGAGCAGATATCAGCATGGTGTTTGATGCTTCAGACCAGAATTGTCTTTGAAAGAAATGGTGCCATGAGTGCCGTGGATAGGCTAGCCATGTTGTTTTCCTTGATATGTCAAGAACAAGTTGATGTTTAAAGTTGCGGCTCTGCGAATGACAATGGATCGAGCGATGGAGATGGAAGAAATTGTTTTTGAGAATGTGATCATGCAGGCAAGTGCTTGCAGTTGGGGTGCAATATCGAAAATGTCGAGACCATGGAAGCGACGAGTGTCTCTTGCGCGTGGGTGAATCCTTCAAGGGCAGGTCGCATGGAAGCAAAGGAGAAAGAAAGATTGGAAGGCCATATTCTTGTGTCATCGACTCGAGCTGGTCAGGTTCTTCTATTTCAGACAAGGCGAGGTCGAGCGGCTGGGGAAATACAGAAGGTATGACGGGATCATGGTGCTCGAAGATGGAAAGGCCAGGCAGGACCAGCACGGAGAGTGTCCGACTGAATTCAATTCACAAGTTGGATAAAATGCTTGGTGGCCGGAACATTGCTTTGGGCCCATCGGTCCCTTGGGGTAGGTTCAATTGGAATGGGCTCCGAACATAGTGTCGTTCCTTCCTCCCTTGTGTGTCATCCGCTTCATTCATACGGTAGGCGCGGGACATGAAACTGACCATAGTTGGACGAATGGAGAAGGCAACAACACCTACCTACCCCGGGTAACCTATGTGCCTTCCTTCAATTGAGCAATCCGACACCAAACACACTGCAGAACCCAGCTTCAGACAAGACGGAATCTCTTCCATGGGCGGGCAAGGAAGCACGACTATCTTCCGCCGACCACCACCGACTTTACCATTCACCGACTACACAGCGACCAAGTCTCCAGTCCACCGATGGACCTGGAGATGGCGACGACAACAACACCCACCCGAATCTTGAGACTTTCCGGTTGTCTCTAGAGACACCAAGTCGCGTCGTTGCTTGGTTTCCTTGGTCATCCTTGGTCAGGTGGTTTTTGGGGCTTCCAGCAACACCGAGGAGGCAACAGCTTTATCCATTTTTGGAGTGTTGGTGCAACTGTTAAACAACAACCAGCACTCGTCGTCCAATTGGATACTCAATCATCTGCTCGGGGTTGCTAATTCTACTCGTTCTCATGGACCAGGTGCGGACGGCGAGACGTGCTGCCAGCCATGGCACCCTCGGTCGCAAGTATGCTGTGGATGCTGGCAGGAATCCCCGGGTCCCTTCACGTCATGCTTTCTCTCGACCCCTACGGAGTTTTAATGGGCACACGGGTGTCTTGCCATCACCAGGACCGCTCGAGAGCATGTTGAGGACAACAACAGAGACTGGAGACATCGGCTTATTCTCCATCAGGCCAGTCAGGTCAATTTCCGCTCTGAATATCCCAGGACCTCTCATGTCCAGTCGCCACGGACAAACCAAGTCTGTTTCCACGCCTCGGTTGACAGCTCCCAGAAGAGCCAGGACCCCGTCGAGCAACATAGTTCCCACACGACCTTCGACCAGCGACAGCTTCGATACCCACAGCAGCCTTAGAGACGACCGGAGATGCCTTCCATCGTACCGAGATACCGCTTCAGAGATCATCTCAATGTATGCCTCTGACAGTCAACGATCTGCCCATAGCCCTTTCTCGCCCAAATACCACGATGACCAGCGGTCGTTTTCCATGACGAGCTGCAGTTCCCGAGCGCTACCCAACAAGTCATCTAATGGGACCATGCAGAGCCAAGCCAGCGGTCCGGCTCTGCAGAGACCTCGTTCACCTTTCCCCTACCCAACCAGACTTAAGCGCCCGGGAATTCGGCCATCCTCTCCCGCTGTGACGGAGAGTGGCGCTGTGGACTATAGTAGAATGGTCGAGATCGACCGTGTTTCTCAGGTTTGCTACCTTCCCCGTCTATTATATGTATCTCTACTAACATCTTCAGCGAACTACACATGGATCGTATAGGCCCATGTACGCTCAATATGGCCGCAGGGCCGGACCTGCCATGTCTCGCCTTCATCCATATGGATCCGTTTCGTCCCTACCAAGCCACAAATCCAGGCCAGGTCCTAGACCCTATGCTAGAACGAATTCCAGTGGCTCTCCTGCTTGGGGCCCAGGACTTCGTAAGCAGCTTGAAATGGAATCATCAGACCAAAGTACGAGGACACCAAGTTTGACATCGATCGTCGATATGTACCGATCTCCTTCAGGCACTTCATCCGACTTGAGACACATGTATCATGAACCCCCAACGGAACATTTTACTACGATTACTCGGAGGACTTTGATACTTTCCCAGATGGCAATTCCGCATGGGCCGGGCCTTTGGCCCCGATCCCGACTCGAGCACCCAACATGCACAGGGCGAGGATACTCAGTGATGGCAATGTTGGTCCTTTCCTGGATATAAACCGCTATCCTCCCCCGGATGACCCCTACGAAAGTCCTCAATATTACTCTGCGGGAACGAAGGACACAAAGGCACACGAGCCGAACATCACTCCTGATTCGATTGAGGAAAACGAAGCTGAAGAAGGTTCTTTCGCCTTCCCTGATGTTGCACCACGAAACGGTTCCATGGTAGGAAGGAAAGATGTCCATGGAGCCACCAATGTGTCGCCTCTGCAGGCAACAGCTACGCCCAGTACCGGAATGAAAAAGAGTTGCCACGATAGTGACACTCAAATACCAGAGAAAACAGACGATCTGGCAGTATCAGCAGCGGGTAGTCCAGGCAGACTGTCGAGGTCTGATGTTAGGCGGGTAACGGTGCATGACGGGAGCGACGGGCCGCAAGATGACGTAAATGACAATCAGAGATCAAGCTTTGGCAACAATACGATCCAGGGACATCGGCCAGAAGATCATTTGTCACTGAGAACCTCCCTCTACAGATCGAATTCGGAACCCCTCGATAAGCGCCAATCGATCCGCCTAAACGCAGGGGAAAGATGTCCGTCAACATTCAGCGGTTACTTGCGACGGAGCAAGTTCTTCTCGATAGAGCCGGGCCTCTCTGATCTTGCGTCTCTCGTAGATTATCTCGACGTTGCTGCAAAATCAGCTTCCGATGATTACCTGCCACAGCCAAATCTGACAATGGACTTCCCTGACTTGTCTGCGGAGCCTGGGGACCAGACGTCGACAGTTCAGGCAATACCTGACTCTCTGGATAACCAAAGCGAAGACCAAGGTCCTGGCTTTGAAGAATGCCTTAGAACTAAAAATCCTAAACCATTTGGACATCAAAGGAAGCTCGCTTTGCCCAGGATCAGGACTAGTGGATTCTCAACACCATTCTCCCAAGATCCTCCTTGCACCACTAGCCGGTCAGAGCCCGTTATTTTGCAACCTTTACCAGTTTCGCCAGTCAAAAGGCTTCGACTGCAAAACAGCGTCCCAAAGCTCATGAAAGCATTACCAGACCTGCCGTCCAGTCCGGCTAGAAGTGAGCCATGTCTTTACAGCGCTCCAGATGGCAAGCGAGAAATTCCCAAACATTTCCCATCATCTCTTCGCCCTGATATGCCCTTTGATTGCTATCAGGAGTATACACAAACGCCTAGTTGTGGCGTCAAGACAACAATGGCGAGGGCAGCCGATAGTGAAGATGCCCCGGCTCTTGAGAAACATTTTCTCTCACGGGACTCGGCTAGCAACAGCATGAAGCTGAAAGTTTCCAGAGCTGCCATGATTAGGGCACAAGAGGAGTTGAAGAAACTTCAGAACCCTGTGCGCGTAGAGACCGCAACACTGGAGCTAACAAATCCACCTGAGATTTCGGCCTTCTCTTTCCAGAAAGGATGTGACCCGACTATGTTGGATACCGTCAGTGTTTCTGACAGGCACGGAGTAGGCTGCGGAACGTGTACGGAAGAGAAAGCCTTTATCCTCACATCTGCGGCCTCAGCTCCTGTCACAGCGTCGTCGAGGGTGCCAGGGCCACAAGCCGCAAGGAATCATGTGGCAACTTCCCAGTCCGTCAAGACTATTCGTCCACCATCACCTTGCGAATTACGGAGCTCATTCTCTGTCAGCGATCGTCAATCGCGTCTACCCAAAAGAACCTTATCTCGTATCCGAGAACGACTTGCCCAACCCAGATCACGATCGACCGAGCCTCTCACGTCGAGAAACCGCAACAAAGAAGCATGTGATCACATATGCCCAGCTTCGCCAATTACACCCAGCTACATCAGACAGAAAGATACATCAATGAGTACCGCATTAGCGGTAACCGACGGAGAGTCAGCTGACACTGCCAAGCAACAGTCCAGAGGCTTCAGAAAATGCATGTGTAAGTGGATGAGGACAGCAAGGCAGGCTTTCCTGGTGGCATGCACGGGTTCAACGAATCCCTGATGGATGTATTAGCTGCAATGGGTCGACTCAATACGCGGTCTATGATCGTCTCAAATCTTCTCAAACTTATTTCTGGAGAGGGCATGCGACTGCTTTAACAGCCTCGTACAGTTGTTCTGTTCTCTTTGATTAAAAGTTCTACAATGTTTTATTCGACCCATCTTCATGTTAGCAGTTGGGAGATTGGAGTTACTGTAGAGAGCGATTGTATTTTTAGAACATGACTAGAGATATCCATGACTCCAAATTAGTGGCCCTTGGGCAGATAGATACCCTACATTGCTTCCTATTGTTTGTGACTGTGAATGTTAACTCTGAGATAAGTGGTCAAACATATTGTTAATCCTATAGGAAAGATAGGATGTGGCCAAAAAAAGGAGAAAGAAAAAAAGCAGTTGGACTTACAGTTGCCGGGTTTGAACGCATAGACTATATGAGTCCCGGGAGGAAGAAGGGAAGGGAACGGAATATCGTATAGTTTCATGGCAGTTGTGTGAGTATATGGTTTCTATTTTTTTTTTAAAAGATATATTCTCAATTCAACATGTTTCTTCTTGTTCCCATTCGTGAACCAACCAAGCCTGGTTCATGTTCCTAACGCCCTGTAATGTATATATACCGAGGTAATCCAGTTTCTGTAAACATTTCTCAGTAGAAAGAATAGAAAAAAGGACAGAAAAAAAAAGAAAAGAGAAAAGAAGGGTTTGTAATAAAAAAAACCTCAAGCGACACTCATCAGTGACTCATGATACAGTCCATGGTGTTTACTTCCCCTGCCATCTCTAGAAGCACTGTCTTTCTTCTTCTCCTCCATCTCTCTCTCAGTAATTTCCGTTCCATTCTTCCCTGTCGTTGTCGTCGTCGTCGTCGTCGTCGTCGTCGTCGTCGTCTCCATCCCCAGCCTTTTCTCGATTTTACTAATCCGCCTACTCATGAAACTCCCTCGCTCTCATCTGCGCTCCCCCTCTCACTTTCACTGTCGTCCCCCTCCCACCCACCAGCTCTCCTCTCCATTCTTTCCCACGAAGAAGCTTCCCCTGACCGTGACCGCGGCCGAGGAGTCGCACCCCCAATACTCATAGCAGCAAGATACGACCCCGCACCCGGGCCTAGCCAAGCACCGGGACCACGACGCTCGATACTCGTGCTATTGATGGTAATCGTCGGTTCGAACGTCATCATTTTCAGGAGGCTCTGTGGTGCCAGCCCGTCATTGGAGAAGAGGTTGAGATCGTCATCGGCTGACTCGGTGAGTACGCCCCGGCCGGTGGCGGAGTGGTAGGAGTGCGCGAAGAGGTGTTTAAGTTCTAGGGGTTTGTGGGGGTTGCGGCCTGGTCTGCTGCTAATTCTGCTGCTGGGGTTCGATGGTGGTAGTTTGGTTCCTCTTTTGAGCTGGTTTAACTGGCTTAGTTGGCTCAGTTGGGTAATGGTAACAACAGCGGAGGCGGCAGCGGTATCCCACGATGAGTTTGGTTTTGAGTTTGAGTTTGAGTCCAAGTTCCCACCACCAGCACTTCGCTTCTGCAATCGACCTAGCAGACGACCTGGTGGGTAAACAGGAGACCCGGTAGATCCAGGCCCGACAGCAAGAGAGTCAGGAAGGGGAGAGGGGAAAAAATCCCTGTTGCTTTTACTTGTACGTCGTGTGCCTATGCGTCCGTTATCGATCCTTTCGTAGCGGATTTGTTGTTGTGGAAGAGTTAAGGGCACGATGGGTTCCGAGTTGGGGAACAATTTGTCGTGGGATAAAGGGGCGGCGAGGCGGAGGGGGACTTGCAGGGAGAAGAGGAAGGTGAGAATTAGGGCGGTGGGGATGTTGGGGGGTAGTTTCATTTTTGGGTTGGTGTTACCGTCAGTAGGAAAGAGGTTGACTGCGATGAAGTAAGTTGATGATGGTGATGATGGCAGGATGATGCTGGAAGAAAGGGGGATGAGGGAAGAATGATGGGGTGTGATGGTTGATATACCAGTCTCTCATCATAGCGAGTTCATGTTGATGAAGGCTCAATGGGATCGGTGAAGTCGGATCATGGAAGCAATTGGCATTGACACTGACATTGACAACCTGGACGGGAAGGAAGTCATCTTGAACCATATCGGGATATTGATCGAGTGCTGTGCCACGACATTGCAGGAGTGTCAAATTTCAGTTACACAAAGTCTTTGCGTACGATGTAACTCGACATGGCAATTGGCTTTCTCTTTGGGTGTTGTTGTAGATGTACTCGTGAGGCACAGTACTACGCTCAGTATCTTTACTCCCGATTTGAATTGGTATCTTAAGCTGACGTCTCCCAACTTGGCAGAGGGTGGGATGTACAATCCCTTTGACAGCCACCTTTAACAGCATTAAAACACATACCTGATTCGCTTTCACCAGTACGCATACCCTTGAGCGTCGAGATAAGGTTGTTTGAACATCCAAACAAACAACACGAATTACCATCGGCCGGCAGAGTTGTGATAAAGTACTTTCCAAGTTGACTTCAACCTAGAATCAATGCTTCACCCAACACTTCCTCCTGGCTTCCTCTCCCCACATACACCACAAACACCACAGTCCCCGGCATTCCTGTATTGGCTCCCTTGACATGTCTGACTGGTACACGCCCAACACCCTACCATGTTCTTTGGGTCAAGGACGTTGGCGCAAATAGTGCAGGTTATGCAGGTGGGCTCGTTGGCGAATGAGCATATCGCGCAGGTCCTCGACGATGGAGGCTTTGGTTCGGGATTGGTGGTAGATTTGGCTAATGCCGAGAAGGGTGTGTTTTCTTTTCTCTGCGCTGGGCTCTTTGGCTCAGATTTCACCCCTGAGAACTTCTCTCGGGTTGTCGCAAAAGTATGGCTGTTGTTAGTACTTCGGGCGCTGGATCTCAGCTGTGTAGACTTCTGTCTCGTATTTTCCTCCAAATTCATTTGGTGGTTCCTTTGCGATGTGTCCGGGGCTTGGATGATACTATCCGGTATCCTAGTATCCGTTGACGACGGTTCGGCCTTGACAACAGGCTGTCGAGTTGTTGAACTTCTCGCGCCGTCATTGAACCCCATCAGCTCCCTCAACTCCCGCTGCGCATCTTGATCCTCGGGATTCTCATCCTCACACACTTTGATCATCCCCCTCCCCTTGCCATCCAGCAACTTCTTCCCGTTGATATCCACAGCAGCCACTCCATCCTGCTCGTCTTCATCCTCATACTCATCACTCTCCGCCTCACTAGCCGTCTCATCATCATCAACCTCCTCCTCCTCCTTAACCTTCTTCTCTTCTTCTTCTTCTTCCTTCTTCTCCTTTTCGTGTTCTTCTTCTTCTTCTTCTTCTCATAAATCATGCATGCTTCTTCTTCTTCTTCTTCTTTCTTTCCGTTTCTCCATCCAGCCGCACTTCCTTCTCCTTCTTCTTAGCCCCCTCAAACCTCGCCAACGCCGCCGCAGCCCTCAACTCCCTCCCCCTCGCACTGCCCGCCACCCTCGGCTTCCCCGCCACTTTTTTCCCTTTCTCCAACGCCTTCTTGATCTTCTCATCCCCCCCCAACTCCATCCCACCCGCACCGAACTTCTTTAAAATCCTTCGTTCCTTCTGCTCCTTGTACGACAGTTTCGGTTTGTTAGAAGCCTTCCTCTTCCTCCCCCGACTCCTATACGTCCCACCACACAAATGCTCCGGCAACCCTTCGCCAGACTGCACCGTATCCTTTTCCCACTCGCCTGTCGCCAACAACGCTCCCCTTCCCCACAGTCCCTCACCCGTGTACCCTCGCGACCAAAGCAGACGCATCTCGTCGGCGTAGGCGTTGCGCACGGCCCAGAAGGCGCGCGAATGGTTCATCTGCTTGCAGTGGGCGAGCTCGTGCATCATGACCATTTGCACGTAGTTGAAGGGCAGCCAGTGGCCTGAGAGCGACTTGAGGACCAGCTGGACCACTTCGCCGGCGTTGAAGTTGCGGCCGACGAATTCGCGGTTGGGCTCGTATTCTTCGAGGGAGGTTATGGAGAGGTGGTTGTTTTTCATTATGGGTACTGTTTTTGGGAGTGAAGAGGTACGTTAGGATTCCCGTAATGTGATAGATACAATAAAACCTTGGGGGAAAATATGGATGTTGGGCAGAAACGTACGGCATTGCGCTGCTATCCTCTCGAGAAAGTCTTGCGCTATGGCTTCGTCTGGCCCTTTGAGGGGCTTGATGAAGATTATTCTGTCATTGGGATGCGATTTTTTGGCGTTGATGCGCTGGATACCGAGAGGCATCGTGGGAACGTCGCGGGGAACTCAACGGCTCGAATGTGATGCTTTCGCCTGGCTGGTGGTTGGTGCAGTCGTTAAGGTTCTCAAAGACCTGTATTCGCGAGTGGATTGGCGCCGTGATCGAATTGTCGTGGTTTGGCCGTCTTCTTAAAAAACAGCTCAAATTTGGCGGTGGTTCAAGTTAGTCCGACTGTCAATGGATCAATCGGAAATCGTATGAAAGATGTTGCAGTTGAAAAGTGAAGAGTTTCCGAAAAGCTTCCCCTCGTCGCCATCGCGTCTGGTTGATCTTAAGGGTCGCGTTGAGGGGCAAACGCCCAGTCACATGCTCACTTACAGCGACTTACAGGGGCCTCAAATATTACCATTTTGGTACTAGCATACCCTTTTTGATCCTTTATCAACACCAAACCTAACAACAATCATGAATGCCCCTGGGTCATGACAATCAACCCCAAATGCCACCCAGCTCTTTTAACTCCATCTTGCTTTTATTTCGCCATTGATTGTTCTTACATAGCAGATAAAAACAACGGCCGTAAAAGCAGGGTATATCTCTAGTCTCGTCGTTCCCAAACCCAACCAACCCCCTTTTCAGTTTTCCTCAAAAATTACGAATGTTTACCTCCTCCTACCAGCACCGCCAGCACCACCAGCACCTCCAGCGCCCGCCTTATCCGCAAGCGAAACCACCTCACCAATACCCGCAGCCTCCTGCTCGTCCTCGAGCGCCGTAATCTCCTCTCTGCAATCCCACCACTTCTCCTCGCTGAGCTCGAATGCCTTGGTCTTGATCTCCTTGACGGCAAGCGACTCGGGCTGGATACCCTTCCAGCGGAGTTGGGTCATGAGAACCTCCTGCCACTCGGCCGATGTGCGCTGGAAGAAGTCACGGCGGGATTCGAAGGGCTGTGGTGTTTTGTATGTTAGCGATAATTTCACAATTGAACAAAAAGAGGGTGAAACGTACTCTAGGATGCGGCAGGCCGTCATCAACCCTCGTCTCCTCGCTCTCCTCCTCCTCTTCGGGAGCCGCAGCCACGGGAGTAGCTTCGGCGACGGGCGCCTCTTCACCCTCCTTGGCCTTCTTCTTCTTTCTCTCGCTAGGAGTGAACTTGGCCTTCTTGTCGTCGATTTCCATGGCGTCCTCTTCGCCATCGGCCTCTTCATCCGAGTCATCCTCCTCCTCCTCATCGTCCTCATCGTCATCTTCGTCCTCGGATTCCTATAATAATTCCATCCTGTCAGTAACCCAGCTTTCTTCGTTCCGGTACGTAGAGATCGAAGACTCACAATCCAATCATCGCCCTCCCTCTTGAAGATCTCCTTGCAGCCTTCCATCTTGCCCAGGTCGATCGCATACAAATCATCCAGCGTAAACTCGCGATCGCCCTTCTCAAACGTGCCGCCGTAGATATACAGCACATCATCCTGCACCGCCAGCTGGGCATTGAATCGCGGATGTGGCATCTCCATCGACACCGGCATATCCCTGACCTTTTTCTTGCTGTCCTTCTCCTCCTCCTCCTCTTCCTCGCCCCTCTGTTTCTTCAGAATGGCCTCGATCTCCATCTCATCCGCATCATCTGAGCTACCCTTCGCGCCTGCCTGCAGCGCTGCCAGCTGCCTGAGCAATTCCTCCTCGTTCTGCCTCGCTCTGTCTCTCCTTCCCACCCTCTCTCTTCCCTCACCATTGCCAGCACCAGCCTTCTTCCCCGGTGCCCTCGCCTTCTTCAATCCCATCGGGAAGAACCGGTTACGCTCAATGTTCCACGCAAACAGCTGGTTGAAGAACTCGCTCTCCATGCCCTCCTCGCTCTCCTCCACGTCATGCACGCCGCCAAACATGATGCCGCGGCCCTTGTGATAGGCCATAGTGGCGCCCGCCCGCGTCGGGGTCGGCGTGTTGGCCGGCTTCTGCGCTTCTCCCACCGGACCGTAGGTGCCGCGTTAGGCGGCGCGTCGGCGGGCGGCTGGGTGATGCGCAGGAAGAAGCAGTCCTGGTGGACCATAGGCTTGAGGATATTCTTGGAACCGCCTGAACTACCGCCTTGCTTGGTCTGCTTACCAGCCGCCACCGTGGCCTTCACGCGCGAGTAGCCGCCGTAGAGAACGGCGCCCTGGTCGTGCGGGAGGAAAGTGAAGCTGGACCGCGCGTCAGGCTTCAGCTGCGCCGGCGGCGGGGTGATACAGTGCCAGACAAAGTTCTGGGTGTCGTACAGCCACAGGTCCTGGAGGTATTTGGTCTGGTTGGCCGTGTCCTGAAATCCGCCGAACATGATGATGTAGTTCTTGTAGTAAGTCATTCTGTGACCGGACCTGGCGGGCGGGGTCTTGCCCTTGGTCTCGATGCGCGCCCACTCGCGGGTGGACGGGTCGAGGCGCCAGAAGTCGTTGTAATGGTAGAACGTGCCCTGCTTGGGAGACGAGAACTCGCCGCCGAAGAGATAGACACCGTTGCTGTCGTTTCCGCCGCGGGTCCAGGCGTGGCCCGACCGGGGGAGCGGAGCGTTGGGCGAGGTGACGCAGCGCCATTCGTCACGGTCGATGTAGTAGACCATCAGGTCGTTGAAGAAGGTGGCCAGGGCGCCGTTGAAGTACTCGCCGCCGAAGAGGAGGAGCTGGTTGCTGTTGGAGGGACTAGCCATGAGGGTAGAGGCGGCGCGGGCGCGCGGGGGGTCCTCGACGACATTTTCCGTCACCTTGACGAACGCCTCCTGCTGCTTCTTGTACTCCTCGAGAACGGCGTCGAGATCGACATCTTCGGCGTCGCTGCCCTCGATCTTTGCGGATTTCACCTTGGCCTTCTTCTCCGCCTTCTTCTCCTGCTTCTGCTTCTTTTCGGCCAACTTGGCCTTTTTGGACTCGCTTTTCCCCTTTTTTTCCTTCGCCATCTTGACAAACTTCCCACCACCGAGGTGTCAAGTCAAGCTGTTGCGTTGTTTGCGCTGTCGAAGAAAGTGACTTCTCAATTTTGGCCTCATGAGACCGTGGCAAAAAGTGGAGAAAATCTTTTGTGAATGTAGGCGAGAGGTCGGGACCCACTTGTATCAACTAACAAAAATTGTGCTCACCAGGATTGGAGCAGCCAACAACAGATTCGAATGTGTTTTATGCACCAGCAATCTGGTCTGCTCACGTAGACCGCATGAATTATTCACTTACTTACACTGTGAGACAGATGGTTGTCGAACTTTACTGAATCCATGATAATACAAGGGTAGATGAGGTCGTGAAATGTTGTATTCCAAGTTAAAGAGAGAAAGAAAAGAAAGGTACCGAAGGAGAGGAAATAGGTTCCTCAAATACCACTATTTAGGTACAATAGTTGGGGATACATGATTGGATTGATATGTAATACAAGAACATTGCAAATGCATGCAGTCAATATTCAACAATTGTTGCATTTAACTCTGTGGACAGACCTTTTCACCACATGCTCGGTGCGATAACCATTAGGACATGCCACTCTTAAATTCGGGTTGATGGTTCACCAACGACTTCAAATTGGTAAGTTTTCGCTTATATTGCATGGATTGTATAATCATGGTTTTTCAGTCCTTTCTCCCCAACTACATGGCCTTTGTTATGCTGTTCCATGACTCCTTGCCCGTTCAAAGCTTATGCACATACCCCGTACCTAACGGTGTTCCATTTTCCGAGGAACCTGGCCATCAAATGTCAGACAATACTTTTGGCCTTCATCAACCCCTTCAGTGACTTTTGCCGTATTTACGCACTGTACTTGTTGTCCTTCACCCACTTGGCAACATCCTCGCCGTCACGCTCGATCCACGCAACCTTGGAGCGGATAGCATCCAAGCTCTGGGCCAGGGACATCTCAAAGCCGTTGGTGCTCTTGCCCTCAAAGAACTTCTCAACCTTGGCCAACTGCTCCTTCTTGGTGAAGCTGGAAGTGAAGATGGTAACAAGGGTTCCGAGCATCGACAACTGAGGAGGGAACCTCTTGACGAGCTCATCCCAGTTCTCAGTCATCCAGGTGAAGAGCGCCTCGATACCCTCGGGGTGGCTGCGAAGACCAGCAGTGGGCATGTACACATCCTGGTCCTTGATCTCACCGCTGAAGAGAAGGTTGAGGGTCGACTTGATGAGCTCGGGGCTCTTGGCGCGGCCGAGGCAGCGGAGAGCGGTGTTGCGCTCATCGCTGTTGGTGGAGGTACGGTAGAAGTTGAGAATGGCATCATACTACAAAACTGATTAGCACAAAACACGTAGGGGATCTTCAGGGCTTGTTGAGCTTACCTCCTCCTTGCCACCGTACTTCAGGGCCATGCTGAAGACGCTGCCACGAATGTTGGGGTGGACGGCCGACTTGTCGCCAGCAATGAACTTCTTAAACATGTCCTTGGCGGCAGCGATGATCTTCTCATCGCCACAAAGACCGGCATTACCGAAAAGCATGGCCTTGAACTGCTGCTCGATGTGACCATCGTTCTCAGTGAACTCCCAGCCCATCTGGTGAGCCCTGGCGCTAACAAGCTCACGCTGGAAGGCCTCAAGGCCATCGCGAACAGCCTTGTCCTCAAAGATCCAAGCAGTCTGAACAGCGGCAACGCGAGAGATGATCTCGCTCCAGACAATGAACTCCTTCTCAGAGTCGAATCCCTTGAGAAGGTTCAGGACACCAGAGGTCTTCTGGTAGCCCGAAGAAGCAAGGGCACCGGCATCGGCAATCATACCAGCTCTGTCCTCAACACTGAGGAGACCCTTCTTGGCCGCCTCACCGAGCTTTTCAAGGCGCTCAGGGGTGTAAGAGGTGCGGTAGAGACCGGTGTGGTTGGCGTTGAGCTTGAAGAACTCGGTGCCGGGAACCTCGAAGGTATCCTCACGCTTGTCGAGGGTAAGGCTCTCATCGATGCCATCCTTGGAGCGGAGGCCGAGGAAGACAGGGAAAAGGACCTTGTCCTCCTCGGGCTTGACGTCACCAGTACGGAGGAAACGGTTCTGCTTGACCTGAATGGTCTTCTCATCCTTCTCGGTAACGGTAACGACGGGGTAACCAACGTGCTTGGTCCACACATCCATGACCTCCTCGACGCTCTTTCCGCTGGCATCGCCAAGAGCAGCCCAAAGATCACCAGTCTGAGTGTTGCCGTAGGCGTGCTTCTTGAGGTAACGTCTGACACCCTCCAAGAAGACATCCTCACCGAGATAGGTGGAGATCATGCGCAGAACGCAAGAGCCCTTGGAGTAGGAAATGGCATCGAAGATCTGGTTGATCTCGTCGGCACGCTTGACAGGAACCTCGATGGGGTGAGAGCTCCTGAGGGAATCAAGGGCGAGAGCACGCTGAAGATTGTCCGTAACGTACGTCTCCCAGACCTTCCACTCGGGGTAGAAGATGTTGCAAGAGTACCACGAAGCCCAGGTAGCGAAACCCTCGTTGAGCCAGAGACCATCCCACCAGTCCATGGTGACCAGGTTACCGAACCACTGATGAGCAAGCTCGTGCTGGACAACCTCGGCGACGCGCTCCTTGGTAGCAGCACCGCTGACCTTCTCGTCCAAGAGGAGATCAACAACTCTGTATGTGACAAGACCCCAGTTCTCCATGGCACCCTGGGCGAAGTCGGGAATGGCAATCTGGTCCATCTTGGGGAGAGGGAACTCAATGCCGAAGACCTTCTCGTAGAAAGCGAGAGTTTTGGCAGCAAGGTTGAGCGAGAAGCGACCGTGCTCAATGTTCTGTCCAGGAGGAGCGTAGACGCGAACGGGGACACGGAAGTCGTTGGTCTCGATGTAGTTAAGCTCACCGACGACGAAGGCGACGAGGTAGGTAGACATGAGGGGAGATTTGTTGAAGGTAACGGCCTTCTTGCCGTCCTTGGTCTCGGACTCGGAAGCAACGTCCATGTTGCTGAGGCAGGTCAACTTCTTGTCGGCGACGAGGGTGACAGTGAACTCGGCCTTCAGGGAAGGCTCGTCAAAGCAGGGGAATGCGCGGCGAGCATCAGTAGGCTCCATCTGAGAGACGGCCAAGAGACCTTGTGTGCCATCGGGGTTGTTGTAGGTCGATCTGTAGAAACCGGCCATCTTGTCGTTGAGTTGGCCAGTGAACTGGATCTCGAGCTGCGCCTTAGTGCCCTTGGTGACGGCATTGTCGAAGTCGAAGGTAGAGACCTGGGTAGTCTCGTTGTAGGTGACCTTGGGGTTTGAGCTTTGGCAAAGAGTTAGTTCGTTGCGACCAAAACAGTCAATGCAGGCAGGGGCAAAGTAAACACGGAAAGTAAACACAGCTATAGGGGGGAGGCGGATGAGCTTGCTAACCTGACAGTCTGGCCACCAGAGGTGACCTTGGCATTGTGAATGTCAATCTCTAGGGTGTGGAGGGCAATGGACTTGGAGTCCTCCTCGACGTCGAGGTCGATGACCACGGTACCATCAAAGGTGAGCTTCTGGAAGTCGGGCTCGAGGGTGATGTGGTAGTGTCTGGGGATGACGTTGGTGGGGAGAAGCTCGCGGCCCAGGATGTTGACCCCACTTGCCACATCGGCTTGGGCGTGTGTCCTGCACATCTTGTGGTTGCGGTACGAACAGTAACGGACGGGAGTTTGGTTGCGGCGAGGACGGACTGATCGAGTTGCGGAAAGACGTTGACGGGGGGTCAATGGCGAAGCAGAAGTAGAGGCCACGGAGTAGAAGCGTGATGGTCCTGGGGAGGAGGTCGAGGTATAACTGCGGGGGGGATTATCTTATATCAGCGCTTGAATTCCCATTGGCCTTCCTTTATTGGAGGTCCCCTTGTTGACCCCTTGACCATCCGCGGCTGTCAGTGTGTAAATGTCCAGATGTCACTGGAACATCGTCCACTTTGGATCCCTCCGCTCATGACGGTGCGTGCGTGGGTCCTAGTTTCTCGCCAGATCTGTCCCCAGACAGGCCCAGCTTCCAATTTTCATCGCTAAATAGTCAGGTGGTCTTTCTTGGGTTGGCGGGCTAGGCTTACTGTGAGGCGGCGAATCTGGTCGTGGCTTGGTGAGTACCCAAAAGTGAGGTGGTCTTGGATCGAGGCAAAACACTCCGAGCTCCTTGACAAGCAGGCCGAAGAGAGAGACAGTTGCGAATCATGATGATCAACAATGTAAACAAAGAAAGCGAAGGAAGGACTTTATAGGTACAGTGGAACCGGCTGCGTTTCGTCACTGCCAAACAGCCCGGTTACGTATCGTACAGCACACAACAGCCGCAGAATGAGATGACCGTACAGGCAGAGTGAGACGGACGTTTGCAGTGAGTGAGGACGCACAGCAAGCGGTCGCATTAACAATTTTTTTGCGAGGCACCGGCAATCCCTGCCTTTGACTGATTGGAGGGAACCCCTCGCTTTCTCGAAGCCCCTCCATGCCACCTGCCCACTACGGGTTGAGGCGCCTGGGGCGCCTGGAGTCCCCTGGACAGAACAACATTGGTTGGCTCTAGCGATGTCACTTGTGAGTTGAAATGGACGGCATTATGCTCGATTGGGCAGGCGGTCTGGAAGCTCAGCCGAGTGTAGCCAGCAACTATTGACCATCGTCGAGTTTGACTGTGTTTCATGAAGTTGAATTCTGTTACACAGTGATGGTCAAATCGATGCAACACCCTCTCGAATGTGCGTTTCGCGGTATACGGCGAGAGTATGTAAGTGTGTGAGTAGCGGCATCCGAATTGAAAGCATACTTACCTCTGCATTCCAATGCCATTGTGTCAATGTCAATGTCAAAGATGCAGGCGAGACAGGGTCCTGGATGTAGGGCTCGATCGGTCAAACAGGCAACGGAAGCAATCAACAAGACGTTGCAGTGCGTTGTCTCCAGTCAACTTTACCTTGACAGCAAGCAACCGCGTTCTAGATCAAACCATGAAACTGACTGGCCACGGATCTTTGTAAGATGACAGAAACAAACTTACAGAGCTGAGAGAATCAGATGATAGAGAAGCAGACTCATGCGAATGGTAAGCATGCCGGATAACGTGCCTACTCTTTTCAAACTCGTGAGCTGGTCCTCATTTGGTCCTGATCCAGGATGATTACCTGTAGGAATCATCGAAACTCAATTAGCAGCAGTTTATGAACTCTCAACTGAAGCTTGCCAGCTCTTTTGTTCTGAGGCTGGTGAAAGGCTCGACTGGAGGATGAGGATGGGCATGTGCAGCCAACAAAAGTCGTCAGCGTGGGGTGAAATTGCCATTGATAACAGAATCCCCCACGGAGGAGCCTGATGACGGAGTTTGCCTCCATTGATCAGGGATCCATACGGCAAAACGCCAGAGACTTGAGCTGGGCCGATCGATCCGTGATAGCTTGATGTTGGATTACACCGAACGTGGCCGGGAACGGCATTTATATGTTATCGGCAGCTGCTCCGTCCAGGCCGGTCAGCGGAGGCTTAGGTGTTGGCGGTGTTCAGAGCTTCCGGACCGCAAACCTTCCCGAATCTTCTGCGGACACGGCGGGGTACCATCGATTTTGGCCGACAGAAGCACCGGGATGTGGATGGTTCGGAGGAGTCCATTGACTTTAGCTCACGGCGCCAGACCCTTAGACGCATCGATATGACGTTCGGAGATAGGCGCCGGCACCAAAAAGATATCAAGTTTGGAAGGTTGCCCAAAAACGTATTGCAAGAATTTTGCTTCGTGAATATATGGTGAATATGTGGTGTACTCAGCAATGGAAGAGTCGTGTCAGACCGGCCATCCTCCGTCACCCAAACCTGGATGGATGCCTTGGCTCTTTTGTTGAGACGCCAGAATTAGAGACTCGGTGTCGTAGTATGAACTCCCGTCGGCTCATCACAACAGCCTGCCATCGAGTGAAACGAAAAAGAGACACTTCGCCCCATCCGCGTCGAGACCTCTCTGCCTTTTGGTGTTTCGAGTTGGTCCGTTTGTCATCCGGTTGACATGGTGAAATGCAAAGAAGCCAGGGTCTTGGCCAGGAAAGGGCCGACGACGGATTCGCGCAGGAGTCCAGACGGAGGATAGACGGAGGGAAGGGTGGCCCTCCCGTGGGTGGTCCGCCAATGGTAGGGAATGCCTTCAGCCAAGTGGGAGCGGCATTGGATGGCAATTGTAGGCGAAGCTGTCATGGCTTGCAAGGTTACTTCTGCTCTTTTTCACCTCATTGTCGTGGATGGCCGTTGGATGAATGCAACTGAACAATTCAACTTGGTCTCTCGCAGTGAGGTGCAGGTGTCTCGCCCGCCGCTGACTGTGCGTCCTTCGCTCTCAATGGACGTCGACAGCCATCCGCCAAATGAGAGGCAAGTGCCCACCTCGCTCTGCAGCTGCAGCTTCTCGTTGCGAGAGTTTCTCACAGTCACCACCAGCACTGCGTCAGGATTGGCCAGGTACCCGGTACGTACCCTGCGCAAGCTCCTGTTACCGGGAAGAGCTCCCTAGCTGCAGACGCCAGCAAGGGTACAGCAAGATGACATGGACGGCTTGGCATTGATTAACAGGAGGGGCGTTCCCTCTACTTGCGAGGATCACCCCACCTCAATTGCGTCCTCTCATCTTCCAGCTTGACGAAGACCTGAAAGCTCTTGCCGTCGCCAGGACTTGTCCAGATTTAATATCCTCTGCTCTCCCACTTCTTTTTCTCTCTTCTCCTCCTCGAAATTATCACCACCTTTGTCCATCTCAGACATACCAATCTGTAAGTGCCTGTCCGCATTGCTTCACTTCCTCTTCAGTTCAGCCCTTGTCCCCATCACGATGATGATGTCTCCTCCGACACCGCTCGAGTCTGATACAGCCCCGCCATCCTATTACTCCTCGATGTGGCTTGGTTGGACTCGTCAAAAGATTCTTGTCCTGCGGGATATTTCCAGCTGTGATTGTTCTCATCCAAGCTCATAGTTGAGCAGAATCATCTAATAAAGGCGTCCTGTCATCTTCTCTACATCTTCAACCTTCCCTCCCGACTTTCACCTCCCCTTCATCCTGTCGCAACAACAAACAGTCGGTACTACCCCGCCAAAGCTCACCTGATGCGCCTTTCACTACAGAAGCCGTTGTCGCATTCTCACTTTTCAAGTCAATAAGTAAACAAAGCTAACATCAAGCCATCAACAGATTCAAAATGCCCATCTCCAAGATCCACGCTCGCTACGTCTACGACTCTCGTGGCAACCCGACCGTTGAGGTTGACGTTGTTACTGAGCTCGGCCTTCACCGCGCCATTGTCCCCTCTGGTGCCTCCACTGGTACGTCAGACCGACACTTCCTCATCCACTCTTCGATAGACATAGTACACAATACTGACAACAACCTTCAACAGGCCAGCACGAGGCTTGCGAGCTCCGCGATGGTGACAAGACCAAGTGGGCTGGCAAGGGTGTTCTCAAGGCCGTCCAGAACGTGAACGAGGTCATCGGCCCCGCTCTCATCAAGGAGAACATTGACGTTAAGGACCAGTCCAAGGTTGACAAGTTCCTCATCGACCTCGATGGCACCACCAACAAGACCAAGCTCGGCGCCAACGCCATCCTCGGTGTCTCGCTCGCCGTCGCCAAGGCCGGTGCTGCTGAGAAGGGCGTTCCCCTCTATGCTCACATCTCCGACCTTGCTGGCACCAAGAAGCCCTATGTCCTTCCCGTTCCCTTCATGAACGTCCTCAACGGCGGGTATGTTTAAGACCCCCAAGCCTTTGGTTGCGAAACAGTCAACTAACGATGCAACAGTTCCCACGCTGGTGGCCGTCTTGCCTTCCAGGAGTTCATGATCGTCCCCTCCGCCGCTCCTTCCTTCTCTGAGGCCCTCCGCCAGGGTGCTGAGGTGTACCAGATCCTCAAGAGCCTCGCCAAGAAGAAGTACGGCCAGTCCGCTGGCAACGTCGGTGACGAGGGTGGTGTCGCTCCCGATATTCAGAACCCCGAGGAGGCCCTCGACCTCATCACCGAGGCCATTGAGAAGGCCGGCTACACTGGCCAGGTCAAGATCGCCATGGATGTCGCTTCCAGCGAGTTCTACAAGGAGGACGTCAAGAAGTACGACCTCGACTTCAAGAACCCCGAGTCCGACTCCTCCAAGTGGCTCACCTATGAGGAGCTCGCCAACCTCTACTCCGAGCTCTGCAAGAAGTACCCCATTGTCTCCATCGAGGATCCCTTCGCCGAGGACGACTGGGAGGCCTGGAGCTACTTCTACAAGACCCAGGACATCCAGCTCGTTGCTGATGACTTGACCGTCACCAACCCCATCCGCATCAAGAAGGCCATCGAGCTCAAGGCTGCCAACGCCCTCCTCCTCAAGGTCAACCAGATCGGTACCCTTACCGAGTCCATCCAGGCTGCCAAGGACTCCTATGCCGATGGCTGGGGTGTCATGGTCTCTCACCGCTCCGGTGAGACCGAGGATGTTACCATTGCCGACGTTGTCGTTGGTATCCGCTCTGGCCAGATCAAGACCGGTGCTCCTGCCCGTTCCGAGCGCCTTGCCAAGCTCAACCAGATCCTCCGCATCGAGGAGGAGCTTGGCGACAACGCTATCTACGCCGGCGAGAACTTCCGCAAGGCTGTTGAGCTCTAAGTGGTTGCATGTTGATGATGGGGACCCGTTCGGATGGAATCGGAACCTGGGAATGGTTCTTGAGGTAATCGGTTGATCGACATGTGTTACCTCGGATGACCAAAGGACACGGGTATGGCTAATGAAAATGGCGGAATGACATAGAATTTTAATGATCAATACCAAGTTTCTTTTACCCCATATGCGTTGGCAGGAACCACATGCAAGTTTGTGACATGGATCGGTAGTGTTGGAGCGTTCGTTTCTCCCCTTTCCCCGCGATTCCCCGTTCCCATTCCCGGCCCGCTCCGGGCTACCGGTACCAACACGGCACCCTTGTTACAGTAGTGCCTTCTTGTCAAGTCCGCTAGGCAGAAGCAATCACCGCTGTTTTCCGAAGATGGTCACGAGCTCACTGATCGTTTCATCCTCAGAAGGTGAGTTAGGTACGTACGTAGAAAAGCATGTTGTAGTTTGGACGCTTTGCAAAGTCGATCGACGCCTAGCCGATTTTCGGTTATTCATGGCCGCTTATATCCAAGAGCCCCGCCTGCTGAACAGGAACAAGACAGGAACACCGACAACAGCCCCGTAAACATGCCCCGCTCGCCCGTGTTGCCCCGGACACCTTGATGGACAAGCCGAATCCTGGACTAGGGTTTCTAGAATGACGTTCGCTTGATCCATCGATCCATCGTGATGATCCCGAGTTGCAACGACCGTTGAACCGGGGCGGTGAGAACTGATGTGGCTGAGCATTTCACCAGCCCCATTTCCCTGTCGCTGTGGCTTTCTGTACCCCGCTTTCCTGTTCCTGCAGGAAAGATTTTGCCTGCCAGTGCCTGTGCAGACACACATTGTGCAGAGACACATTGCAGACGGAATGCCCGCTGCCGCAAATGCTTGCCAGCTGCCTGTGCGGTTGCTACGGTGACTCGCATGATTGTTTGGTTAGGGTGAATCAACAAGGGAAGAAAATCCACATGCCCCTCTTCCTTCAACCCAATTCAGCATGGTCTAGATCGCAACGGTCGTCACTTCTTCATACTGTACGGAATCAAACATCCATCGCGTCTCTCTAATGAACTTGTGAGAGAAGGTTACTTCAGCAACAACGGACAAGCTGCACACTTTCCCGATCGCGGGACCTCTTAACGCGGCCAAATCACAACAACATACTTGGTGTTGCCGGCTCCGCGCCCTTGACGAATATCGCATCCCAGGAATTAGAGTGATCGAAATATTATACACCGCGGGCGGCCCCGCCTTCTTACACGCAGCAACAGAGACGTCAGACAAGATGGCGCCCCAAGAAGACTCCGTCAACTTCGACATTATCGAATCCCACAAAGAGAACATCCAAGCCCTCCCCAGCGGTCGCTCCGCCCGCAAGCTCGTGGAACTCTTCTCTCCTTCACAAGGCGCCAGCAGCTCTAGGCAAGCACTCGCACCACAATTAACACCGACCCCGAACCCTACTGAAGTCAAGTCCGTCAATGACGCCATTCGCGCCGAATACGAAGCCGAGCTGGCCGCCTTCAACCCTGAAGAACAAGATGATCCCCTCGACATATACGACCGCTACGTTCGCTGGACTCTCGATGCCTACCCGTCCGCCTCTGCCACACCGCAGTCACAGCTGCATCTGCTACTCGAGCGCGCCACCCGCGCCTTTGTCGGCAGCGCCCAATACCGCAATGATGCACGCTACCTGAAGATGTGGCTGCACTACATCCGCATGTTTAGCGATGCGCCCCGCGAGGCGTTCGTCTTCCTTTCGAGACACCAGATCGGCGACCAGTTGGCGCTGTACTACGAGGAGTTCGCCGCGTACCTGGAGGGCGAAAGGCTCTGGGCGCAGGCTGAAGAGGTTTACAAGATGGGCATTGAGAAGGAGGCCAGGCCGGTATCAAGGCTGACGAGGAAGTTTGGCGAGTTCAAGCAACGACGCGCGGCACTTCCCGAAGGTGCGGAGGATCAGAGCAATAGCGTTCCCGTCCTGCCGGTGGTCAGAAAGGCGCTGGGCGTCAAGTCAGATCCGTTCATGGCTGCGGGCGTGGAGAGGTTGCCTCGGGATCCCCAGGCGCCGAGACCGAATATGGGCGTTGGAGGAGCTGCTGCTGCAGGACCGTCGAAGCCGAAGAGTAAGCTGGCGATCTTTTCGGATGCGGATGCCGCTGCGCAACAACCGGCGCTAGGCTCTCTGGGTGCTGGCTCGAAGGGGTGGGATAGTATTGGGAGCTTGTCTGATCGGAAGAAGGAGAATACCTTGGAGCCGAAGCCGTGGGCCGGCGAGGTGCTCAAGGCTGGTGGACAGAAACCTGCGCAAAAGATGCAGGTATTTAGGGATACGGTAAGTTCTATGTCCCCTTAATCTACCCTTACGCCTTTCCTCTCCTTAAAACCGATGTTGATCAAGTATAGGACTAATTATTTACGATGGGTGGTGCGCTCGGCGTTCTGGCGCACTCGTTTTTGTACGTTATTTTACAGACCAAGAAGACTACTACGAATCCTATGATGACGATGAACAATCAACAACTTTCTCAATCGCATATTCCAATACACCACTCTCAGTCCCAGGTGACGGTGAATCCGGTGACGGGTAAGCGGGAGCGGGTATTCGTTGACCTTAGAGTGATCTACCCGACGCCCGACGAGCCCGGTACGGAGTTGAGTTTCGAAGAGATATGGGCTGCTCGAAGAGGCTGGCTAGATGTGGTTTGGGATGACGAGAGAAAGAAGAGACCACTGGATGCGATGTTGACCCCAAGAAGGGGCGAAAACATGGAAGACTTGACTCTGGAGATGGCGTCGACGATTGTGGCCTATCATGATGTTCTGAAACTGGATGAAAACGGGAAGCCCATCTACCCCGAACACAAGGCTGGCAGAAGTGCGAAGAAGAAAAAGATGATCGAGGTGAACCAAACACAGATCAGTATGCTCTCACTTTCCCAGGTAACCGGTTTTCTCGATATTCGCTAACGTACCACCGCAGTCAAAGTCAAGCTGGACTCCCCCTCTGGACGGCCAAAGATGAAGAAGAGGGGCTCGACATCAGAACCGACTATGACGCTGCACACGAAGGCAGCGACAGATGACATCTACGACATTTTCAACGCTCCGATTAAACCTGCAGCAAACCCCAGTTTGAGCGGTGACGAGAATCGCTACGATTCGGATGACTATACCTGTGGTGTGGACGACACTTCCAGAAACCTCGCGACCAGTGAAGTGGGAGATGAGATCACAGTCGTGGAGGCTGTCGAAGAAACGGATGTTGCAGACGAGGACGACGACGTTAAGAGCGAGTGGTCCGACTTTACAGCGCGAAAACACATTCCAGATTACCAAGGAGGCGGTGACGAAGACCACGAGATGACGGATGTTTTGGACGAAGAACTCGACGGCCAACCTGAAACCTCCCATTCACAGGTCAACCACAACAGGTTTTCAGACGAAAACTCGCGTCAGAGTGGACATCCCTTTGCCCAACAACCCCTACCCGCAACTGAAGAATCTTTTGCTAGAAATAGGAGCCTTTTTGTACCAGTCCCTCCCGCAGACTACGTCCCGACAAGGAGGCCGTATCGAGATCCGGTAGAAATGGCTAACAACCGCCTGCCCTTCATGACGCCCATCACAGAAAGGACTGAGTTCTCGTCTATCGACGTTACCTATCACCACCCAAACATGCATCACCCTATTCTCACCAAGACCCCGTCTAAGGCACCCGGTCATGATCATGATCTGAGGGATGACATGTCGGTGGACGGTGAAGAGGAGGAAGACCAATATTCTGAGAATGAAGATGAGGATATGCTCGAGCCGGAGAGCAGTCCGCTGCGCGAGATCCCCGAGGAAGACGAGGAAGAGGAGGAACCGCAAAAGAAGTTTTCGCCGATTCCGGTCTTTCATGACCAACCAGTCGCGCCCAGATCACCTCTCGCCGTAAAGTCGGTTACCACATCACCTCCGACACACCTAGCGGTCTCTCCTCTCGCGCCCAGGCTTCCAGGTCCTATTATCAAAGAGCTTCAGTGCAACCCCGTCGACGACCTCATCCGCAAGAAGATCCTGGCCAACATTTACCCTCCTCTCACCTCGTACGAGGGCTTCTACGACCACCGCCACGAGAAGTTCCGCAAGGGTGCCGAGATCCGCAAGTTCGCTCAAGCCCAGTCCGCGGCTAGCAAACGCGGTCGGAAGAGCACCTCAGCCGACAAGCGCGATTCCCTGAACGAGCCGCATCCTATTACGTTGCAGCTCCCTGGCAATCCCAGCACCAATTACACCATCAAGAAGGAACTCGGCGCCGGTGCCTATGCGCCCGTCTACCTAGTCGAGAACTCCAAGCCCACCAGGACCGCCCCGCAAACCGTCGGTTATGGCTATGGACAGCAAAGGAACGACGAGAATAACAACCTCCCCGCCCACCTCATCCGCGCACCCCGCGAAGCCCTCAAGATGGAACAACCCCCGACAGCGTGGGAATTCTACATGATGCGCATCTCGCACACGCGCCTGCTCGCCGCCAACACCCCGCTCCACACGCGCGCTCTCGCCTCCCTCAGCCCGGCCCTCGAGCTGCACCTCTACCAAGACGAAGGCTTTTTGTTCTTGCCCTTCTTCCAGCACGGCACCCTGCTGGACGTAATCAACCTCTTCCGCTCCGAGTCCTCGGGCGTAATGGACGAGCAACTGGCCATGTTCTTCACTGTCGAGCTGCTTCGGGCCGTCGAGGCCCTGCACTCAGTGGGCATCATGCACGGCGACGTCAAAGTCGACAACTGTCTCCTCCGCCTGCCAACGAACACGGATATACTACCTACTAATCAGTACCACGCCGACGGCAGCGGCGGATGGGCCGCGCGCGGGCTGATGCTCATCGATTTCGGTCGCGGCATCGACTTCAAGGCCTTCAGCGAAGACGTGCAGTTTAAAGCGGACTGGAAACCTACGGCGCAGGATTGCGCGGAGATGAGGGAGGGCAGGCCTTGGACGTGGCAGATTGATTATCATGGTCTGGCGGGCGTGGTGCACGCGCTGCTGTTTGGGAAGTACATTGATACGGTACCCTGCGGCTCCAGGTCGTTCACAACTCATGGAAGTGGTGGCGGGAATGATCAGAAGAGGTACAAGATTAGGGAGAATCTGAAGAGGTATTGGCAGACGGATATTTGGGGACATTGTTTTGATTTGTTGCTGAATCCGGGAAGCTATGTGGATGAGGAAGACGGACAGCCGGGAAGATGAAGCCGGTGCTGAAAGGGCTGAGGACGGTTAGGGAGCGGATGGAGGGCTGGTTGGAGGAGAATGGCGAGAGAGGCGTGGGGTTGAGGGGGTGGATGGGCAAGGTTGAGGCTTGGTCTAGGGGTAGGAGATGAAGAGTTCTAGGACTTGAGGGAGGGTGGGGAAAGTGGAAGGGATTTTCAGTTTGAGGGTTTGGTGGATTGCTTTTATTGCTTATCTCCGATGTCTGTTACAAGAGTCAGAAGGGCGATTAGGAGTTGGCGAAGGGGTTCAAAGGGTATATTAGGAGCAAAGGATTTTGCTTAACAGGATGGGAGGGTATCTTCTGATCTGTTTATTAGGATGGACGTACGTTTCCTTTTCCGTTACCCCTTTTGATGGCGCCTGTCCATGCAATGCTATACATACAAGCTTCAGAGCATCATACCCCCAACTCCATAGCTAAATAGCGTTTTGTCCGTGATCGTTATACAATGAATAGAACATGGGTGTCATCTAGGCACCCTCTCCCAAAGCTTTTGATTCCCTTGGTCATAAAGTCTTACTCCTCGTCATCCTCTTCACTCTCCTCCTTCACTTCCTTCTTCTTAAAGAAGCTCGATATCGGCCCTCCCTTCGCCACAGCCCCCTTCTTCCCTTTCCCACTAGCAGCCCCCTTCAGCGCATCCTTCTCCGCCTTCTTCGCGTCCTTCTCAGCCTTCTTATCGACCTGCTCCTGGATCTTGGCCCGTTCACTCGCGCCCCGTTTTTGCAGTTCCTCCTCCATCTTCCTAAACTCCTCGCTCTCCGCATCCATCCCCACCAGGCTCTCCAAAAGCTTAATCTCGTCCGCCCAAACCTGCTTGTTCTCCACCATCTTGCCATCCGCTCCCTTCTCCTCGATCGGCGTCTCCAACACCATCGGCAACCTCTGCACCGCCTCGCAGTTCACCAAATTATGAAACGCTCGTAAGCCAAGAAAGCCCGTGCCGATGTTGGCGTGTAAGTCTCTATGCGACCCAAAGGGGGCTTTGCTGTCGTTCAGATGCAACGCTTTCAAGTAACCGAGGCCGACGATCTCGTCAAATCTTTTGAGTGTCTCTGCGAAAGCTTCTGGCGTCCGCAAATCGTGGCCCGCCGCGAACGCATGGCACGTATCGATGCACACGCCCACGCGGCTCTTGTCCTCCACGCCATCAACGATCATTTTGAGTTCCTCAAACCGGGACCCGATCACGTTGCCGGAGCCGCACATGTTCTCAATAACCGTCACCGTCTCGCCTGTGCCCTTTTCCTTGTGCGCCCGGTTTAGTTGCGACGCGATGCGCGCGCACGCTTCCTCGATCGGTTCTCCGCCTGTGGAGCCCGGGTGGAAATTGTAGAGTTTGATGCCCAGCGTGGCGCACCGTTGCAGGTCGTCGACAAAGTTGGCGTAGGCTTGGTCGGCTTTGGTCTTGTCGATTTGGGCCAGGTTGACAAGGTAGGAGCCGTGCGGGAGGACGTGTTCGCCTACGGAGTAGGAGTGGAGAGAGGCGAGGTCGCGGAATGAGGAGGCGGCGGAGGGCTCGAGGGGCGGGGAGACCCATTTGCGTTGGGACTTGAGGAAGACGGCGAAGGCGTTGGCGCCGATGTGGAGGGCGTTGGTGATGGAGTTTTGGACGCCTGTGGTGGGAATTAGTTAGTGGGAAGGAAAGTTAAGGGGGAAAGTAAACAAAACGACGGATGGGTGGCGAGAACGACATACCTCCAGCACTGCTAACATGGGCTCCGATGTATAGTTTCCTCTTCATCGACTCCATCGGTGTCCTGGCCGCCAAGGGAGTGGCATCCTCCTCGGAAGCCTTGGTCTTGCGCTTCTTGGGAGCCGGCTTTTTTGTTTCTTCTGAGGCAACGGGGTCCTTGTTCTCGATGTCTTCTTGATCATCTTCTTCTTGAGCCTTTCCTTTGCGCTTTGTCGCAGCAACTTTCTTGACAACAGCCTTCTTCTCCTCGACAACAACCTCTTTCTTGACAGCACCACCCCTGGCCCGGGTAACCTTCTTTGCGCTGGTCTGCTCCTCGACGCTGGATTCCTCGACGGTGGCGGAAGTGATTTTGGTGGCCGCCCGCGACTTTGCGCTACGGGTTGGGCGACTGGGCGGGCACATTGTTGAAGCTGGCCGGTAGAATTGCGAAATCCGGGATGTGATTACACGGCTGAAGAGTCGGATGAATGTGTGATTCATACAGGATGAGAAAAAGAAGTAAGAGACGTAAGATAGGTATTACAGTTGTTGGGAGAACGTGTTTGTCGCGTATGCTATTGTAACGGTGATGACGCGCCAACCCGTGTAAGTTTTGTTCGGTTACCATTAAGACCCCTGTAAATGCGGAGGGACGGTGGTGCTCGAGCGGGGACGGACTGGTCGTTTGACTTCTGCCAAGATTTGGGGTTAAAGTTCCGCCAAGGTTTCTACTTTACACGGACTTGTCCATTTTCCTTTCGCGCATCTTCAATTTATTTTCTCTACACGGTTGCCGTCACCGTCAATCAATCCCTCGAATCTGACATGGAATGCTGTCGTGTGTCGAATCATCCAACAATCCTTGACGACGCGGAACCCTTCCGCTGTTCACAAATTGTCGACAAATCAGAAAATTGACTCTCCCTTCACACAAGGCCATACCCCGGAATGAGGAAAAACGCCGTCAGCAACTCCATCACCAATGGGGACATGTGAAGCAGGCAGCAGCATTTTGGACCTCCAGATATCCATCTGCCCCTTATTGATGCTGCGACGTATGGTTCGCACGGTAACATGCTCGAAGAAGGAGGCACAGAGACTCGGATCTTCAAGATTGATTAAACGCCAGATCGGTAGCGAAGACCGGATACCTTGAGGATGAATAGGTGGGAGGGGCGGGCAGACATGGTTGGGACAGTGTCCTTGATCTGAATGGTACACCCAGGAAGTTCATCAGAGGGATCTCACCGACGGGAAACTCTACCTCCTGTTGGTTATTCCTCAAGACTCACTGTTCTTTGCCCCTCTGCCTCCTTTACACTGAACAATTGCTGACATGCTTCCATTATCACCAACGACTGGGTTTGGACACACGGATGCCACACATACACATGAACTTCTCTTTTCTTCTATCGTTTCATCCCAGTCCGAGATAAAGATCTGAATGGCCGTCTCCTCTCAGATCCACGCCTCCCATATGCGCACTTGCACGCCATCTAGTGAGGTGCCGTCGCACAACGCATGCTATTTATGAGGACTGTAGCTGTTATTGGGCGTCCGGCCCTAGGCGTACCTTATTGCCGAGAGGGCTGTGACCCAGAGTTTGGAGGCGAGGGGTAATCAAAGTTACTCTAAAGAGGTCAGCAACTGTCTACAGACTTTTCACCCCGTCGTCAAAAGGGACACCGAAGGGCTATGAACACCCCAAGTTTGGTTCCTGGAATTATTCAACGACAAGGTCAAACAGTCGGGGTCATTGCGCGGCCGTCAAAGGATAAATAAAGAGGACACCAAACCGAGAACGTAACCGGAAGATGTTATAGCCTCGAGACTCCAAAAGGGAACCAGTACCTCTGGGATCTGGTTCCTTCCTTTTTACAACCTACCTGGCCTCAAAGAGCCCCAACGAGCACAACATAACCGCTTCAAGTCGAAACCCGCTGGCGGTGTGGGCTAAAGAGTACCATGCCCATCTTTTGGCGTCTTGCCGGTTAAAGATGTCAAAAGTCTTGAACTGAAGCTGGACAATACACTTGCCTTGGAAACCTCTGGAACACAAATCGATCTCTGACACTTACCGAGTACAAGTTTCACCCATGGGTCCTTTGCCAGCTGAAGAAGACAATCTGCGCAATCTCTCGTTAGTTGCCACACGATTCAGCTGATGGTCCGGGAGGGATATTTCCATGGCTGCTGAACTGTGACGATAGTTGATGGAGTAAGTCTACGCAGTACTAGGCCGATCTGCTGTTGGCGGCTTACGAAGCCCACCTCCACAGTCCACTTCTTCGCTGACTCTGGCTGGCTCGCTCCGCCTCCAGGGCCTCGAAAGAAAAGTCGCAAATACCACCCGGTCATGCAGGACGCGAGACCCTATCTTTATCTCTATTGCTCCTGATGAATGTTGTTCTCTTCAGGTCATATCGAGTCATAAGAGCCTGGCACGAGTGTCTTTGAGTTCTTTGCGTCTCAGAGCACTACCAGCTAGACTAAAGTACTCAAACCACCTCTAAGTCTACACTATAAAGTTACCTAGTCCAGATCAGCAGGGTGAGAGGCTCCGGGTTCCTCTTGGAAACTTCTCTGATCGGCCTTCCTGAAACCCCTTGATCCCGTCTTGTTTTAGGGCTGTAGATGGACCATGGAACAACCCCCTTCATGGCTGTCAATCCGGTGCCAATCTTTGGCTCTGGCGTCCTGAACCGGTACTGAGTGGCCTCTGGACCGGACAATCATCCATGTAAGGTCCCCCATGCCCGCTGGCTAGGTGATTGCCGCCATGCCGTTGCCGCCCTTAAGCTCCTTCTGGCGCTGGCGTCTCTAGCGAACATTGGCGCCAGGTCGGCCGTGCCAGCCCCCATCGACAAACTGCAGTGCACCCATCCGCTGGTGATCCTGGTCGGCCTGCCATCCAGTGTGCGGCCAGTGCGGCCAGTGAGAAAGAGCCATCGGCCATCCCATCTTTTGACTTGTCGTTCCATCCTGTCATGTTCATCCCGTCTCGTGTTTTTCTGACTTCTCTCCTTCTTTTCACTTTTTCACAATCTCTCTTCGTTGAGTTCGATACTGTATCTCCAGCACTGGTGATACTCTCTTTCGTGTACATACCTTTTCCTCTACACTACCACAACAAGCCCCGAAGAAGACTCTACCAAGAATGAACGAGCCTTATCGTTTTTAAAAGTCAATTAATGTCCAACACCGTCGTCCTTTCTTTCTGGTGACATTCTTCTACCCAGCCGCCCAATATCCTCCCGGCTCGGCTGCCGTGATTACATTCCAGCCCTACAGAGAGCACCGGCTTACACGATGGCAACCATCGCCGTCGACGAAGGGAGACGCTCCTCCATCGAGAAGCCCGCTATCACATCACCCGATGACTTTCACTCTTCAGAACCGACAGCATTTGAACGATTACCGGACGAAATAATCCAGCAGTGCGTCCTCTTTTACTAGCTCTAACCGTCTTGGCTGTCATTTTCTCTATATCCCGTGTTTCGCATTTCGTATTCCTAACCACAAACAGTGTTATAGGATTCTCCAGGCTGTCGATGCGAATGGCTTCGCTTCGCTGGTGCTGCTCAACTCGAAATGGAGAAGCGTCGCTCAGCAGGCCCACCTATACGCCTACCAATTATCCAATTGTCCATCCTACGCCCTGAGCCACCACAATGCCTCGCCTCCAACTGTTAGCGAAGACGATCTACCCAGATTTCGAAGACTGTTCGCAAAGGAAGTCAAACGGAATCTGTTCGAGGCCTACTTGCGCCCAAATACGGCCATCATCAAGCTGATATCCAACTCGATCAGCTCTTCATCCGCCCCAGGTGGAGATGGCATCCAGTACAGCCCGTCACCCAAGGGCCACCACCTGCTAGCCTACAACTCCTCTCGGATACATGTTATTGATGTTAGGCAACGCGACATTGCCGTTACAAGAGAGTTCAAGATCTTGCGCCGTCCTGCCGCCACATGTATCAACGATGAGGGAACCGTGCTAGCAGTTCTGCTGACCGAAATGCAAATCGACATCTACGATCTCAAGTCAACACCTCCGAGACGAACGCAGTCACTGATTCTGGACAACAGCCCTCGTGCGATTGCGCTTTCACCATGTGGCGGGGTTCTGGCAGCGGCTTACGAAGGTGGCATTGAGGTTTCTTCGTTGAACCCCAACGCAACATCAACCGAGAGAAGAGCCGTCAAGTGTGAAGCCGTCGATTCCTTGTCATTTTCGTTTGACGGGACACAGATTTTGGGCACTACGGTCCATGCGCCACAGCCCAACACCGTAATTCTAACCGCGCCCTACTACGATCCAGGTAGTTGTTCGGTGGAGGACGATATCAGTGCATTATGGACCACCTCGATCCTCTTCCCCAACACGAGTCGCGATTGCAGCCACGCTGTCTTGATCCAAAATGGGAAATACGAGGAGGCCGGTTGGACGTTCACGTACGACCGCAGTTACGAGATCTTCAGGGCTGTGCGTATCGATGACCTCCGAAACGGCACAACATACTTCACTGGGCCAATACCGAACCCTACTTCGCAACCCAAACTAGTACCATGTACTCTGCCCGCAGCCTCTTACCATGGAGAGCTCGTGTCGGCCGGTTTTCAAGGCAAGGATGTTTGGATTTACGGTATCCCCGAGGATCTAGATGCGACACCCGAAACGACGAGCACAGGCAATGAAGGTGCCTCGAACTCGAGTGCTCTAAATCGCCGCAACAGTCAACCGCCACCCCGAAGTGGTTCACGTTCGCAGGATAATGATCCGTCTAGAGTCCCTCAGTGGCAAGCGCTCGACAAGTTGCGCAACAAGCTTATCCCAGGACGCAAAATCGGCCATCTTGAGGGAGTACATATGGTGAAGTGGGTTGGAGACTTTGAAGATTCATCGGTGAAGGAACGCATGATTATCGGTGCTCGAGGAATAACACCCACCAAGCCCATCACGGAAGATGATGGTTTTGGCTTTGTGGACGGGGGTAGGATCACGGTGATCGACTTCGACTACGGTTTGGAGAACGGCTCCACTGTCGAGATTGATATCGATGTTGGATCCAAAGAACCCGAGGTATTGGAGGAGGAACACCGAGATATGGAAGCCGAAGTTGCCATTGTACGTCGAAGAACGGTTATGCAAAAGAGAGGGAGTCGTGGTGGCTTGATGCGGGCTGCTACCAGCGCAGGAGCTGTTCCTCCTGTTCCAGCACTTCCGTCTGCTTCGTCACTTCCCAGCCAGCCTTCAGAGCCAGTTCAGGAGGATGATGACCCTCTCTTACCTCGTCGTGTCGGAGCACTTCCCCCTATTCCCCGGATTGAAGCACCTTCGATAACCGAGGATACCGAAGAATTTGCGTCGATTGAGGAGCAAGAGGCCTTGGAGTCACCCTATGCCCATGCCAGCCCCCGATCAGCTCCTACTCTTAGACGTGCCGCCACTGCTGCTGCTGCCAATCGCCGATTGCACCCGCAAGCTGCTGCTGCTGGTCCTGTCGAGTATCGTCGCGCTGATGGACGAGCCGAACATCCACACGAGAGCGATGCCGATAATTGGGTTCCTCCTCCACCTCCGTACCAAAAGGAGGATCCGGGTGACTTGCCAGCTTTCCTGCGCCATGCCATTCCGCCCATTATTCCAACCTTGGTCGGTTCGACTGAAACGGAAGACTATCTCAACGAAATGCGCAGGCCGAAATCTATGCTGGAGCCATCTCGAAGTCATACTGCGTTACAACCTCCGCGGGCCGGAACCTCTATCCCTCCTGTACCGTCTCTCTCCGCCCTTCCGCCGGTCCCTCCACTACCACACCACTCCTTGTCGTCATCGATACAGTATCAGAGTAGCGGCAGCTCCACACACTCGACACACCTGACCCCTTACCAAGAGCCTCAACGGCCGCCTTCCTGCAACTCTCGATACATGGGGGATGAAAACATATACGACGTCTCTCCGCCCGATTCACCAAAGATGGCAGCCATGAACCCGTCTACTGGCGACAGCCAACATCGTAGCGCGAGCGATAGCCGAACAGTGAGCTCTCCTCAGGTTAACTTTTCGGTTCCGGCATCAGGGTCATCTTCCGGACAACAGCAACATCCACCATTACCTCTGCTACAAACAGATATTGCGCCTCCCCAGCAGCCAGGATTCCCATTCGCTCTAGACCTCCATATCCCGTCACCACATATCGGTAATATTATGCCATCACAGAATAGCAGTCCGGTAGTTAGACGACTTTCGAACGCCGGGACATGGCCGCTGGTTTCAAACCAGCCAACCATCCCAGCTCCAGCAACGACAGACTTCCCACACTCAGCGCCTCCAGTAGAGAACAGCGAATACTACCTGCCGGCCCCTAGCCAGGACCAGATGAGGCGTTTGAATAGCCGTTCAGGAGCTCCCCGGCGTCTATCTGGCGGATTTCACCCCACACCCGACTTTGTCGGTGGCGACTTCAGCAACCGCTCCGCATATTCGCAACCAGCATCCCGCCGACCCTCAGCAGTCGAAGACATGCCCCTAATAGTCAGCACACCACAAGGTGTCTCAGGAGCCTTCGACCCGCCCGGTCGACACACTTCCGGTCGTCGGGGCGACCCTCCCCTTCTGGCTCCCGTTCCACGCCATCCCCGCCCACAGATGCAATCAGCTGTCCTTGGGAACCGCCCAACCGTCGAGCGGCTGGAGACCATATATAGCGTTGCGAGCACCGGTGCTACCTCAAACGCTGCTGGCGGCCTCGGTCTTACCATTCCTACGACCACTCGATCCCTGTCTACTTCCACGAACGGTGCCACCCGCACGACGAGTCTCAGCAGGCGACAGAGCCGAGCAGAAAGGAGTGCGGCCAAGAACATCGCTGATGCCAAGAAGAAGGGGTGGATGGGTGGTCGTGGTAGGACCAAGAGCGTTAAAGAGAAGAAGGAGAAGAAGGTCAAGGGCAAAAAGACGAAGAATGGAGATCATACAGATGATGATGCGAGAAGTACGTGGACAGATATCACGACGCATAGCTTTCTGCCAAGTGGTATGAGGTTTGAGAGTAGTGAGCAGGCTGTGCAAGCGGCAAGGGAGAGAGCGGAGAGGGTGGAGGCTGGGGAGAATAATACAGGTAAGAGGGGGAAGAATAAGGGGAAGGGCAAAGGGAAAGACGGGAAGGAGGAGAAGGGGGAGAAGGGGGATAAGAAGTGTGTTGTTATGTGATGAGGTGATGAAATCTCGATGATGAGCTTGGGTCTCTTCATTGGATGGAATTGGTGTGGTTACAGCTTTGGCTATAAGGATGATATTGGATATGGACTTGGGCATTTTACATATAAAGGGTTAATTGGAGGAGTTAATTGGAGTTTGGCAGATATCGCTGGTGAACAGAACAGCGGGTTCAAGAAGTAGAAGAGAATTGGCATCTTGTTCATAAACCACTGTTCTAGGTCCTCTGTGATCCCTTGACTAACACGGCTTACACTATCTCGTCGCCCATCAAAACAATACTGGTTCCCATACGTAAGGCTATTGAGCCGATTGTTACTCCCCTAATTCAGCTCCCTCAACACCCATCAACAACCCAGTAGCCCACATCACTTCCATCTCCTTCATCCTTCTCCCATCACTACCCCGTCATCACGAATGCCAGATCCGAACCCCAACCCCCACATCCCCAACTTGACATCCCAACCAATTCCCACACTTAATGTTGCCCACCACCCGCACCAATCCTCCTCTCCAAATCCTTCACCTCCTCACCCCACCCTTCATCACCTCCTTTCTCAACCGCAGCAGCAACACCCTGCTCCTCCTTGCTCGATCCACCCGCATGTTCACTCGCTCCCTTCCCTCCCTCTTTGGCACCATTGCCAGCAGCCTTGCCGGCAGTCGAAGCATCAGACGTGGTAGTATGGTTGGCGTTACCGAGGATTTGCGCTTTAGTCTCAGACGAAACGGGGGCGTCTTTGCTGGTTAAGGGGGGTTGTTGGCCTTGGGAAGCGAAGGTTGGGTTGGCGGTGGGAGAGAAGGAGGGGGATTGGATTGCGCCGTTGCCGGCTGCGCTGTTTGTTGCCATTTTTGGATAGTTTTGGATTTTTTTTTTTTGGGGGGGGGGGGGGTGGTTTGGTTTGGTTGACTGAGGTGGTGAGATGGTATTTTGGGCTTGAAGTTGAGGGATGGAGCGCTTGGGATACGGGTGAGAAGAGTTCACAGTTGATTAATATTTCTTTGATTGGTTGAATATACTGATGTATCTTTTGATGAAATGGGATGGGATGAAGATAGTTCGCATGGTCCCTTAGTATAAAGGTAGCCCTCAAGGTAGCCCATGATGTCACTGCCAGGCACTGGACCGACCGCGATAAGCATGTGGGGAGAGACGATAAGTTGGAGGTGAGTTCAGGTGCACGGACCATATTGTGGAGTTCAACCGGGACCCCTGTTTCTTGCTCACCGGGTCACCTCGGTGTGTGAAAACTCCATTTGCCGGCCCAGCGGCCGAGTTTCTGGGATTGATGAAAATGGATGAACGACGACGGGACACAATGTCTTCTTGGACACTTCCATCACACTAGCTGACCAAATTTCTCACACTCTCAGGAATTTTGTCTGACAGGATCTCGAATGGACCGGTACCATATCGCATACTGTATCGAGCTCCTCGTTTTGCTGCGCCTGGTTTCGCACGTTATCGATATCGGACATTCAAGGTGAGCGAGTCATTGCACACGTCTTCCAGCCAACGAGAAGGCCGAGATGCTGTTGAGGCTCGTCCCCAGGGACAGGGTCGGGGGTTTGTTCCCCGGAATCTCTCCACCATCATCTCAACGGGCATCCCTTGCTTTGCTGGGAACGACGACGACGACGACAACGACTTACACGCCCAACTTCAAACACAAAGTCCAAGTTCACTACTACAGCACTTTCAGCGATAACAGCAAGAAGAATGCAGACGGCATCGGCAGGATCAATACTCAAACGGATCTCCCCAAGACCGTCAAATGTCTGTCTGTCGCCGTCAACCCCGAGGCCTGGCATCAATATCTGTCTGGAGGACCGGGAGATATATACAGGAACCGAATGAATGTGAGTACTAGATTGCCATCTAGGTTCTTTGTTCGGAATAAAACAACTTACGCTTCATGAAAAACCAGCCGCGAAACCCACGTGTCTTCATCGGCCCTGCCATACGCACTTTCTACCATAAAAGCATCCTCGCTTATGGCGGAGACGTGCGAGCGGACTGCGTTATCATTCTTGCCTCCTTGAAATTCTTCCAGGAAATCCAATGCGCTCACACCTTTCTATTCAACACGGTAAACGAACTCTTCCCACGTACAGAAGTAGGGCCCCTGCAGAAGTCCGAGGTGCTCAAAGACAAGTTGAACGTCGTCGCCGCCGTGGTAGACAAGATCCCGGTATGGCAAGCTCCCGGCCATGCTCCCAGCGCCACCGTAACTTCGGAAGGGTTCAGCATCCTCACCGGACCGATCGAACACCTTTTGCCTGGCCTGTGGGACAACTCGGACTTCTCGTGGAGCACCATGAGGAACGAAACCGACCCCCTCTTTCACGAGCGCATGTACAAACATCTTCTAGTTGGTTCCACGGGGAACGCTGAGAAGGTTGTGAAGCCGATGCCCTATTCTTCCGGACCACCCCCAGTCCTCGAGTTCCGCATCAACCCCTTGCGCGGCAACGACCAGCCTATACAAGTTACCCTCCCACTCGCCAACACGAGTTACGCTACTTCTACCGCCGCCCAACGTGGCACGACACCCTACATACTGGAGGTCTCGGCTTGGGCGCGATCGCTCGAGAAACAAAAGCTGCGTCCCATCCACGTGGAGGCCAACACCCGGACCCATGTCACCATCCAAACGACCTCTTTGAAAAATCCCTGGCCAAGCATATCTTATCTCCCGCTCACCCCCGTCACGTCTCCGCGCAAGATCATTAGCGGTTTGGGGAACATTCTCAAGCAGGTCGAGATTGACGGCGAGAAGGCCCCGGCTAGCAAGGAGCTTGAGGATGTGATCCCGAAGCTGCTTTCTTTGAGAGCCAGCTCCCAGAGACCACTTCTGAACCCCCTGGATAGTCACGCTGTCAAGGTCTGGGCTCTTGTCATCCCGGATGAGGTGTACCAGAAGTTTGCGAAGCTTGAGCCTTATTCTGCCCAGCTCCCCGGGATGTTTCCACTTCCTTCTTTCGATCTCGCAGAGTCCAGTACCACCGACGAACTGAAATTGGCTAAACTTTGCACTAGGACTCTCCAGGCCTTATTGCTAGCCGGATGTCATATCCGGGAAGTTCGTAAGTCACCCATTGATACATTCTAGTGTGAACACACACATCCTCGCTTATCTAAGGAGTGATATATACTCACACACTTCCAAACAAACAGTAAGTGGCGGCGGAGGCTGGGGTGCTAAACAAGGTCTCCTGTCTCTCGATCCTCAGGACCGAGACAGTCGCCGCAAAACCCTCAAGAACAACAACGAAGCCAAGGAGGAAGAAGTAGAAGAAGACGACGACGACGACATGGAAGGTCTCGAGCGTTTCCTCCGCACCCTCCGCGGCGAGCAAAACGTAGGCGACATCGCCTCCCCCGGATCCTGGGTGCAATTCTTGGTCGCGCCCGCCCACCTCGAGAGGCCGCCGTGGGATCCCGAAAAATCCAAAGCCGTCATCAAAAAAAGCCGCAGGCCGACAGAGAAGATGACCTTGGGCATCGCGGATGCGGTCCAGGAGTACGCTCCCGCGTGGGACCCGGAGTTCACGGAGAACAGGGAGAGCGAGAGGTACAAGTACCGCTGGACCGACCCGAACGGCGTCGAGATTTACACGTACCAGTTTGGTGCGCTGACGAATGGGAGTTTGTGGCTGGATCTCATGAAGCCGGCAAAAGCTAAGGCAGAGACAACCGCAGCGACGGAACCAGAGACACCAGCAACAGCAACAGCTACAGAGACAACAACGGAAAACAGCACAACGGAAAACAGCACGACGAAAGATGTGAGCCTCAAAGTCAACGGACAACAACAAAAACAACAACAAGAAGAAGAAGAAGAAGAAGACCTATGGAAAGATTTGGAGACGGTTTCGGAAAGAAAGATTACGGTCCCGCGCTGTTGGCTTCGAGCGGACATCGAGCAGCGGCAGTTACCCGCAGTGCGGGCACCACAATCCCACCAGTTACCACCGTTATCTCACGGACTCAAACGACTTGGGTTCCCCTCCCGCCGGTTAACCCATTAGCTCTGTATTTGAGTGACATTTTTTCATTAAAAAAGAGAGGGGGAGGGGGGCAGGTTATATCGCCCAATCTGTGTGAAATTTACAGTCCCACTTTACACCCATTACATTACGATACGGCCCCGGCCGATGACGGACCATTCTATCGCCAAAGCTGGGCCGGTTGGTATGAGCGGCTGAGATATATAAAGTTACGATATGTGTAGTGAAGTCGGGGCCTGAGGTGAAAGTGGAAGAAGAAGAGGAGGAAGAAGAAGAATCTGGTGAAGAGGAGGATCAACAACAGCAACAGCAGCAGCAGGGATGAAACGGGAATCAAGAGAAGAAGAAGGAAGGTACAGATGTGTGAGGAATAAGTCTAAGAGGAATCCTAGGTAGGTAGTGTAAAGCTCAGATGTCAAGTAAGGGGTGAGTTAAGGGAACCAGTCCATAGGCGAGACGGGGTAGATAGATTTGAGATTCTGTACCTAGACAGCCGCGAGACGAGACGAGACAAAGCATTAGCATATATATCTTAAATACAGTTGGAGCCAGAACGATGGTACCTGCTGCGTCGGCATATTTAGGTGTGATGCCATGGCAAATTTCGAAACGATCATGGTGACCTATCCATCAGGTCGGGTGGGCTTCATAGCGGTGGGTAGCGGAAACCGTCGAGTCTTCTGCCTTGAAAGGAGGGAATTCTTAGAAGGGGAGCCCACCACGACAGGATATGGATACTACACATAGATAGACCCATGAGATTTCCAGGGCTTTCAAGGCCCTCATGAAGGCATATGTTGTCTCCTTGTCGGGATCTATACTTAGTACCCATAATCCCTGGGTCTCCTCTTCGCTTACAGGGTTTTGCGCTTATAGTTGAATCTTAACACTTCAACTTTCCAAACGGAGCATCATCTTCATCAGAGATGTATATCTCAAGAGGCCATCCCAAACAGGCAACATGCAGAGAGGGGCTTCCAGGCCAGGCCAGGCCAGGCCAGGATAGGCAGGCGCATTCTCAGTTACGTTTCACCCCCTTACAATACTAAGCTACTAATCCAAAGTATCATCCCTCAACTTAAACAGCTGCCCCAGAACCTCCTCCGTCTTGGCCCTCAGCGCACCATGATACATGACATTCGTCTCAAACACCTTGGTCCCCTTGACGGCCCTGGCCGTCTCCCTCGCAAAGTCCGCATCGACATACATGTCCTCGACGTAACTGGCCGCGTAAACGGGCACCTCGTTCCGTGCCAGCTGGTCCAGGTCGTAGAGCTCCGGCCACTGGTCGTACGCGGCGAGGATTTCGGCCGTCTGCCTCATGTCTTTCAGTTCCGGGTAGCAGGAAAAATGAGCGGGGTAGACCATTTCGCCTGAGAAGTACAGCGGTTTGTCATTGGTGGTGTCCGCGGAGGAGAGGGCTTCGTCGTCATTGACAACAGCAGAAGACAGCCAGCTGAGTCCCGGCTCGGACTCCGCAGCAAGCTTCTTGCCAACGCGGTAAGCGGCCCAGTTCGATGCCCCGTGAGCGGAGCCGTTGACGTAGATGGACTCGTGGAGGATGGCGTAGATGGGCGCCGTGTCAAAGGGCACCGAGCCTTCAAAGCTGGCGCCTGCCGCGCGCGTGATGAAGCCGAACTGCTCGATGTCCATGGCCATCTTCAGGATCGTGCTGTGAATGAGGTCCAGGCCGCCGTTCATGCCCAGACACAGACCCATGCCGAGGAGCCTCTCGACGGTGAGCTCGCCGCCGCCCGGCAGCGAAGTGGGGTTTTCCTTCAAGTACCTGGCTACCTTCCGGACCCGCTCCACGTCCTCGGGAAACTTCCGGTAGTAGGCCTCGTTGCGCTGGACCACCTTCTTGTATAAAGCCGTGTACACCTCCTCGGCCGTGCGCTTGACGGGCGCGAGCCCGCCCGTCAGAAACACCTCGCGCAACCCCTGCGGGAATTGCGAGAGGTACGTCAGCGCGACGAAGCCGCCGTAGGACTGCCCGAAGATGGACCATTTCTTGTGAGTCTCGGGATAGTCGGCAGTCAGGCAGAGGCGCACGGCCTCGGCGTCGCGGACGATGCTGTCGGCGCGGAAGTGCTTGAGGTAGTCGGCCTGCTCCTGGGGGCCACCCAGCGTGGCTAGATGGGGCTGGTTGATGGGCGTGCTCAGGCCGGTGCCGCGGTAGTCGAGGAGGAGGAGGGTGTACCCCTTGTCCAGGGCCGTCTTGGTCAGGTTGTGGTCTTGGGGCTCTTTGTTGCCGAAGCCGGGACCGCCTTCGAGGTAGACGAGGTAGGGCTTCCTGTTGTACTCGTCCTGCTCGCTGTTGGTGCGGGGCACGATGGGAGTTTCATGTTTGGTGACTTGGCGGCCGAAGAGCTTGAGACTTCCGGCAGAGAGGTTGGAGTGGTTTAGGGGCACCTCAAAGGTCAGCTCTGTAACGCGTAGCTGGCCTGTTGGTGTGTGTTAGAAGACTGCTGCCGATGCCATGATCTGGTAATGTTCGGGTTCCCTACTTACCAGGGACAATGTGTGCTGTGCGGCTCAACAGACGAGCTGGACGGATGGCTTTAGCAGCCATCATGTTGATCAGTAATGAAGGATGCCGTGGTGATGGCAGGCTCTAGTGTTTATGTTGATGAGGGTTCAAGGTGGAATATGAAGATGATGTCGAAACAACATGAACCCAGAGGCATCACGCTTATAGCAGAAGAGTGTCATGGTGATATCGCGGGGTAGTATATAAGAGGTAAGCTGACGGTTACAACTTCCAAGCAGTACGGGGTCAAAAAGGTGTCAGGGTAAATCAACAGACCACACCTTGCTTCCAACAACTGAATATTTGGGAGCTGGTTGCCTTCATTCTACCCGATGGGCTTGATGCTGTTATGTCTAATGTGTTCTAACACATGCCCATCAATATCAAACTCTGGCTCTTCCTCTCCTCCCGGTTTTGTAACCTCCAAAGTACCCTCAGGAACGACGCAGTTGACCAAAGAGTATCAGAATGATCTGACATGCATAAGAATCAAGCCGGTTACTCATCGTGCAACCGTATATTTACATTCCTTGCCCGACCTCATAATGACTTCACAGTTGTAGATATTGTGATGTTGGAGGCTGTTTAGCGCGCAAGAAATGGGGCTCTAAAATGGGTTTTTTAAAGTAGTTTGTAAAGGAACAGCACAAACTCTCCTAAACTAGAATTCACTATAAAATACTAAGCTTTTAAACTCTATCTTATTCTAATTCAGAACTCTATTTTAAAATGCTGTTTGGTATTCTAAAATTGTAGAGTCTATTACTTTTGTATATATAGATCAATAAATGAAATATAACTTTCTTTCATACTCTTTTATCAACTACAACTAACAGATTTACTAATAAAATAGCCAGCTCTCAAACTACTAGCAAAGCAGCACACACTCCTTTCCTCTTCACAGTATTTCTATTTACATAATCCAATTAGCTTATCTCTTAAGCAACTACTTCTCAACTAATAGGGTAACCTGGGTGCTTCCAGATACCATGATGCAAATAGTGCAATACGTAGTATTAAAAGTAAAAAAGTAAAATGTTTTACTAAAAAAGGCGCGGCCAAAGGCCGGCTTGCGAAGGGATCTCTTTGTAAGAATTTCTTATCTTATCGCTAGGCGCATTTAATATAGAACTTTGCGACGGTAACTAGCGTGATACTATACTCGTAGCCGTAGGACTACTAATCATTTATTAAATAAGAGTAGGGATAGCATACTATATCCAATTTATGCAATTAATTTATTTAATTATATATAATATTATAATTGTGACGGCGCTGGCAGCCAGCAACCCACATGTGGGTCCCGCTGTCGCTGGTGCAACGAGGGTATTTATTTGGGTTTGAACGCTTGTATCTAATTCTTTTTCTTTTTTCTTCTCCCCATCTAAAATCTTCTGTTATAGATGGAATCTGAACTTTGCCTTCGACTCCTTTATACTGTGCTCTTGCAATAATCCCGTATTAAATTCCAGTGCTATAAAAAGAATACTGTTATTCTCAATGAAAATAGTTTCACTTTCGTTTGCAACAATCTTTTTCATTAACGAAGTGGACTTATTTCTTACTATCGACTCTAGTATGAGATATTGTCATGGGGCTAGTGCTCGTGGCTGAAATGCCTGGCAATCTTGCCAGGCGAGTGCTTCACTCTCGCGGCAGGCAACATTAGCCTGTACGCGTCCACGTCTCTTCTTTAGGACAGCCAGCTAAACTGCCCAAAGGGCGTCCTTTTCTCCCCTTCTCTCTTCGTAGAACCTTATCGATTCTTTTGGCTAGCATCTGTGTCAACTATGCTGTACTTCTTATAGGTATACTGACTTTTCTCTCATTAGGACAATATTTTTAGTAGTTATTTATTAAATTCTTTAAGTATTTTAACTTCTCCGTATCCTTCTATTTATTCATTTGCTGCGATGCCCTAACTAGCCTATAATAATAGCACCAGTATAGAGATGCTACAGTGAACTCTGCACTATAGAAGTAGACTATATTGTATTGCTTAAATTGTGCTTGCTTGCTTGCTTAATGAGTGACTAATGAGAGAAGATAAGGGGTTTTTATATACACAAACGTTAAGTATCTAGAAGCTTCTAGAGTGTAAAAGCTTCTAGAGTGTAGAAGTTTCTGTAAGTTGATAGAAGTGCTTGTAGGAGCATTATACTATAAAAGAAATGAACTAAATCTATAAGCTTCTAGTGCATTCTATAATAACAAATTAGTCTAGAAGGTGTGAAGATATAAATCCCGCAACTCTCATACTGTTAGGAGCTGATAATGATAGGCATGGGCCAACCAAGCTATGATAGGCTAGGGTGCATATGCTTAGACGGCCAAACCTACAAAAGATAGGACGATGTTCTGCTTGCAAGGCAGAACTCGGAATGCACACTATATAGCCAATGTCAACCTGTGATACAAGCCACCAGTACACAACAACCACGCGTAAGCTAGGCAGTGTAACCAGAGGCAGGAAAAGAGCTCTGAGCAGGCAAGGGCTCTGGAGAGTTGAGCTAGGCTCACCAGTCGAGCCAGACTCACAAATCGAGCCAGCTTGTAAACCACACGCTATGGGGTTTACGTCTATGTGGACATCCGGAAACAGATATCTCGCAGAGGGCGAGCAGATATAAAGGGACTACGGGAGAACTTAGATTGTTAGATAGTTTGACAGTAGTCAATAGATCATTATCGCTGAGACCAGTATTACGAGCATACTTGTTATGAACCTTTTGGCTTCACTGAATAGCATTGATAGTTACTACCTTTAGCTATCTCATTTAAGCAGATCAGACTATCGTTCGTCACACATACATTATGAGATTAGATTGGTAGAGACTGGCAGAATCTGGGCTTCTCTTATGTAAGGATGCACTTTAGAGCTCAGCTCTCAATCTCTTCCTCTTTCTTTTTTAGTTTTAGTTATTTATTCATTTGTACCTAACTACGCAATACGAAACTACGTGAGCTAGTACATTATAACAGAAGAAATGCCGAACAAGTTGGAGAATCACAAAATACAATGAAAAAACCTCTGTATTCTAGCACGTTCTACAAAGGCTGAGTTGACTGATTCCATAGAAAAAATAGTTCAATCAGTCTTCTATACTACAAAGTAGTACAAGCGTCACACGGACATTGCCCACAGTCCAGGAGTTAGGATCCCAAGGCTTAGCAGAGTCTCAAATACTTAGAATGAGCCTCATGAATGCCCAGCGGCTGTAGGCCGCGAGGCTCAACCTCACTTTAGCCAGACTCTCAGCTACTAGCATTGCTTACTCAAGCCCTTCTCAACGTCTTCAAGCTAGCGAGCCAACCATCAAACTGCCGACGACGCTAGTAAGCGAGATGAGGCAATTTCCAGTTATTATAGAAGCGATCACAGTAGTCAAGCAAGAATCAAAGCGACCGAACGAGGATCGGTGTCAGAAGAAGAAAGTAGAATGGTTGAAGGCACTCAAGAAGATCCATATGTATGAAGATTACTATATGAATACCTTGAGGCCTCAAGCAATAAAGCTTAGTACGTACCTTAGTACGCACCAAGCTTCTTTGGTATAAGAAGGTCTTGAAGCCCAGCCTGAATGGAAAGACTTCAAAGAATTTAACAAGGATTTTGGGGCCAAAGTAGTTTATCAGCGAAATTAAACTACTGTTCCAAGCTCAGAACACTACCCTTGTGATAATAAGGTAGTTACAAAGCATAATACTAGCTACATGTTAACAATATGGTAAAATAAAAAAAACTCCTTTCGTAAATTAAAATTATTATTTAAGAGAATGACGAAGCATAATTACCTAGCTATATTACTAACTTATAAAGCATATATAGTATTATCTTCAGTAATAATTAGAATCATTCCATATACTTATATAAAAACTCTAATATTGTAAACTAGCTATCCTTTATACAATTAATAAAGCAACGGACTATCTATAGTATTAACAACGTTATAATAAATATTATTACCAACTTTAATATTAGCATCTTACAAGATATAACAGGCTTGATACGTTTACGCTATTAAATAAGAGCGGCGGAGTTTATAATAATCAATCTAAGTAGTATTAGAAGTAGGTTGCACTAATTTTAGTATAATATCTAATACAAAAGTATATGTTAGAAGAAATATAACCTTTAAAAGATTCAAATTTAATTTCAAAAGAATTACAACTCTTAATTAACTAAAACTCTATTATAAGAGCAGAAATTTCAGAGAACGGATTTAGCGAGGATTTCAGAGCAAAAAAGTTCAGAGTGGTTCCAAATGCGATTCTGAACCCCTTTTGTCAGAAGATTTCAGAGCCCCATTCCTTGCGCGCCAAACAGCCCCTTAGTATTTAGTTCCCGGGCCCTCTGGTTGCCCCTGGCGTCCCGCTGTGTCGTTCGGGGTTCAGTGCCAAGTGCCAACCCCAAGTCCCAAAATGCCCCGCATGAGAGTTGGTTCTGGGTGGGGTCTCGCCAACGGGCCTCGGGCTCCAAAGGGACGCCGGCGCTCGGGCAAACATGGCGGGGCTCGTTCTGGGCGGTGCAGTGGTCCAAAAAGTGGATCCCGTGGGATGACTAAAACCGCGGCCGGACAGCTGTGGAAAAGCCTTTCTTCTCTTTCCATCATTGGAAGACTTGGAAGACTGGAAAAGGCGGAACGAACGAGCTTGCTGTTCCGAACCTGTCACGCGGCGCATTCTCGTCCCATTCAGCCTCCCGTCTTCTCTTCTTAATACTTGCTTCATCGCAACAAATGCCGTGGGATGAATTACCTACAACTAACCCAGACTCTAACTGAGTCCTTCATTGCCCTGGCAGATGAAGTCCAATCACTGATCGACCGCAAGACCATCCTTGAGCACAAGCTTCGCTTTGCGCACGAGCAGGTAAGGTAAAACACCCTCCATTTCCTATCTCCAATTCCAACCCCCCCTTTTTTCCATGATGTTTTATAGCTCTAGATCTGCCCGCTGCCTATCAACAGCACGTGGAGACAACTTCTATTGTCTGATTGAATTCACACCCAACATTGCGCTTGTCATAATTTAATGTGGCGATCACATCTGGCTAACACAAGTTGCCCGCAATTTAGTACCAGTGTCTAGCCGATAAATATGCGCCTGCCGTCCCCGAGGTAGCCGAAACGCTCGCAAAGCTCCAGCTTCCCCCGGACGTGCACTATTATTCTGTCCCGACCAACTCATCCGTCGTGCCTTTGCCTCAGCGCATCCAGCCTGGGAACTCTCAGCACGAGATCGCCTTGCAAATCAGAGAGGGGAGAAAGGCGGCTCAGCTCATTGCCGCTGCCATGGGAAGGGCCAGCAAACACAGTGACTCTAGCAAGGAGGAGGCTTCCACCTCTCCCGTTACCGCCGCCGACACCATGACTACCATGTCGACCGTGCTCGAAAAGGACTTTACTGTTGAGGGGAAGAAGAAGGGCCTCCTTGCGTGTCCTTTTTCTGTTGCTGCTGCTGCTGCTGCCGCTGCCACGCCTCCCGCTGTCCAAGACCAAGCATCGCCCAACCTTGGTATTGGCAGTGGTGTGACTGGCGATGGCGCCCAAGACCAAGATGCTGCTGCTGTTGCTGCTGCTGCTTTAAATGAAGGCGCCGGGGCCGCTGCCATGGACCCCACTCCACACAAATCCTCTGACCCCATCTGCGCTGCCATGTACGAGGACTCGACGTCGATGCCCGCCCACACTGCTGCCTCCAAGTGTCCAATCCGATTTCTTGACCAGCACTCGCCTGAAGAGATTGCTCGCTACGTGGAGACGCACAAGCACGAGATTCCGCGCAGCCATGAGGTTTGCGTCAGGCGCTATCAGAAAAATGAAGAGCAAGTAAGGAAGCTCGATGCCAAGTACGGGAATCTGGTCAACATGATCGAGGACCTGAGCCATCTGCACAAGCCCATGCTGCCTTCACCACTACTAGCGACGGGAGGAGATCAATATCAAGACCCCGAGCAAGTCGATAGAAGCTCCAATGATCGAGTAGCGAACTGGGCCAAGTCTGTTTCCGCCAGTGACCCGCAAGCGCCACCGGAAACTCAGGACGACGACCAGAATCTGCCGCCCGTAGAAGATGAGGAAGAACGTGAAGGTCGGTTTGATCGTCCTTTGAGAGAGGTGCGTTTGGGAGAGTCGCCCAGTCGGCCATGGGGCATTCCCGTACCAGCCATGGAGGACCAACCCCGGAGGCAAAGGAGTCGGAGCCCAAGTCCGGTTCGGCCTGTGGTTTCTTCGAGTCCGCCGGCTCAAGATGAGATTCCTTCTCACAAGAAGGGTCCAGGGCTGGGAAGTGTCCCTTCGATCATACCAAGATGGCTGCATTCGCTTCATCTAACACAAAGGTTGAACCACCCAAGCAGGAAGAGGTGTCGAGAGATATGGAGGAAAAGAAGGGTCCCGGGGCTGGGAAATGTCCCTTTGATCCCACCAAGATGGCTGCATTTGCTTCATCCAGCACAAAGATTGAGCACCACTCGCCCAAGCAGGAAGCAGCACCAGGAGAGACTATACACAACGAGACGGCGTATCACAAGGTCGAACCTACCAAGCCGGTCGAGGAGCATCATCATCATATACCACAACCTATGCCCACACCACAACCAACATTCATCAACATGGCAGATTTCCCGATTCCGAAGGCTGAGACAGCAACAGGTCAGGAACAACAGGCCCCCATGGTTTTCAACTTCAATGGTCCGGTCTTCATCGGATATCCTATGGAACAAGCTATTCAGTTTATGCAGCAATTTCAACAGGGCGGCGGCAGCAAGTAAACAGAGCAGGGCAGGAACGTCGGGTCCGGAGGGGGAGAGAGCATCCAGTCTCTTTTCTTGTATTTGTTCGTTGTGTCATGTCATATAATATCTCAGGAGCAAGCAGGCGAGCGTGTTGTTGTTCTTAGTCAAAGGCTTGTTGGTTGGGTTTTGAAACTTTGTCATAGCTCATAGGTCATGGTGGTTGTTTTGGTTTTTTACTACCCGGTTTTTGCAAATGGATAGCGAGGAGTTTCAAGGGTTTCTGCATCAATACTTATTCCCCATATCATCAATAATCATATAATGAATGACAGGCTTCTCGGAAGATACATACCTTAGTAGTATTAACAACAATCTTCGCATTGAACATTCATATGTACTGTATTACCCTCTCTCACCCTGTGTGATCTATTGCACTTCTTCCTCTAGTAACCAATATGATGTCTAGGCATAAAACCAGCTACAAGGCCCAAGCAAGGACGCCGTCAAAAGCAAATCATGTACAATATGTGATCAAAACAAAAACCCAAATGCTCTCTTTCCCAAAGACGCCTTAGAACACCTTATTGCTTTCCCCATTTTCTATACGCGATGGACACCACCCGCTTGCTTGCTCGCTCCTTTTTGTGCATATATGCCACATAAAGAACCTGAAAAAGTAAAGAACAAATGAAAATGACAGAAGAAATAAAACACATTCATTCTCTTCAAATGAACTCGCCCTCCCTTACTTCCTGCCCTCCAAATTGGCCTCCTCATCCCAACTATCCCTATACCGATCTGTCTCCCACAGCGAGATGTCGCTCTCGCTACTCTGCCTCCTCAAATCCTGTTCCCTGCCCGCATTCCCACCAACCAACAATCTCCCGCCGGTATTACCCTCCAAGTCCGCATAATCCTCCTCGTCATCGTCCACCTCGAGCGTGCCGTCCGCCGTGCGATGAACCTCCCCAGCGGCCGTGGTGCCGGCAGCAGCGGCGAGCGCGTCAACCCCGTCCAGTCCTTCCTCGTGCGCCAGCTCCTCGGCCCGCGACATGGTCCGCTTCCAGATGAGGTAGCCGACGGCGGCGCCGACGGCGCCGAAGACGAGCATGGAGACGTAGTTGATTGCGCGGTCGCGGGTGGTCATCTTGTCGCCCGAGGAGGCGAGGAGGGCGAGGCGGGAGCCGATGAAGATGTGGACGAAGAGTTTGGGGCTGTTTTCGGAGATCACTGTTAGTATAACGACCAACCAAAGGGGGGTAAAGGGAAGATGATAAAGGGGAAAAAAAAAACTTACGTAGCCAACCCAGTAGCAACCGCAAACCCGCCCACCCTCAACCTCGGCACCGTCGCCAAAAACCCGTTGCTCAAACTATATGGCAACGGACTGAACCTGACCATAGCCAGGACACCCAAGCCATCCCTCCGCAGCACCTGTCCCAGCGCCACAAACCGCTTATCCCGCCCGACCAACCGATTCACATAGCCCGCCAATACGCCCCTCGACGCCAAAAAGCTGCACGTGGACCCGCACACCGTCGCCGCCGCCGCAATCGGCCAGCCCCAGGGAAACCCGTACACGAATCCCGCGACGGTCACGGCGGTAGAGTAACCGATGATCGGGGGGAACGCCGTCATGAACACCAGGCCGAAACAAATAAGCCAGCCGAAGGGCAACGCTCGCCATTTCTCTGCCAGCGGACCGAGCGACGCGAAGATGGCGTGGGAGTAGACGAGCGCTACGACGCTCAGCGAGAAGAAGATGGCAAGGGCCACGAGATGGCGATCTTTTGGAGCAGCGAGAGGCCGAGGAAGATGGTGATGGCGCGTTGGGCGATGCTTAGACCCGTGGAGATGGCTCGGAGGGCGAGGGTTTTGAGCTGGCTGACACGCCCGCCGCCGCCGCCGCCGCCGGCAGCGGTAGAGGTGCGGTGCGAAGCGTTTCGGGAGACGGAATAGGGACGGCCGGAGGAGAGACGGCGGATGTTAGAGGCCGAGGGACGGGCCCATTGCGGAAGGTCTTCGCCGTTGGGACCGACGCGGGGGCCCGGGGAAGAAGTCGGTGAGTGCGTGGGTGTGGTGTCTGTTGAGGAGCCGCGGGAGCGAGGGGAGGCGGTGGCTTGACGCGGGGAGGAGGAGGAGGAGAGGTTCATGGAGAGGGCGGCGGCGGCGTCGCGGGCCGTGTGGTTATTGTTGCGGTCCGGCATGATGATGGGGTTCTTGTCGTCGGAGGACGACAGACGGGTAAGTAATAGGTCTTATCGGTGAAGAGTCGAGTGATCGGATGGTAGGATAATGAGGTTGGGCTGATCTGACTATTGATGTAGGGATTGATACTCGGACTTAAACACGCTGGGTAGTAAGCGCCGTGCCGTGTGTTCACCGGACTTTGGGGGTGAAACGGTTGGACGTTGGTCGAGGAAGGTGGCTCGGTGAGTGGGTAGGTGAAAGGAAGATGGGTAGGTAGGTAGAGTTAGTTGAAGTGTCGTTGGTTAGAAGATTGCTCTGCTACCTGGTTGCATCCATTGAGGTGATATGACCTGTTAGATGTCGGCGTCTAAATGTCCTTGTAGAAGATCTGAAACAGCTTTGGATCGATATCGGGAAGAAACAAAGTAAACAAAGTGTTTCGATCAAAGGAGAAAAAAAAAAGCTTGAAAGAGGCTTGGTAGTAGGTACCTCTAGGTAATAAGAGATGCCTGTGCCGAGGATGAAGTAATACGGTACAGTAAAAGGTGTGGTGTTGCACAAGGACGGGAGTCAGTCAGTTGAGGCAGTCGAAGTTGCCCTATCGTTCCAACTCTCCGGTGCAATCGGAGACCGAAACTCCGCCACTCGCAAAGTGAATCAGCCAATCTGGAACAGCACCTAGCGGACCAGCACAGGGGACCCGTGGACATTTTGGTTGGTTGTTTCGGGCTCCTTGGCCTTCAGTTCCTTTTTAGCGTCTCGTAAACACTGCTGCTGTGAGGTACTCAGGTACTGTAAGCTGAAAGAATTGGACCTTTCCATTGGGAACGGCTGGCGAAGTGGAAGCTCGCTCGTCTAAAAGTGTACCCGTAAGACCCTTCATCTTCTGATTATGAAGCTCGACTCTTTTAAGATTTCAGTAATTCCAACATTTGAATGTCTCGATAATATCTTATCTCCAAACCACCCTTCCCGCGGTGATCCGTCCTCATTTTCGCTCTTACACCAACCACCCCGTTTCTTCTGCACGTAGGGACTTGATACATCAACGTCATGCACCTGGGACAACTGACTGAGAGACAGCGACAGGGGCATGACAACTGAGAAACAGAGAGGGGCAGCGCCGGGAGCGGCGGACAGGATCCATGATGGTTTACAGGGATAGCATTGAGAATGGGCCAGACGTTCGGACGTCCTGTTCTGATTCCACGCCATCCCAAGAATAGGTACCCATCCTTCTGACCATCAACAAAACACCCCCTGGCGGCCCTGGCCGAGATCTTTGGAGATCTGCACCCAAGCGTCGCCCATCCCATCTTTAAACTCCCGGATCTTCGTCCGTGGGGAAATTGGGGGCAGCTGCGTCTTGCTTGCAAAGAGTGAGCCATGATGTATTATTCACAGACTCCAATCGGACCTTGTAGTTACGGTCACCACATGTTCGATCACGTTCATGCCACAACATGCACATCGCTGTAATGGCTCAATGATTATTGATAATCGATACTTCTCTCTCCTCTTTCCCGCCACTATGCTCTACCGCTGTCAACCAGCCGGGCTTGTTGCTCCCATCTTCCCATCCATCCTCATTGAAGACTTCCTTCCAGTTCCACCCTTCCATATACTGAATTCGGCTTATCGGTGGTTCGTCATACTCAAAATTCCTGTCCTCCTCTTCCCGATCACCTTCCCCTGTAGCTAGCAGGACCCTTGGGAATCTCCTTGGTAGCCATCGGGTCCCTAACAAGCAGCTTCACTTTCCCCTCCCCAATCTCTACCCCCTGGGAAAGAATATCAACATCCCCCTTGAGCTCGTCCTTCTTCACCAAACTAACCCCATCCTGCGACAATGACTTATCCCAACTCTTCGCATCAATACCCAAAATCCCGCCCATGCTATTTCTATCCCCCGGCACCGAGAACTCACGGTAGGCGTAGTGCCACTCGTTGAGAAAAGTGCGCAACGCCTTGCCCACCTTGTCCTTGCCGTTCTTGCTGTGATGCCCGGTACCGGTGATGGCATAGACAGGTCTGCTTTCGTTTGTGTTCTCGGTCAAAATACCTGCAAGGTATTCGACTGCCTCTTCAGGGTGTAGGCCGTGCAAGTCAACGTAGATCTCAGGATAGCTGCCATTGTTTTTGTTGCGTTCCTCGTAGAGCAGCGCCGCAGCTTCACGGTGAGCTTTCCTCATCAGGTCGTTTTCGCTCTGGCCGCGCAAGCTCAGCGCCTTGGCCGCACGGGCATCGTTGCGGTTCCACGCTTGAGCCGCACTATACATGATGGTCAGTATTTGTCATCCCTCTGTGTTATGACCTGGTAGGAACGACGTACCTTTGCAGAAACTTGTTGCGCAAGCCGCCGTGCTTAATGGCCTCCTGACGTGCCTTGAGATACGCCTTGTTCGCCTTCTCTCCAGTCTCAAGCCAAGGAATGTGCTTGGGCGGTGGGATAGCCTGAGCAGCAGCGCTGTTCTCGCCATTTCGAATGCTGGTAGAGCTGCCATTGCGACCCAGCTTACCATTAGGCCTCAGGTTGATGTTGACAGGAGAGGGAGACATCTTGACAATATCGGCGAGTGTGCTCGGGCCTGGACTAGCGATTTCCTTGGTGCTGCTACTGCTGCCACTACCGGTGTGGCCATGTCCACCCCTTTTACCATGGTGCTTCTTGCTTTGCTTGGCCAAAGCGGCGCCCAGAGTAGGAAACGCATCCGCATCGTCCGGAGACGGGACCGTTTGCGTTACTTCCTTTTGCTGGTGTCGGCTACCAGGCCGCGATCGCGGACGGTCGGGATAGCCGTAGTTGTGGTGGCCCTTGAAGCCCGGCGGCGGAGTGATCCCTACTGCGGGAGTGTTGGCTGACGCTGGGAAAACGGGCAACTGCTCAGGAGTTCCCGGCTGCAAGGACGGAAAACTGTTATAGTCCTGAACGTTTACCGTCGAGTAATGCGTCGGTGGTGTGCCCGAACCGTCAATATGCAGCTTGTTCACCAAATTCGCCGGGTCATGAGAGAATACGCAGGTATCACGAGCCAAACAGTTGCCAGCAACCCAGTACCTACGGAAGTCAGCCTCAGATTCTGCGTTCTCAAGATAAAGGCATAACTTACTTGCAGATATGATTGCTCAAATCGTGGCTAAACCGGCAATCAGAGCGCAAGCACTGCCCGGTGGACAGGTAAAACTTGCAAATCACACCCGATCTCTGCTGGTCGGCCGGAGTCGCAGGGCGTTGATCAGGGGTCATTGACTTGCCAATTACAACCACCTTGGCTTCATCGTTATGGCCCAAAAGGGAGACATCATCCTGTGCCTGGTCGCCCATAATAGAGGCAACGGTGGCGCTCAGGTCATAGCCATGCATAGCAAGGGCAGTGCCGATTTCGTCATCCGTTTTACTCGGACCCAAGATGGACCTCAACATGTCAAACGGACTCATATCGGCCTGCTGAGTCGATACGAATTCGGGAGCGGCCACATTCAAGCCACTCGAGCCGCCGATGGAAGAGGTCACACTGAGACGGTCATCGTCACTAACGAGCCAGTCTACATTGTCCGACTGGTAATCTCCGAATACCTCTTGCGAAGGGGGTTCATCATTGGCGGCAAACTGATAGGCGTTTAAATTAGGACTGTGAGGGACGGGTGTAGCAAACGCGAGTCGCGGGGATGGCCTAGGCGAACCAAAAGGGGAAGCCGTAGAAGACATGGCCCGGCCGAAAGTTGTCGGTACATATCCGGGAGGGGCGAGCGGACTGACGCTCAAGCGAGGCGAGCTGGAAAGAGGGGTGCTAGAGCCTCTCCAGGGAGCCGGCGACGGGCGTCGGAGAATGCTCTGTCGTATGGATGGCGGAGATGTCGCCGTTCCGCCTCCGTCTCGAAACCTCCACATGGCATCTAACACTGCATTATCCAGTGACTGCCCGCTCAAGGTTGTCTTTTCCCTGAGAAGGTCCTGTAGCTTGTCTGTCTTCTCCTCATCGTCAAGGTCTGGGTCCTCTAGGACCGGAAGACAAATGTCGTATGTCTCGTCAGACACCATGTTGGACGCAAGGTGAATTGTATGTGTGTAGTTGGGCGTTGGTGTCTTCTTTATAAGCGCCGCCGTTGGTTGACAATGCGCCCGTGTAGTGCGAAAGCCACCAGGTGCTTGGAACAGTCGGCGGCTGTTGTATTATGTGATTCGACCGGATGAGACGGATGCCGGCAGCGTCAGCCTCGGACGCAAGGGCGGGCTGGGTATGTCGGGCACCGGCGAATCGAGTACGTGTGAGTCGAGGTCGGGAATTTTAGTCGAGAAAAGATACTGGTATTATCCCAAAATTGGGGGGATTCGAAGTCGAATTGGCGAGGCCAATGGGTGGTTCGTCAAGGAACCGAGCAAACGGTAATGATCGAGAATCGGGCAGTTTCACGGCAGCGAGAATAAGGGCCGACTACCTCTAGTAGCATGTTGTCACCGCCTCGTCGGACAGCGGAGGGGTCACAGGGGACCTTGCTTGTGGTTGAGGTTATATGGGTGTCGGGGTGTCGGCTCGTCGCGAAACGGTGAGTAGTGAATGGGGTAAGCTTAAGCGTGGCGGACGAGCGTATGGTGTAAAGATAAAAGAGAAGCAAGTGGAAGTTGGGCAGCGTATTGTGCGATGTTGTGAGAGGCCGGATATCGGTGTGACAAGATGGGCACACCACGTTGAAGAGCCCGGACTGGCTGGGTACGAGTATAGGTAGGATCCAGGGGCGGGAACCTTGACAACCTTCTTGGCTCTTTGGGTCGGTCCTTGGGACAAAATGTCGGGGGCACAACTGCCAATGTTGACGGGTCCCTTCAGACGAGAAGGATTGGTAATAATCTTGGAGGGAGGAACAAACTGACGATGCTAATCGCGAAACTATAAGATGGTAGAAATGGTGGTGAAGGAAGGAAGCGATGAGTTAGGTCTAGAGAAGGGAGTGGTAAGAAGTACGTAGAGGTAGTCAGCTACCTATCTTGGCCGACAGTACCTAGGTAGGGTAGGTGTGCAATGATCGGGACTGATCTGCCCGACCTAACGAGTGGGAGGCCGCGAAGGGAAGAACCTCAAGGGCGCCGCAACAAACTGGGTGGGAGAAACCAAAGTCTCGACTGCGTGGTGGACGAGGAAACAACGAGACGGATCGAGCCCAGGTGTGGATGACGGGAGTGGATGGGGATGGGATGCACAGGGGAAGCTGCGCCGGTCGTGGCAGCACCTTCCTCTGGTGGTGTGCTCAGCGCTCACAGCACACTGGAACCAGCAGTTGGTTCCTTGTTCCTTCCATTGTGCGGGATGGGTGCCAGGGCGACACGCCAAATCGGCGGGGAGTCGGGGCCTAGCACGGGGGAGGCCCTGGAACGCAGCAAGAGCTGATGGACGCGTGGGGTCGAGCTGTTCGTGGCCGCCTGTCGGGGTGCGCACCGGGTCGAGTGGAGACTTCCTTTGCCAAAACATTCCAACAGCGGGGCTGTTTCTTACCGGATACGTACCGTGCACAGACCCAATATCAACTCAGCTGAGAGCCGCGAGACCTCCTCTTGTCACCTTTCCCCCCTGTGTTACTGAGCTACCGTATGAGTGTATGTGGATGTTCCTCAGCCTTAGCTCCTTGGTGATACAATGCCAGCACTGACTGACTGGCCCCATTCAATGCTGCTGTGTTGGCGGAAACCCCTATACGAGAAATGCCCCTTCGAAACGTGTACCTGGGCCAAACAGGGGCCGTCATCGCTTCATTCATGATTTGATGAAAGGGGTCGTGTAAAGGGGCCAAAAGAAGGAAGTGGAATCCTTCGTGGGCAAGGCGCAATGGGGTGGCCTCGGAGGCGGCCATGACCCATCATCCCAAGGCTACGGTCACGGCCAGTTTCTCGCTGAGTTACGGATCCTCATTGGCAGCTCGATCGTCATACAAGCCACAGAGATCTGTCGAAAACGGGCGCATTGTATGGATCCCTTTTCATCGACGATTCAATTGTCCATCCGTCTTCTCCAGGTTGTCTCATCGGAAGAAAACCCTCGCTCTGATGCTCGACGACCTTCAACACAGACTAATGCGCTCAGTCGATCTCCGTGTCCTTCCATGCTCTCCGAGCACATGAAGAACAATATAACAGTTTATCCAGTCCTGCTAGTTCATTCCATGTTCATACGCCGTGAACGACCGTCACGGATGATCATTGCCATGCCATCGTAGGGCAGGTAGCGGTAGCCTGTAGGATTGCCGCGAAGTTTCACCACTGCTTGTCCGTCCGGGGCAACTCCTGAGCTCTTAGCTTGCCCCTGAAGATCGAAACAGCCAATCGCTGGAGAATACGGCACTATATGATGTCTAGATGGTATACTTTTGGGTACGTACGTATTTACATGCATATCGACGTGATGTCATCCATTTAGTGACCAGAGCCACCAGACCAGAGTTCCGTTTCGGTCCCGGTAATTACATTAAGGAATTTCATCCTCCTCGTCGATATCATCGCCGAAGCCAAAGGCAAAGGAGAAACCTCCGCCCTTCTTCTGCTCTGGTCCGCCGTCGGCGCTATCATGGCCGACCACTTGATCCCATCTCCTTTTCTTAATTCCCTGCTTCTCTTCCATCTGCTTCACAGCCTCCTCCTGCAGCTCAGGATACTCGACCCTTAAACGCTCAACAAAGAGCGTGTACGGATCCTCGACCTCTTTCTTGAATCCCGAAATCTGATCGGCCTTGTACTTCAAGAAAGATAGCACGTCCGACAAATGTGCCTTTGGCACAAAGTTCTGAGTGAGGGCGATGCCGGGCTCAAGGTTCACAACCAAATGCCACCAGCCGCTGGGGACGTGGAGGATCTCGCCTGCGTGGCAAATGCCCTCTCTGCATTCGGGCAGTCTGCGGGCTTCTGCGTGAAACTCGAGGAGCCACTCCGCAATACTGAGAGGGCTGGTGACTTCGCTCTGGTCTTCGGAAACGTAGACGCCGGGGACCTGGGCTGATGGCGGGAACATGATCCAGTACTTGGCTCCTTGAATGACCGCATTCCAGGCGCTGGTCGCGTTCGGGTCCTTGTGAAAGGTAGAGCCGCTCCGCTCGGGCCCGATGATCATCCAGCGATGCGCCGGCCGCTCAGCACCGAGTAGCTCGAAGAGATCCTTTCCAAAGCAGTCCGGGTTCCAGTAAGCCGCATCCTTGGTCTCGCCGACCTCGATATTCATCTTTTCGGCGAACTTCTTGTCGAACAAATAAAGGGGACTTTCGTCATGGCTGTCCATCATGTACTGGTAGTATGTGTCGAAGCTCCAGTCCACTGCCTCAGCTCTGAAGACAACATCCGAGTACACCTTGTGTAGAGTATCCATATTCCAGGACTTGAGGACCGGCCATGACTGGATGCACCTGGTGAGGATAAAAGGCTTCTTGCTCCATTTCTCCGCGAACTCCTCGTAGGTAAGGTCGTCAAGACTGGGGATCTTGTTCGCTGGCGGAATATTTCTCGTGTACTTTGGCAACGAGATGTGACTGCAAACAAACGGACGATGCAAGACGTCAGAGAAAACGTTGCTGCAGTCGATCTTGATACGCTTCTCGGGTGAGAGGCCGAGAACAGTTGCCCTCCAAGAGCCCTGCCATTGGAAAGAGGACTTGTCTTTGAATTCAGACCTACACTTCTGTTAACATGGATTGGGTCCGTTTGTTTCTCACGAGGTGCTATTTCGTCGTTGAGCAGATGTCGGGTGTTTTCAACAGCCTACACAACTACACATGACATGTCGGGAAAGATGCTCAACTCTCCGATATCAAAGAAGGGGAATATCTGACAAGAAATGCCGTCTACGCTACTGATAATACGTGTTGGGCTAGTTCCATGGTCAGGGGTCGGATGACTCCCAGGAAAGAAGGGGACTATGTAAGGTTGGATGATGACAGTTATCTGCGTCAGAGATATGGTCTCACTTACTCTAAGAAGATGGTTTTCCAGAGATCGTCATAGCTGCAATGAGCGTAGAGAAATTTGCAGGCATACCCGAGAAGCCTCAAAGTACGCTTGTCCAGATACTCAAAGAGCTGGGCAAGCATCTCATCAGGCAGGACTTGCAGGTCACCCAATTTGATCCGGGCATCCTCCCCAGTATGGAGTACTTGTTGCCTAGAGGCTTGACCCCCAGAGGGTGTGTAGGAACGGATGACTCGACGGCTGTTGAAGCATCATCCTCGTCAGTCATTCCATGACTCCCATTTCCATTTGCCTCGAAGACGAGGCTGTTAGGCTTTTGTTGTTGGTCCGTTGAGAGAAGCATCGTGTGAATTCTTTTGGGAATTGCCGGTTTTGTCTGTGTCTGTCATATAATGTCGGCCAGCGAAACAAGGTGTCCTCCAACTGTTGCAGTCAACCGCCGAATCGGAATAGGGCTACACTGGCGTGCTTATTGAGTGGAAGAGGATGGAAACGGGCCAGTGTCCAATGAATAATACCAATCGTGACAATGGCTAGCGGTAGTATGAGAGAGGAAGGCGTGCAGGTGTGAGGACACCACTTGGTGGCTGTAAGATCTAAAAGAAAATCCGGTTGTGGCCAAAGTGAACCCCCGCGCCTCGCAGTTTAATTGAATGGAAGAAGCCAAGTGATGGATAGAACAGACATCAGGAAGAAAGAAAAGAAAAAAAAGCACATGAGAGAAAAGAGACGCCCAAGATGTCAACCAACGGGTGCATGCGTTACGAATATTTGCCCCGGGGACCCCTGTCCATGTGTCAATGTGGGCTTCAAGCGTGCGCCGTTGCGATGGCAGGCGAAGAAAAAAAAAAAGGCAGCAAGGCAGCGGCGCTAGTGCCAAGGCTGCCCCACCATGCAATTGCGCAAGCTCCCTGATTGGCTTGCAACGGTTGGTTTTGGAGGAGGGGACGCCAAAAAAGTTGACTTGACATGCGGGCGGCGGGCGTGGCCATTCACCAGTTAGGTTTTTATGCCTGAGGCACACATAAATTTCCGGTCCGCCAGCAAATTGAATTTTTATCTGTCCGCCTACACCACAGGCTCTCTCCTCTTTTCTGCCCACCACTTCCCAACCCACATACAAACACCCCATCCCTCGACCTTTTTTTTCCAGATCCTTTTCTCTCAGTACAACTGGGAGTTTTTGAATCTGTCGATTTTCCAATAACTTAATATCCTCTCCAACATATCTGCAACGTGACGTTTGCGGATATTTCTTTGCTCTACTACCCCACCAACACTCTAGTATTTCCAGATCTAAGCAGGGCTTGGATCCGGAAATCTTTGCGAATCTACAACCGCAATCATGGCTACCGATAAGGGACTCGAGGATATCCCCGAGGGTACGTTCAAACTATCATCAACATCACCAAAGGGCCATCGCTACACTTGGTCGATGGCTTCGAGCAAGTCTTTGCCGTCGCTGTCGTCTGTGTGCTGTGCCTCGCCCCTCTCCCCCTCACCTGCCCCTCGTCGGCGCCCACATTTTTGGCATCACCACCCAGCTCAGCAGTCACTGACAATCATTTCACCCTTACAGGACAGATCGAGTCTAACTACGATGAGACCGTTGACTCCTTTGACGAGATGAACCTGAAGCCCGAGTTGCTTCGCGGTAAGAACGCCATTCTCGACCGAGCGGTGTATGGGAGGGCCACGTGCTGATGGTTGATGATTAGGTATCTACGCCTACGGTTTCGAGCGTCCCTCTGCTATCCAGCAGCGCGCTATCATGCCCGTCATCAAGGGTAAGAAAACACCACTTCTCGACAAAATGGCCAACTCCCGCTGACTCTCCAAAGGCCACGATGTCATTGCTCAGGCTCAGTCCGGTACTGGCAAGACTGCCACTTTCTCGATCTCCGTTCTCCAGAAGATCGACCCCACCCTCAAGGCCTGCCAGGCTCTTATCCTCGCCCCCACCCGCGAGTTGGCCCAGCAGATCCAGAAGGTCGTTGTCGCCATCGGTGACTTCATGAACATTGAGTGCCACGCCTGCATTGGTGGTACCTCCGTCCGTGATGACATGAAGGCCCTCCAGGACGGCCCTCAGGTCGTCGTCGGTACCCCCGGCCGTGTCCACGACATGATTCAGCGTCGCTTCCTCAAGACCGACAGCATGAAGATGTTCGTCCTTGATGAGGCCGATGAGATGCTTTCGGTACGTATACTCTGCAGTGTCTACAGCTTTCAGATGCGAAATGCTAACTTTTCTCCTTTCCACAGCGCGGTTTCACTGAGCAGATCTACGACATCTTCCAGCTCCTCCCCCAGAGCACCCAGGTCGTCCTTCTCTCCGCCACCATGCCCCAGGACGTCCTTGAGGTCACCACCAAGTTCATGCGCGAGCCCGTCCGCATTCTCGTCAAGAAGGACGAGCTTACCCTCGAGGGTATTAAGCAGTTTTACATTGCCGTTGAGAAGGAGGAGTGGAAGCTCGACACCCTCTCCGATCTCTACGAGACCGTCACCATCACCCAGGCCGTTATCTTCTGCAACACCCGCAGAAAGGTCGACTGGCTTACCGACAAGCTCACTGCCCGTGATTTCACCGTCTCCGCCATGCACGGTGACATGGACCAGGCTCAGCGTGACCTGATTATGAAGGAGTTCCGTTCCGGTTCTTCTCGTGTCCTGATCGCCACCGATCTCCTCGCCCGTGGTATCGATGTCCAGCAGGTTTCTCTCGTCATCAACTACGATCTCCCCGCCAACCGCGAGAACTACATCCATCGTATTGGTCGTGGTGGTCGTTTCGGCCGTAAGGGTGTTGCGATCAACTTCGTCACCGCTGACGATGTCCGCATGATGCGCGAGATTGAACAGTTCTACAGCACCCAGATCGAGGAGATGCCCATGAACGTCGCTGACCTCATCTAAACAAAAAAAGCAAAAAGCCTCATTGATACACGATATCCTTTTCCTTACTCTCGGCATACCCCGCTACCTTTACACGTCGGCATCCATCTAGGATTTAAGAGGCAGCCTCGTGTACACGGTTTCTGATAGAGAAGGAGGTTAAGGACTTCTTTCCTTTCTTACTGGAATTTTGCGGGTTCAGCATCTGGTGGTAATCTTTTCTTACGCCACACAAAGCGCTGGTACGGATCTAGCACGTGCGCACGCTCATTTACTTTAGAGGTGCTCGGTGCTCAAAAAAGACGGACGAAGGGACGGACTGCTTTGTATTGAGGTTCTCTGGTCAATCTGTAACTAGTTGTCAAGGGAAGTTCTCAAAATGCGATTTAGACTGAACTCGGGGTCCTGGTGTTGTGAAGCGGGCGATGGCCCGGTAGGCTTTGTGACGGCCGCAGGGACGATATATGATGATCATGATGGTTCTTGTACCCGGCAAAGCTGGATAGGCAGGATGATGCAGCCAGGTCAGCTGCTTCTGCTTGTTAGATTGTTAGCTTCAATAACGGTGCTTTTGTAATTACTTCTTTTAACTTTGCTCTTGTCTCCCAAGATGTCTATGTTGTCTGTGATGAACCCTTTTTGTGAAACAACGCCATCAATGGTATGATGAGCTATGTATACGTAATGTGGAAGGAGCCTACTTTACATGATGTTAAAGGTTATGTCCAAAGTGTACTGGTACGTTTGTCATGGTGTACAGCGACAATTACATAGTAGACAATGATAAAGCTACTTGGCTATCGTTCTTCAGCCTCTAGGTTTGTAAGGTTGGTTTCAACTTTGAATGAAAGCAGCCCGTACTTCGAAATCCGTTGCGGATGCCCCACAAGACCCAGACTGTTTGTTTTAAGTATCAAACTTGCAACTGGGATATGGACCTTGCCTCAGTTGGTAACGACGCTTTCAATCCCTGGGTCGGCCAATTGACGGGAATGCCATGCTGGGGAGTCCGTTCTCCGTCGATGTCGTCTCCAACTGGAGGTTGACATGAGCCCCACATATACGTAGCGGTCTCCACACTAAAGTTGCGATGGGCTCCAGCTTGCCCAGCCAAGAACAACGTTGACTCGCCGGGACGCCGCCTCGCGAGCCTCTTCCCGCACCTTGACCTGCAACTCGTTGCAACCGCGTCCCTGTCCTTTTGCCATCCATCGATTCACTTCAGTCACAAAATCGGTCGCATTCACCGGCCCTTTACCCAACAACCACTTTCAAACCTCGACCGGCTCTGTGACTCGTGTTGCGGCCCCTTCGCCTATATTTATTCTCTTATCACCAACTTCCTTACCCGCAATCACCGCCAATACACCCTATCGTCGCGACATTACGCAAAATGGCCGACAACTCTCTCGACCGTAGCCTTGACGAGATCCTCGCCGAGCGCAAGCCAGTACGTAATACCCACTTTGGTCTTTCCATGTCTGCCAATTGACTTGGGCCATGGATACTTGGCCAATGGATACTGACATCAATGCTTTCTACAGAATGCCGGCCGGGGCTCAGGCTCTCGTGGTAAAGGCAACCGGGACAATGGCGGCGACAACCGCCAGCGACGCGACAGAAATGATTACCCCCGCGATGGCGTCAGAAAGGTACGCCGCCATACAAGGAGAATTGACCTTCAATCTGCCTTCAGGCTGAAGATATCCTTTTACTATAATTGGCAACTTTACTGACGCTAATTCGACTGTTTCTTCACAGGTTGAAACCTCTCCTCTTCCCCTTTAAACTTTACGCCCCGCTCTTTCTCAGTCCGGTTACCTTCAGATGTCGAACGCAGCCACTCAACCCGACTTGTGCTCGATGCCTCGAATCGCGACCGAGGAGGAAGCCGGCGTAATATGGTTTGAAATTCCCAGCTAACAGCTCCCGACTTGTTGGGCGGGACAGTCCTTCAGAGATGATGCACCAAGAAACCTAGACTCGTACGTATACAAGCGCAACATTATTGTCAGAAAGCAAGGTACTAACATGGCTTGTACAGCGAATGGGTTCACGACAAGTTCGAAGAGAACGGTACGATCTAGCCGAAACAATGAAATGGGGTCCTGGAAGGCCTAGCTGACTGGTCTCCCTTCAGACCGCCGTCGTGCCCCCAGAAGAAGACAATCTCCGGAACTCTCTAGGTAGGAGACATGACCCAGGCCGCTTTGGACCATATCCGTGTACTGATATTCTAGCAGCGATCCTAGAGGAAGCAAGATCCGAGTTGACAACATCCACTACGAGTTGACCCAAGAGGACCTCGAAGTAAGCTTCTTATCAGCCTAGGAAGATTGCACAAACCCACCATACTCACCATATACATATAGGGACTCTTCTCGCGAATTGGACCCCTCGTTAAGCTCGACATGAAGTACGATCGCGCCGGTCGCTCGGAAGGAACGGCGTTTGTCACCTATGAATCTCCCCAGGATGCCAGCCGGGCCATTCGCGAGTACGACGGAGCCAACGCTGCCGGTATGTTCACCCTAAATCTCCGAATTCTTGGTTGCAGCATATCTAACAGCAATTCAGGCCAGCCTATCCGCCTCACTCTTATGCCTAGCGGCCCCCGCCGTAACCCATTCGAGACCGCTATCAACCCTCGCCCCCTTGCCGAGCGTATCACTGTCCCCGGTGGCCGATCCCGCTCAATCTCACCCTCGCGCCGCGACCGTGAGTTGGATGAGGAAGCTGCCCGCAAAGGAATCGACAGATACCGTCCTGGTGGTTCGGGTCGCGGCCGCTCGCGCAGCCCGCTACCCCGTCGTGAGGGTGGCCGTGAAGGCGGTCGTCGTCCAGGTGCTCGCAGGGAAGGTGGTGGACGTGGTGGACGCGGTGGAAGAGGCGGTGAGAAGTCCCAGGGTGGCGAGCGTACCCGTAATGGACGCCCCAAGAAGACCCAGGAAGAGTTGGATGCGGAGATGGAGGACTACTTTGGTGGCGGTGGTGCGAACCAGGAGAACAATGCTGCTCCTGCGGCTGAAGCCTCCAACGGGGCTGCCGCGAGTGGTCCTGCTGAGGACGACATCGATATGGGCATCGAGTGAAGAGAAGATTTGGTTCAGCGGCTGAGATATTGGGAAGCCCAAGAAGAGGTGGTGCTTATGAGATTGGGATATGGGTTTGCAGGAGTTTGATCCAGCCCTTGTTTAGACGGTTACGGATTCTCTCTACTTTCTTTTTCCTTTGGTACGCATTTATAGCATGAATCGATCCTTTCTCTAGCGCATAGGATTTGGACAAGCACAAAAATACTAGTACTTCATCTCTCAAAGTGGTGGTTGAAAACGGTGATATTCATATAGAGAAGTGCTATTCATTCACCACCACCACATCACTTCTCAACCCTCTCCATTTCCCCTCTCCTCCTCTTCCTCCTCTCCTCCAACCCATCCCCCAATGCCTCACACAAATCCTCCAAATCCAACCCCCTCTTCCTCTTCCCCACCTTCTCCTCCCCCAACACCGTCTCGTCCGCAACAAACTTAAACACCCCCGCCACCATCAAACACGTCCTCTCCTTCCTTATCCCACCCCACCTCCTCCTCGTCCGTGAACGTCTTGCTGATCTCCTCCATCTCCCGCACCCACCGGTACGCTTTGGGCGGTAACGTCGTGACGTACCGCGTCATGGTCTGTAACCTTGAGGGCGCCAGTCTCTCTAGGGAAGAAAGAAACGAGGGGAGGATCCTGAGCGAAGAAGCAGTGGATAAGGAAAGGAGGGAGAGCGCGGCGAATCCTTTGGCGAGAGCGGCGTAGACGTTTTTAAGGGCGGAGGCTTGGCCTATCTCTGATGTCTGTTTCTGCTCAGCAGCGGTGGCAGTTAAGGAAGAGGAATCCGCGTCGGCGGGATCGGGGTTGGGAAGGATATGTTCGATATGCAACACTTCAGCGAAATGTTGGCCATAGGGGTAAGGAAACGTGGAAGTGTCTGTGAATGACCATGGGCCTGAAGTAGGGAGGAGAGGGCAGGACCAGCCGGTTGTAGGGTCGTGGAGGATATCTTCTTGCGGGAAGGAAGCCGTCGTTGGCTTGGTTGATGAGGTTGATGCGGGGGAGGAAGAAGAAGAAGAAGAAGAAGTAATCAAAGCAGCTGGACCAGTAGCCGAAGGACCCAAGTTCGTACTTCCGCTACCGCCCGTCACAGACTGCTGCTGCTGTTTCCTCGAAGGAGGACCACCAAGAATACAGCCATCTACAAAGCGGACGTCCCGGTCCGGATCGAGGCCGGCGGCCGTGAACTGCGCGGCGATGGACCGCACGGTGGATGGGGCGATGGCGTTCATGTCGGCGAAGTAGAGCGGCGTGGACCTGGACCTCGTCGGAGAAGAGACATGGACATTCTTGAAAGCGGCGATGATGCGTTCAGCTGTGGCGGCGGCTTGGGCCGGCGGGACGACGGAGAGGACTACGTCGCATTGGGTGATGAGGGCTTCATCTGTTGGCAGAAGCTCGGCGCCGACGTTGGTGGCGCGGTCGATGGTGTCTTGGCTGAGTGAGGATTTTGGTGTTAGTTTTATTAAGATTTATTAATATTTATCATGTGAAGAAGTTGTCTTTGGGATATATTATATCACCTCACCTTCTCCCGGTGCAGTTGGTTGCGACGGCGTAGCCATTTGCGATGAGAATGCTGGCGAGAGCGCTGCCCATGTCGCCCATTGAGATGATGCCAATCTTGGCTCTGGGTTGCTCCCCCATTGCCTCTGTGTTTTCAGATATTGTTATACGGTTTCACTTGGACGAGGTTGACGATGTCATTAATCTCTGGTTAAAATGTGGTCTACCAACGTGAGCCAGGTAGTGAGAGAATGAGGAGTAAATATCATGCACATATATGTAGTGATAACAGGAGGGGTGGTTGATAAAATGTGGGGTCGTGATGACGTTCATGATACTATTGACCCATTTTGAGACGATCATATTAGTCAGGGAAGGAAAGCTTAACGATATAGGCTTAGCGGACGACGAGTATGTGCATTCGCGCGAGAAGAGGTGATTGTTTATTTAGTGATGATAGGATATATACATGAGAACCACACGGGCAGGATTCATTCGGGTCTGAAATACTTTGCAGACACTTCTTCCTGAGGCATTGTCATAGTCACAACGAACAGCACAGATTCACCGCTGTGAAGCGGGAAAATGGTATTCAGAAATCTTCAAGATCATTTCGCTAACAGTTCCAGAAAAACCCAGCTTCCCCCCTTCCTTCCTAAATCCAGGCGAACAATATTCCTTTATACGTGTAGTGTAAGCACGTATCGAGCAGTCCCTTTCCGTTCCATGCTACACGGCCTTTCCTGTTCCTTCAGAAGAAAAAGCAAACAGCCCGGAAAGAGATGACGATGCCATATTCATGCCCCCTTCATCCTTCCTTTCTATCAGTCCGATATCCTTTCTCTAGAACGCCTGCCAGTAAGACCGAGTGTCGATGGATTTTAATCTCGACAGTAGTAAAAGTCCACCATGTCATGAAACGAAGGTGAAATAGGGGGAACATCGAAAAGAACATTGAACCCTCTTCTTCCACCATTAACCATGTCAGATAGTGACAGTCCGGATGCTCCGTGGATGAAAAGTGTGATCGTACCCCTTCCGCCCGCGCCGACTTGATCACACTTGTAGGTATTAACGGTTTTCACCTTGCATCATACCCCCTTTTTGTTCCCTTTCTCCAGCTCTTCGTCTTGTCGGCCCCTGAAATATCGTGCCTCGTCAAATGTGCAATACTCGACAAAGGGTCGAGTAATCGGGTATATTTGCTTCGTTAAGGGTGATCATGGGAACACGAGGCAACCAAATGATTTAGTATCGTTGCAAATCATCCAGCCTCCACAGCGACGAGTCTTGCAACAACGGCAGTGCATGGCACGTGTTGTTGGACCGTCGGTTGTTCCGCGATTTATCGTCGAATTATGGATAAGGTTGGTACTGCTTCCCAGCGCATTCAGCTCGCTTACTGCGAGGCGCACTGAACGCGCTCGGCCTGGGGCTCGTCATCCTCCTCCATGGGGCTGTTGGAGAAGCCACGGCCGGCTCCGTTGCCCTCGACGTCCTCGAGATCCGCAGGCTCAGTCATAGCCTCCTGGGGAGGTACGTTGAGAACAGCGGGGGCGGGAAGGTACTTGCGAAGAGCCTCGAAAGCAGCGGGTTCCTCAGTCCAGCCTTTCTCGGGGAACTTGACGGAGAACTGGATGAACATGTTACCGTAGTCGTGATGGCGGTAGGAAGGCATGCCCTGGCCACGGATCATCTTGACGGCGTCTATTTCACGGTTAGCGCTAGCTCATACATGACGTAGTGGGACAGAAGAATACTTACTGGGCGCAATGGCCTCGCCGGGAAGAATGTCGACGCTCAACCAGCGCTCATCGAGATGCTCGATGAAAATGGTACCACCGGCAAGGGCGGTAACGAGATCGATCTCGCACTTGTAAAGGAGGTCGTCCTCCTGACGGGTGAAGCGGGGGTGGGGCTTCTGCTCGATGACAAACACAACATCGCCGGGGAGAATACCAGGCGCCTGGTCACCCTCACCGCGGAATTCGACCTTGGTACCGCTCTTAACACCACGGTCGACGTGGACGTGGAGGACCTTGCGATCGACGACGGTCTTCTTGCCGTTGCACTGCTTGCAGCGATCCTTCTCCTTAATCATCTCGCCTTCGCCATTACAGTCAGGGCAAACAGTCTGGAAGCGCTGGATCATGGGACCCATTTGCCTCATCATGATCTTGGTACCCTGACCCTCGCAGCCAGCACACCGTCTGACGGAGCCCTCCTTGCCGCCGCGGCCGTCGCACTTGGGGCAGAGAATAGAGCGCTGGAGGGCCAGCTTGGAGATCTTTCCGCGGTAGATGTCCTCGAGCGATACGTGATGGGTGTGATGAATAGTCTTTGCCTTCGCGGGCGCACGCTGCTGGTTCATACCGCCGAACATACCACCGAGACCGCCGCCGAAGCCGCCGCCGCCGAAGAACTGAGCGAACAGGTCCTCGGCAGCCATGCCGCCACCGGCACCGGCACCACCTTCAAGGCCAGCCTCGCCATACTGATCGTAGACGGCGCGTTTTTGGGAGTCGGAAAGGATTTCGTATGCGTGAGAGATCTCCTTGAACTTTTGCTCGGCAGCCGGGTTGTTGGCGTTCTTGTCTGTAAGGTTCGTCTGTCAGCACGCTATTCGGTTGCGCAAGTAGCGAGGATGGCGGGACATACCTGGGTGGTACTTGAGGGCACCGGTCTTGTATGCCTTCTTCAATTGCGCCTCGGTGGCATCTGGGCTGACCTGTTTCCGCGCGTTAGTCCACCTCCTCTGTCAGGCTGGCGGTGTCGGTGAACAGCGGGACTTACTCCAAGAGTCTCATAGAGCTTTGTTTCCTTGACCATCTTGACTGTCTGGTCTGGGTATGTGGATGTGTGTGGAGAGATGTGTGTTGGCAAGATTCGGAATGCTCTGGATGCTCAGTTCCGGAGATAATGACGGATATGGGTAGGCGTCAAAGTCGATAGAAATCGCGGTCTACTAGTGGGAGGAAAGATAAGGTCAGCGGCTGGGAAGTCGCGTCGAGAATGATGCAAGTCAAATCGAGAGAAAGAGACGAGATGAAAGGTGGAAGTCGAAGGCGGCGGTGGACAATGGTGGAAGGGAGGAAAGAAAGATCTTTTGCGCAAAGTGGTTTGGGAAAGGCCGATGGGGTCCCGAGTCGGGGTTTGGTTGGCAGAGTTGGGGACCTGACTTTCAGGCCTCGCTCGCCTCGGGGGAGTGGTCCAGGGCACCAAAAGAAAGAAGCGCAGAACAGGAACGGACAGAAACAGGGATGGACCTACCAGAAGCGGCTCGAGCTACAGGAAGAGTGGAAGTTCGAGGATATGGGATTTGACTCGCCGAAGGAGGATTGGGAGTGACGGGGAGGCGTAGTTGTAGTAGGGAAACACAGAAGACTGGGTATAACAGAAGACGGAATGACTGATCAGAAATGTCCAAGCACCGGCAGCAGGGTTCAAATATCAACCAAGGCAAGGCAACTGAACCGGAATCTTCACTGCAATTCTGGAATAGGCGCAGAGGGAGGGAAAATGCGACGGGCCGCCTTGTTCGTTGGGGGACCCGGAACGGCGAAGGAGAGGCTGAAGTGGGTGAACTGGCCTAGGATGTTCTTCTTCAGCCCCTCCTCATGGAAATCAATCGAAAGCTCTAGAGCGTGGCTGACCCAGTTGAGGGCCGATAACGTGGTACTTTATCCCGCTTTCTGCACGGTGGACCTGACCTCACAAAACATGAGGAGAGACATGGTTCCCCACACTCACATGAAGGTACCTCGATATCACTCACTGGCAGAATCTAGCCTCAGGGGATGGACATGGAAATTCGGTTGACTTTGGGGGACCCTGTCGATCGTGGCTGGTGCGCTTTCAAGGTGACAGTGACAAATGCCCAACTTTCGAACACTCTTCTCACATTACACCGCACGCAATGCGGAACATCCATGGTGCATACATCTTATGAAAGTGTAGAATAGGGTTTCTTTACCATCTGTCCTTGGGTGTTTCACTTTCCTTACAAGGCTGCTTTTGCTACTCATGTCATGCAGGATCTCTGATTGGGTTGTTGGGGGCACGTTCACGCTCTGTCATCTGAATCCGAGTTGGCGCCCGCTCGAACCCTGCAGGCGTTCTTCCCAACAGCAACAACAACCCCACCAACATGATGTCGCCTCTGCCCCTCGGTGTTTTAACAACCATCACCGGTATCGCGGGGCGACTTTTGGTAAGCGTTTTACCTTGCATCTAGAGGATTCCAGTTGAAACCATCAAGCATGATGTGCGCTGCTTATCGATCTCGAAAGACTGAGATGTGTCGATGATGTTGTTTGCCAGATATTTGGGACCAAACCATCAAATTGTGTAGCCAAGCCGTACCCTTTGATCTTCGCCCGAAACCGAAGAGTGTAAACGAACTCGGAAGTCAACCAATCACTGACACGCCGGCCGGCCTCAGATGCCATTTTCTGCTTTACAACAGTCCATTGAGCGAATGCTCTCTGGACTTGGGACTGAATGATAGCCCTCATGTCGACGCCTTATCGGGATGGGGTAACATCTTGGAAGCGGGGGATCTGCTATGATGTTTACTTACAACTGAAGCCAATACCTACCAGTGAGATAGGTACCAAGGAAATAAGGTACGGTAGGTCACATATTCACCAGCCTCATGATCACGGATATATTTGTCCAGTATGGCAAGTAGAATATAACTGAATAAAAGCCGAGTGATAACCATCATGTCGATCACTCTCAGTGGTTGACCCCTTTTAAAGGTGTTCGTCTCCGTCATGGACGACGCCGCCGGTCTAGCCATTGCCTACGAGGAGACCAAGAAATCATATGAAGAAGGGGGAATTCCTGTATGTCTCCTGAATACCTACTTTCTTCTACTTCTTCAAGACAGAAAACCTAAAGAAAGAAAATCACAAGGAGCACAGAGCAAAATCACCACTACGAGTTTTCGAAATATGTACCAAAAATCTGCCTCTACATATCCTCTCCACAAAACATAAACATATTTACTTACCTTACGTTACTAACCATCCCAAACCATATTCCAAAAAGATCGGCAGCACTCATCTCCAACACCGACGGCACCGTCCTAGGTCGCGGCCACAACCAGTGCGTCCAGCTCGGTTCAGCTATTCATCATGTATGCTCAATATTTTATCAACATCAATATCAATATCAATAACCCCATTTCCATCCTCATACCCATCCCCGTACATGACTTATCCTCCTTCTCTTCCCAAACCAACAATATTCAATCCTATGAACATCCACCCACGTTTACATGTTTCGTTTCCCCCCAAAACAAAAAAAATCTAGCGAAACAGCAACCCTCCAAAACGCAGGCCGTCTCCCCGCCCCCACCTACTCCAGCTCCACTATATACACCACCTTGTCTCCCTGCGACATGTGTACGGGAGCCATCCTCTTATACAAGATCCCGAGGGTGGTGATAGGAGAGAATCGCACGTTTAAGCCAGAAAACGGGGGAGGGGAGGATTACCTAAGAGAGAGAGGGGTGGAGGTTGTGGTTGTTGATGATGAGGGGTGTAGGGGGTTGATGGAGCGGTTTGTGAGGGAAAAGCCGGGGGTTTGGTGGGAGGATATTTGTGAGGTTGGGGAGGTGGGGAAGAGGGAGGAGAGGGAGGAGGGGGAGGAGGAGGAGAGGGAGGAGGAGGAGGAGGCTTAAAGTGAGTGAGAGGGGAAGATGAAACTACGTTGGTGATTGAAGTTGTGCAGTTACCGTGGGAATTAGAAAGGATGTGTGTGCTCTGTGACGAAACGTCTAAGAACTCAAATGCTGCCAAGAAGTCACAGACAGAATTGATCAACTAGATTGTATTTAATTCCGTATTCTTCTTCTTCTTCTAACTCTACCTATTGTAGCTGTTTAGTATGGTATCTCTTCAACTCATCACAAACACCAAGTGTAGTGTAGCGCAAGCAAAGCCTAGCAATAGCAAGCCAAGTGATTCCTCTTTTCGTCTCCTCTCCTCCCCTATCCGACAACGCTATGCAAACGAGACTGCAAGCAAAAGAAACTAGTCAAGTCCAGTCCAGTTACTCCCACATTCGTAGTAAACACAAAGATATCTTCGACGCCATTTCTAACTTATATTATAAAGTCTTTTTGTCCCTTCTCGTAATTCTCCCGTTTCCTCTTCCGTGACTTGAAGAAAACTCCATCGAATTCTTGCATTTTCAACAAATGAGATGGGTTATGAACACCACATCTTGTAGTGTGGGTGTATTCTTCCTTCTCACACAGGCTTGTACGTATGTATCTCAACATGCCATTTCCATGCCCTGACATATGCACACCCAGGCCCATTTACCATCTAGCTCCTTAGTGAAGAAGATTCCTCAGCGACGGACTAGAGCTCGCACCAGTCTTGATGTCCTTCGGCTTGTTATCCCTCGGCGGCGGCGGCAGACCGGATACCTGTTGGTAAGAAGAGGCATGATGCAGCGGAGGTGGCTGCGCGTGATTTTGCTGTGCAGTATGGTTGTTCCAATGCCTTAGGAAGGACAAGGGTTGATGTTGCTCCTGCTGAGAAGGATGAGGGGGTGGTGGTGGCCCGGCAACGTGGTGGTGAGGAACTGGGTGGTTCAGCATGCTATGCGGTCGCGGGTCTGCTCGTAGATCGTTTCGATAGTCATTTCGAAGATCGGTAGGCGGTCGCAAATCGGGTGGTCCGCCGTGGCTGTGGAGAGAGCCTCCTGATAGATAGGAGCCGCCGCTCGGTGTGGTAGGCTGGCCGCTCATTCGACGAGGCGAAGGTGGCAGGCCATCCATTCTTGCATAAGGAGATGGGTGCGCCATGTGCCCGTTGTGCCCGTTGTGCCCGTTTTGAGGCAGAGGAGGCGGGGGTTGAGCGTGTGTCAGGTTCGCGATAGAGAGCGAGGGTGATGGCCGAAGATGGTTAGGCGGTGCCAACGAAGGCATGCTGTTCAACGGTGGTGGTGAAGGACCAGTGCCGTTCATCTGCCGACTCGGATGCAGCGGTGGTGGATGACCTGATGGCTGACGGTGCCAGTCGTCGTAAGGTCTCGGTGGTCCTGATGCAAACAGGGATTGTGGCATAGACGGGCCCCGAGGAGCGAGGCTCGGCGGAAGTGCCGGCGGGGGAGCTTGAACCTGCGGAGCAACAGGTCCCGATGCAGGAACAGAAGGATGTGGCACCGGGGGACGAATAGGGGCTGGGTGAGCTAGCGGAGGTGGGATGGGAGCTGCCTGGACACCCGGTGACCAGCTGTATGGGCTTGGGCCAGGCTGTCTGCCTGGAATATCCATGACAGCCGTAGGAGCTGTTGGAGCTGGGACTGGTGGTGCCACTGGCGGCGGCTGAGATACCGGTACCGGACGAATGACCGGCTCGACGGCAGGAATCAAAAGCGGTTGGGGAGGAGGAGGGGGTGTTGGCTCCCTCTTAGGGTGCACATGTGGTTGACGCCCCTCCTTCTTGCACTTATGGCATTGGACGCTCCTCTGCTCGATGAATTTCTGTGCCTCAGATCCCAAATTCCCGTAGTATCCATTGACAAGCCCACGCTCCTGAGCTTCATCGATGGGGTACCACTTGGGACTCACATCAGTCCCGCAAGTCAAGCATATCTTGCCGCCCGGTTGTCGGCAGCCCGGGGCCGAGTCTCCGTGGTCCCCATTGAGTAGATGGATCGTCGAGATTCGCCTGGTCTGATGACTTATCGATGAAGCAGACGACGATGTGGGTCGAGTGGTCGGAGTGATCTGGATGGCCTTCCTTGCGCAACCCGTCAGAGTCAAGTCGGCCTGCTTGTAGTTCTGAACATAGAGCTGTAGTGCAGTCATGCCAGTCTCGTCAACCTTCTCGTGCATTGGGTGATACGCTCCCTTCTGAGGCGCGTGTTCCTTGCACCAGATCGCGGCCGACATGGTACCACTCTCACCCCCGAGAGTGACGATGTTATGCTGATCACGGCGAGAACCCTTCACCGGTGTGATGTCGAAGCCGAGAACATACCCGGCCTTGTGAGCACACTCGACGTGCACTGGTGATTTGCAGTGGTAGCAGCTGACACAAGCTCCCCCATCCTTCTTGCAAGCTCTGCAAATCTCTGAGTACTTGGTTCGGTTTATCAATGGGATGCCCTCAATAGGGGCAAGCGCTTTGGCATTACCAAACTTGACCTCCGGAGTCCAAACCGCGCAAGTGACATGCACCCAATTGTTGTCTGCAGTTCGTTTCAGAGGTTCGCGCGGGTCGACGGGTCGGTTCATCTCCTCTTGCTTTTTCCGATAATACTCGGCAGCCTTGATGGCATTTTCCCGCTCTTGGCGTTCACGTTCACGCTCCTTCTCGGTCTTTTTCTTGTGGGAGTTCTTGGGTGGCCCAACAAAGTCATGCTCCGTCTTTTCAACCGGGCAAAGGACGCACTTGTAGCTCTGCGAATGTGTCAGTAGAAAGCCAAAGCTCATACGATATTTGGCACCTACCAATGATACCTGCGGGCTCTTGTCGTTCAGGCACATATCGCACGTCCATTTCCCAGGAGCCCGATGCTCAATAACGCCATAGCAGTTGCGATGAACCGTCATCCGGCACTCCTTGCAAGAGATATGTTGGTCCCCCATAGGTTCCATCTGACGACAGATTGCGCAGGGTAATGTTCGCGGTTTCGGCATTTCGGGGACAGGAGGCGGTGGAGGCGGAGCTGGCTTCTCGATAATCACTGGCTTCTCGATGACCTTTTCCTTCTTCTTCGCGACAACTGGTGTAGGAGTTGATGCCACACTGCCCGGCTCTGAGACTGCGGGCTCCAACTCCTTCTCCTTCTCCTTTTCTTTTTCTTTCTCCTTCTCCTTTTCCTTCTCCTTCTCCTTTTCTTTTTCCACCTTTTCCTTCTCCTTCTCCTTGTCCTTATCCTTTTCGCGAGCAGAGCTCTTGAGCTTCTTCCGCGGCGGCTCTTGACCAACCGCTGGTGGCTCATGGACAAGTTTGGGGTCAGGTGTAGGCTCGGGAGTACGGATCTTGGTGTTGGCAATCATCTCATCGGCCGCGAGCAGCTCTTTGTAGAGGTCTTCGTCGACCTTGCGCTTCCAGTTGCGGCCTGCGGTCTGAGCAACCTTCTTTGCAACTTCGTCCACATCTTCCCACTGGATAGCGTACCGGCGCCAAAGCTCGGCGCATCGGCGACAGAGAGCAGGAATAAAGTCTCCCTTCTTGTCCTGTTTGGTACTACGGCCGTTAGTCTCGCCGATGGGTTGTGAGATGGTGGGCGCACGACGCCATTGCCGCGACGACTTGGTGGCGCAAAACTTGCACATGAAGGCCTTCTTTTGAGCCTTGGCTTTACCTGCATCAAAAGCGGAATCGTCGTGATCGTCTGCAACGTCGTCGGCCTGTTTGGTGGCAGCAGCCTCGGCCTTCTTTGCGTCCCTTTTTCCCTTTCTCGCAGCGAAGTTGCCCCAGATTTGCTTTCCTCGCTCCGTTTTCTTCCACGTGTAGTAAAATCGGGTTACTGTTGCCGGAGTCAGGGTTTTGACGTGTTTCATGACCAGGTGCAACTCGGAGCCGTATTTTCCAACACCCTCCTCGAACTTCTTGAGTTCGGCAGGAGTGAGCTCGGGTTCCTTGAACTCCTCCTTGGGGACCTTGGACAGCTGCTGCAGGGCCTTCTTAGGATCGAAATCGTTCTTGAAGAGGAGGTCTCTAGCAACATCTTGCAAGTTGGTCGATCGTGGCGGAAGGCCCAGCTCTACCGCCATGCCTCTGACCTTGTCCATGAACTCGTCAATGGCTTCGTTGGGCATCTGCTTGCCACAGAGTTGAGGGGGCTTGTAGAGTACTGTGATGGTATCATCGCCACCTCTCTCGACATAGCCGGCAGGCTCGTCCTGTATCCACTGCGGACGTGTCTCGCGCTTTTTGCGCTCGGCTTCCAGAAGAGCCTGCTGCTCCTTGTTGAGCTTTCCGTCCTTTCGGCCGGTCTTCTTGATTTCCAGAGGCTTCACATACTTCACCGGGCGCCCGTACCACGGGACAACAACGGCCTGGTGACGCGGTCCTAGCCGGGTACTCGCACGGGGGAAAATGCGATCATCGTAGTCCAGGGCATCCTCAACCTTGCAGTGCATTCCTAGGTAACGGTATGGCCATAGGCTGCACTGATAGATCTGCTCAGCCGTGGCCTCTTGGTGCAAGTCCTCGGTGGCCGGACTGGTGCGACTGGTCATGCCGGTCTGGACGCCAGGCGGGTCATCCTCATCGTCTTCGAGGAACTCATCTTCGTCGTCAAAATGGGTGCCATTGGGATCGAGGACGTTGGGGGTGTTGCGCGCCTCCAGCTTGCGCTCCTGAGCACGGCTGCATGCAGCGCAGGACCAGGCAAAGCCACGCGACGGTTTCTTGAGCAGCGGCGGCCTTACACAGTTCATGTGGTACGTCTTTTGACACACGGCACAATCCACCGAATCATTGCTGTTGTGGGTGTCAGCACATCCGTCGCTTACTGGCTGGAATGGGAAGTGGTGATTGACGAAGACAAGGGAGATGATGCGAATGATGGGGGAGCAAGGGACAGGGGGGAGCAACTGAAATGGG